AGTTCTTTTATAATAAAATGAAATTTTTTTTTTATATTGAAAATGACTCCACTGTATTGAGTCGAAAGCTCTAGTAGAAATTCATTATTTATTCCATTATAAAAGAACTAGATAAATAACTACAAATTGAAGTCGAAATAATTTTTTCGTTTTAAATTTCGAATTATTTTTCTTATGAGTTTATCTTCGATTAGTATCGTCAATATTCTATTAACATTTCTCCTTATGTTTTGAAATTCTTGCCAGAATTTTATTTTTTCAAGACAGAATGGGTGTATTCTATTCGATGAAAATTCTACAAGATTCAATAGAAAGATATTTTAATATAGAATTTACTTTAATCTTTGTTGTTTAGATTTCAAAACTTATCTTCATAAAATAGTATATTAATTCAAATCGTTCCCTGAGTCATTATATATATATATATAATGAAGATAAGAACTATAAAGAATGAACGAATTGTTTTAGTTGATAACTCGGAAAACGAAAGTTTTATTAGTTTTGTTTTCCGAAGAAGTTCTTCGTTCAACTTTCTAACAGTGTATTGATTGTAATTTAAAATTTGTTCAACACTTTTATTAATACAGAAATAAACTTTCTCTTTTACAGTGATCTGAAATTTTTTGCTAGAATTTTCACATCACCTCATGAAAGTGTTGTATCTATGCCATAACAATGATTTTTTTCAATAAAATAGATGCTTGCCTATCGGTCTACACAATTGTCCAATAGACATTTGATGTTTCATGTGAAATCGTTAGAAGAGAACAGAAATTTTGGCAATTTGACGTCATTTTACAAGAAATATGTTTATCTATGATGTATCGATCTTTTTGTCGATGTAATGAAAAATCGAATACATATAAATATTGAACAACATACATGATCACGATTACGTATCTGTCAAATGGAAGCAAAAAAAAGATGATGCATTCTTAGAAAAAACTTTTATAGAACTGATCGTTTTCATATTGTTATATTCGTCAATTGATAATCGATCACGAAATTGAAGTCTGGCTATAGTTGAATAACTATAAATTTTCTTGAGTATATGTTATGAATACTCTGAAAATATATCATTTATTTGCTATTAATATCGATCTATCATTGTCATTGAAAATTAATATCAAAATTATTTTTGTGAGTCACATTCGAACTCTTTTATCGAATCAAGAAAATCTTGAGTATTCTTGTATATACATACAGATACCGATGTAACTCAAAAAATTGACCAAGAAATATTGAGAATCGGTACTGAACTGATTTCAAAAGAAAAAACAGACAGATGGCCTTAATTGATTTCATTTATTTCGATTATTTCGCCTAACTTTGAGTCTAGTCAACATAAATTAAGAAAAGCTTGAATAGCATTGTCAGACATTCCTTATGTTCTTTTCTTTTTTGCAACAAAAATGTATCGACTTGTAATCCGTTTGTACTGAAATATAAGTTTATTAAATACGTGCATATATGTAAGCTTGGCCATGCGAGTATCTTGTTTATAACAAAAAGCTATTGAGAAAATTGAAATAATTAAATCGGAACATAATGCAAATATGTAGGGAAAATAGCGAAGATCGTTTTCCTTATTGTATGGAATTTCTTTTAATTGTTAAGTTTACACGACTATAAATTTAACTCTATGGCATACTCAGAAAGTGATGATCCTAATAGTAAAAAATGATTGAATGTCTTCAAGAAGCGACCTCTATCGTTTTCTGTTGCTAAGCTGCCTTACTAAAATTAAACCAATATATGAAACTTCACATTTTTACAAACTTTTCTTTACTTAAGTATACTTGTTAATACAATAAGATGACCTATCGAGATATAAGCCGTAAGTTACTTTATCTGTTTGAAAATCCTTAAAATAATTTTTTTTAAATATCAATTTAAGATCTTTGTGAGATGGCTCGAGTCCTCTCTTATCCACGATTAATCTCAATGGAAAATTTTCGTCAACCAAATTTTCGTCTTGTTGCAGAAATCATGACTTGGCTTGTTAAACAGTATAGTAGCATATGTTTTGTTTTTTTCATATTTTCTTGTTATCTTGCTAATTAGATATGATCCATTAGCTGATGTTCCAGCTGATATTGAAGGTGAACAAGATCGTGTTGTATTTGTTCGTGCTGTTACTCAAATAATTGTACGGAAAAATTAAAAAATATTTTATTTAATGTTTATTGATTTTTCTCTCTCTCGATATTTCAGGCTACTAGAGCACATTTAAAATTAAATACTAAAAAGCTCTATCAAGCTGATGGTTATGCTGTAAAAGAAATTCTTAAAGTTATAGCACCACTATATAAAGCATTACGTGATACTGAAAACAAAGAATTAGATGATGAAGATGATATTGATAATTCATATCGTTATGCTATGAATGATGATGTAAGAATGAAAATTGAACAATAATAATAGGTTTTATTTTCGAAATACTTCACTTTTAGATCAGTACACTTAAAAATGCACGTCAACTTTGTTCGACTATAACACAAAAAGGTGCTAATCTACATGAACTACTTGGAAAAGAACTTGATGCTCGAGTAAGAGAGAATAGGATTTAGTTGTTTGTTTGTGTTACTAATCTACCGTGTTAATTTCATTAGGAAGCACGTCAAGAAGTTATGAATCGAGGTATGGAATTATCTGAAGTTCAAGAAGGTATACGCGAAGCTGAAACTGCCGCTAAAGTAAGAGAGAAAAGTAGAGGAAAATTTGATTCATTTTTCTCTTTTAGCGTGAATTAATGAAATATCAAAAATTAATTGGTAATGTTCAAACAGATGAAGTAGCACTTGACGAAAAAATAGCTAAGCGTTTCGAAGAAAAGGATCGTCATCAACGACGACTTGATATGCTAAAGAGCGTTAGGTAAATAAAACAAAGTAAAAGCTGTTAACATATTCCTTGCGGCATTTAAATGTGACACTGCGGTTATGACTAATCATAGATTTACTTCTGAGATTTTACTGATATATGGATAATGCTTGTATATCAATAAAGTTTCGTGATGTTAGAAGGAGTGCTGCTAAGGTGTTTGTCATGTTACCATGGTTACGGATAGAACATCTGTATTGAGATGATCCGAATGTATCTGACTTGTGATGAGGTCTAAATTCTTCATGTTTCATTACTTTTTTTACTTTTTCTTTTCATTAGACCATCGTTTATGAACGATTTTGAAAAATATGAATTAGAACTTAATGAACTTTATTCAAATTATGTATTGAAATTTCGTATATTGTCTTATTTGGAAAAAGAACTTGAAGGACACTTTCGAAGTCAACGTGAAAAAGTTCAAGTAATAATTTTCTTATTACTTTGAGATTGAGTCTAATGAGAATGTTCTTTGTCAGGAAGTATCCCGTCAATATATGCAATCAATGAATTCACAAATAACAGAACAAGAGCAACAAAGATTTAATCGACAAGTACAAGATCCAAACGATGAAATCGGTGTACGCAGTGATGAAGAAGAAGATGAAGAAGAATCCGATGAAGATGAGTAAGTTTTATTTCATCATGCAGCTATTTATTCATTCATTCGTTTGCTTTTTTTAGTGATGATGAATCCGAAGAAGATGAAGCTATGGACCGGCCACCGCCCGCTCATCCACAACTCCGAGGCAGTAAACCAGGTATTGATTTATCTTATTACTATTTCGTATGAATCATAGTTTTCTTCTATAGAAAATGGTGCAGGTGGTAAACCATATGGAGGTATGACAGCTGAACTCAGCGATGACGACGACGACGAAGAAGAGCAGGTGCCAGTGGGTCGCGGAGGTGCTGGTGTGCCCGATGGCTTATATCCTGATATGAATTCAAGAAGAAAACCCGTCGGAAATGTCAATAGAAGACCACCTAGCGCTAGTGGTAAACGTCGGCAAAGACAGCAAGCGCAAAAACGAGAGACATACGATGAGGATGATGAAGATTTCTAATTAATTTCGTTTTTCTTTTTGTAGTTGAATTTCATTGTCTCGCTTCTCGTGCTTTGATGGAGAAACAAAAAAAAATTGTAACATTATTATTCAGAAGTCTTTTAAATGTATTCGTGTCAATAATTGTTCATATTTAATTCTTTTAAACAAAAGACTTAAAAGTTTCAAGCGGAGAAATACATTGAATTTAATATGCGAAATGGTTAGCTATTGAAATAAAAAGAAAAAAGGCTACATTCAAGTACTTGAAACATTCTTGTTGCCATACGATCTTTGTGTTGGTGTTGCCATTTTATGAAGTAAATATAAGCATACATTGTAGAGGAGTTACCATCGTTTCACGTAAAATAATGTCGGCAAGGTGATTTGTTATTGTTCGGTTCTGTGTTATAGTAAAGTCGTTTTCTCCCTCTTCTTGTATTCAGTGAACAATGGCTCGTCGAATTGTAGCGGAAGATTCTGATGAAGATGAATTTCAAGAAACCCAATATTCGAAACTACAAAATACTTACCGACATGCTCGCGAAGACCAACGTGAGTATACAATTGAAAAAAAAGATCAATTACGAATGCAAAGGTAAAGCATATATTGAATAGGAAGTTTCATTATTTATGCATAATCGAATTGAATGTAATTTTATTAGTAAAACATTACAACAATTAACAAGAGAACGTGATGAATTAGAAAAAGTGTTTCGTTTGGCTGAAAGCCTTGAAAATCAAAAACGTGATGAAGAAAAAACGAGGAAGCTGCAGGAATTAATTCAATCGAAAGGTATAATTTATTCTGCATGGTTATTATTTTTTTTCGAATAATTCAATTATTTGATTTAGATGAGATTTTAAGTGAGATACAAAATGAAAAAACCTCATCCATTGAATTAGACAAGGAGCTGCGGGAATGGGAGAAAAAAATGCGTCAAAAACAAACAGAACTCGGTGGTGCAAATGCTGCAGTTACATTTAATGCAAATGTTCGCAAACAAGAACGTGTTCTAGAAAATCGATTAGATACTGTAGGCGTTTAAGTTGAAAAAAGTATTTCATAAAAAATTGTTTTCTTTTCAAAAGGCTTTAAAACGATTCAATGCTTTACTGACTACAAATAGTTTATTACGGTCTGAAATCGATAATTTAAGAAATGAACGAGAACGCTTCGAAAATCTATCTCGAAAATCTGAAAATGAACTTCGAGAATTACGTGCTCAATTAGTCGAATGTATCGAACGTTCAGTTACATCTTATGATCAACGGTAAGAATTAAATCTTTGTTATATAACGATTTATTTCTTCCAGAGAAATTATATTTGGCATGCGAGAGTTCTACTTCCGGAATATTCTGTTCTCGAGACACGAGATCAAAGCTAAAACTATCTTTTCTTATCTTCCGAGACAGGATACAATTCGGCTGACATGAAAATTTGAGATTCTGGAATAGAACTTCTACATAAAATGAAAGCGTGACTGATATTGGCACGGATTTTATCCTCATTAAAGCGAGGATATTTTTACTGACCCAATCACTGTTATTTTTGTTCCTCTTTGCATAAGATAAAAGAGCTAGTCGTATGAATAATATCATAGTTTAACAAGCGTTCGAGCTTAAAAACTATGCACGAGTGAAATACATATTTTTATCTCGTATTTAATAATTCTTTTTTTAGAAAAGATGCCAATGCCAAAGCTATCCTTCTTCAAAGTATGTATACAAGCTTGGTTTAGCCAAGATAAAAATCTCTCATTCATTATTCTTTCATTTTTTCAGCCAAAGCCGAAACAGATAAATCAGCTTCTGAAGCAGAAATGCGAGAACTTGAAAGACAAATTTCACATGATCGTAAATTACGCGATTTTATGAAACTTAAATCCCAAGAACGACAAGAAGATGAAGAACTTGTTACATATAGAAAACGAAAAGGTAGTTTTCCCTTCGTTTACAAGTTGTAATATTCAAGCAAGAAAACTTACTCTTCCTTTTACAGAGGCTGAAGCTGCTGAAAAACGTCGTAAAGAAAAAGAAGAACATTCAGTTGAAGCATACGAAAGTAAATTTAAACGAATTCAAGAGATCAGCGGCGAACAAGATTTAGATAAACTTGTCGATAAGTTTATTGAAGGTAAACTATTTATTCTTTTATTTGAGATTCGTAAGAGACGATTTTCTATTATTTTAGTCGAAGATAAAAACTTTGCTTTATTTAATTATGTTAACGAATTAAACAATCAAATTGAAACATTACAAGAACAAATTGCCGATATTAAAAAAGAAATTCATCGCTTTGAAGGACAAGGTGTTGAATTAGAAGAACAACGACAACGATTACTCGAACAAATTGAAGATAGATGTTCACGTTCAGATGGATTAGCTGATGAATATGACGAGAAAACTCGTGGAGCACGTAAAATTCTTGATCAATGTCGAGCTGGTAAATCTTGTTCATTGACTTTCATTGATCAAAGGAGTAGAACAAGTATCTTCCTATTAAAAAGAATATTTTATATCCGTAATTTTAATCTTTCGTTTGTTCGGCCGATCCATAAATTTTTATTTTGTCAAGACCGAGTTTTTCAGCTCTAAAGAAACATTCAAGTGCCCTCTTTCGGTTACCATAGAGAAAAGAACGATGCAACTCATGTTTAGACTCTTAACTCTAGGGGCCTCGTTTAAAAAATATCACATTTCAGGTTTTCACTATCTAGTGTCTCAAGTATTGAAAAAACAAGACGTTGAGCATAATTTCAAATTTCTTTCGAACTCAATTTTTTTATTCGAACTGTTTGAACTCGAAATTGTTTTCGTCTGAGAAATCTAGTTAAATCAGGATTCATGTTTTCTACCTTTTTGAACAGCAACATAATATGTTTCACGTTGACAAAACAAATAACTTCACCATAAACAGAGGGACACTGGAGCATGATCCAGATGATTTTGAGGTCTGGAGAGTCATTTATGTTTCTAATCGTTAATTTCAAGTCTAGAAAAAGATTGTCTCTGCTTGTTGAGACCTACTTCGGCATTTAATTATGAGAAATTCAAAATTGTTTTTCATAATTATTCATTTGAAAAATTTCTCTGTTCAAATAGGTGTTGATTCCCTATTTAAAAAGATTGGTTGTGATCGTCGACAGATTGAGAATTTACTACAAAGTCATGATGGTGTGACTGAAGATAATATGTTACGATATTTGGGTATTATCGAGGAGAGAACCAATGAATTACTCACCGCTCAAGCAACAATCAATGCTAAAGTAAAAGATTTTTTTTCGAAGCTTTTCAATTTAATTTTAATTGTTTTCATAGGAGCAAAATATCCCACTACGCGAACGCGCTCCCAATCTTATTGGCGATGGTCCCACAGGTCCAGCGCCTCATGTTCAAGTTCATCTACCGAATACGTAAGAGATTTCAAAACAAAGTAGTCAATTGTACTTAGGAGATGTTGAATTTCTTTAATCTACAGCGATGATCGTCGTGACCCAGAAGAAAGAGAAGACAAAGCCGACGAAGAACTCAAACCATTGACACGCGAAGAATTGAAACAGCGTGCACTCGAACAAGTTAAAAATCTAGAACGAAAAGCTCTGCAAGAACAAAATAAATATGCTGATATGGCACCGACCACAACACGCGAAAAGAGTTCAGCTACAATGTCAAGAACAGGTGGTGGAGAAACTGGAAAGCCACCAACATCTCGAGGACGTTAAAAAGAAAAATCACAATAAAAACAAACAAATTTTGGATAAACTTTGTCTCTCTATCTTCTAATATAATAACCGGCACATATTTTGAAAGTTTGCTGTTTAATTCTTTTAAGTCATATTAATGAACTTGAAACAAAAACGAAGATTTCTGTCTCCGATTGTATTGATTATAAAATACTTTTCGAGAAAAAAAAATTAATAGATTATGCAGATTTTAAGAAATCTAATTCGTACATAAAAATACTCAAAGTCATAAATCTATTCGACGTTTTATCCAAAACGAAGAGTTACGAATATTATTCAGATCTATCTGGAGATATGAAAATGAGTAACTCTTCTAAATTCAGTAAGTGAATGATCTTTTACTCTTCAGATGATTCGGTGTTTTGTCACAGTGGTTCAACCTCATTAGTCTTAGAGGATCAAGCTAGTTAACCATGCGGTTGCCGTAAGCAGGTCAAAATTGAGCCAATAAATTCTCACTATTTATATAAAGTGTAGTGTAGTAGATAATCATCAACAATTGCAATCTGCTGCGTTTAGTATTTCAAGGAGATAATTCTCTATTATCAACAATTCATTAAAGTAAAAGATTATATTTGCGTGCTAAATTTTAATAATGAACTGACGGAAGGTAGTTTTTTTCTTTGTATAAATAGAATCATTTTAAAAGAATAGACATAACTTCTGTCAAAAGCACATTTTAAATTGTATGTAATCATCGTGTCAAACTCAAAACTACAGACAATACAAATGCCTTTTAAAAGTTTAGTGAATAATCAACTGATGTTTAGCTTATCAGTAGATGCCATTGATATTGATGCAACTTCATCTGATGCGTCACTGAACGCATTGTACTAGATTTATTAGTTATAGGACAATCTAGTAGATGATTTCGGATGTTAGAATTTTCATCAATAGGCAGTGAAACTTCGAAGCCCCTTAGCCATTGTGTTAAAAGAACGTGACATAACTCTGTTCACGAAATAAAGGGTGCTGTTGATCGAGAACATGATAGGGACTTGATTTTTACACATTTTGTAAGTAAAGCTTTTCGTCTAGATGATTAAGCGATTTAACGATCCCATGTCATTCTTCGTTTTCAGTAGCGTCAAAACGCCATATAGTGGCGTTATCTAGCAATATAGTGCCACAGACATCGTAACTATTGTAACGCTCTATGCGGCGCTATACCAGTTAAGAAAATGAAACTACCAGTTCTATTTTTTTTCCTTAAAGTAATTAATTACAAGTCCACCATTGTCTTTAGATTACTAATGGTCTGATTGACCGAATTAATCATGTCTCATCAAATTATCGAACAGTATTAGAAATCTTTCTAGATTTTATCTTGAATCCTCGGCTTGCGAATGATAATTATCTTTGATTTAGCTTTATAATCAATGTATCAATTTCCTAATAAAGTAAACCAAAGACGTCGTATTCGACAGCTTAAGCGTCAATCGGTTCGTCAGATAATTGTCCATAATAACGACTTTGCTGGTATCAACCACAGTAATGAAAGTAATGAGGAGCTGTTAGGGAAAATTCTGTTACAGTGCCTTTTATCTAATGAAGAGAATTAATCAGAGAGAAAAATGATCACCCTGTATTTCTTTTTTTTTTCTACCAACCAATATGACTCGGCTAGCTATATTGATTTATTTCTCTCTTCTCAGACAGAACAGACGGCGGAACAAGCGAGTAAAATAAACTCTGTAAAATTAATTATCGTTTCACACTTGTTTCATTCTCTATGAACGATCGTTGTTTATCCTTCTTCTTATATTAATCCAACAGGTATATCGTCATATTCGTCAAATAATAATGATCTAATTTTGGTATCAGGAAGATCACCATCGAACGCACTTTCAAATACTGATGTACGTAAAAGAATATCTATAGATTCATTTTCATCACCAAAAAAAAACAGAAAAAAGATCTAAAATTATACAAGATGATGATTCATCGTCGTCCACCCAATCAGATGAAGATAAAGTTTCATGTTTAATGAATACAATTAAAAATCCAATTTTTCATGGTCGACGATCAACTCATGAAGTTAAAAATGACTCTCCATCGCACAAACCAACGGAAGCAGATAGTTTTTCACAATGGATGGAAACAAAATATTTGATGTTGATGTTAGTTTGTCAAGAACGATTAGAAGAAATGATGAAATCAATCTACAAGAACCAGAAGAAGATTCAAAAAGCTTCGAATAAACGACAGGTATTATTTTAAAAAATTCAAGATAAAAAATTTCCTAGACTTTAGCTATTAAATTTTAATATTAACTGAAATCCCTAATCCACTCTCCCCGGGGAGTCCCCGCAAAATAACGAAATCCCTGGGGAGTTCCTGTCGTGAGTCCCCGGGGAATTTTATTTTGGGGACTTTCCTGGGATTTCTCTGAGGAGAATTGATGAAATTTTTAAAATAAAAAAAACTTTAAATTTTAAAAAATTAAGAAGAATTTATTAGTAATTAGATATTGCATCCATTTTAGCCAGATAACTCCCCAGAGAATTCCCGCAAAAGAACGAAATCCCTAGGGACTCCCTGCCGTGAGTCCCCGGAGATTCGTCAGGGGACTCTCTGGGGATTCTTCTAGGGAGAGTTGACTAGGAATAGATTTTCATATTTCGACAGCTCTATCACTTGAAGATCCAGCTGATATCAATAATGATGATAGAAGTTTTTCATCTTCTTTGGTGAGTATAATTTTCAATTATAGATCTTATTTTGGATTTTTAAATCAAATGGTGATGAACCTGGTATCGATTTGGTCAAGATCCTGGGAACAAAAGGCAAAGCTAATCTTTATGTAACACAATTGATTCAAATAATGTTCACAATAGAAGAGCTATTTGAACGACAGCCAGTTAATACTCACGATGACAACAGATAAATTAATTTAAGGTATTAATTTTGTTGTTTCTTCATGTTTATTTCTTAAGTCTTTATTTTCAGAAGCTGTACGTATAAAATTTAAACTCGATGATGAACAAGGGGAACAATTATTTAGTGAATGACTACGTGAAGGTTTTGTTTTCTACTCGACTGTTTCTTTTGTTTTTGAACGAAAACATTTTGTTGTGGTTAACATTTTTTTTGATTGTATGGTCAAATAAAATTTACAAAAAAATAATCAAAACTTTTCTATGTATCAAGCTCTGAATAAATATGAACCACTAAAATCTAACGAAAGGGTAGATCTACAAGAGTACCACCAGCAGTCATAAAACATCTGATGCTATAGCGCGCTTTATCGATTCATAGCGCCGTTATGCAATCGTTATCGATGACATGGAAACAGACATGATTAGTAAATAATCAGCAGATAGATTGGATTTTTTTCTCTACTAGTCGAATATTATTTCAGCGGGTAGTATCAAAACGATGCAGGTGCTTCTCACATTCTGTAGTTCCGTATTCTTTCAGACATTTAGTCTAATTTGAATTGTTTACAGTTAAAATGAGATTCCATCTGCGAGGAAGGATTTCTCAAGTTCATGTCAAAATTGAATAAAAGAATGCATTGTTGTAAAATAATAAGACACGCGACATACATTTCTTTTTTTTATTATAATTCGAGTATTGTGCTGGCACGATTTTAACTTATGTAATGTATAGTTTGAGAAATTCGTTGGAAATAAATAAAAAAAACAAGAATTCTCGATTCTACTTTATCTTTCTTAATTAATGTTCATCATAACAAACCAAAACAAAATATACAGAATTCACTTTTCTACACAAGCTTCTTTACGATCGTCGATTGGTAAATTCAAGTAAACCCAATCATCAAGTTTCTGCTGCATAGAACTTTTGTTTTCCCTTTCTTTTATGCTTTTTCAATGAATGAAAAATTGAAAATTTATTAGTTTCATCACAAATCAAATGTTATTAATATTAGATGAGCCTGTACAAAAAAGGCAGATCCTGCTTACTTTCTGTTCAACTCGTTGAAATCATTGTTCCTCGCTTTTTCTCTGAACCAACTTTTTCTTTTTAACGTCGCTCCTCATCACTCAGCGGAACCTGACTAGCGACTGTTAGAGAAAAGAATATGTCAAGGAGAAGTATAATCATTTTTTTTGGCAACAAAGAATAAGTCAATTTCACACAATGAGAGAACTCAAGTGTAGCACGACAATAGCGATGGGCTAAAAAAAGAGAACAAACATTCTCGACGACGTCAACTAGAAGCAAACATTTCGATGGAAGTCTTTGACGTCGACGGATTTTATTTCCTATTGATTATCTCATTTTTGAAAGCAGTCAAAATAAAGAAATACATTTTATTCCTAGTTAATTATCTCTCTGTGTGTGTGTGTGTACCGAACGTGACCTGAATGAAATAATAGATATTCACAGCGGAATTCTCACATTGCTAATTTCCTGCAATATTATCATGAATAGAGACGAGTGAGAAACATTTCAGGGCGTTTAAGCCTTGATGACAACTATTTTTATACTCATTGTACTACGTATCTACTAGCTATTAGGCAGGTATCGATCTCAAGCGAAAGGATAGTCACAGTCGAATATAATCATTCTCTTAGATGCCAAAGTAAAGGGCAAATCAATTAGTTACCACTTTGTTTTCTGTAGTCGTGAGCTCTACTTCATTATAAATTAAAGCATTCGTCATACGGTTGATAGCAGTAGATTCTCTTCTCATTTTTTTGAGTGTATCACACTATTATAATAATTGTTTTGCTGCTACAAAATATTCATCAAAGGCCAAAGAAATTCAAAATCCCCCATTGTCTATTCCGTAAATCAGGTGTGAATTTCCGCAAACATAGATACAGATACGATAGAATATTACAGAGAAGAATATTGTGTGCTGAAAAATGATAACGCTCTGTTCGCTAATTTAATTTTTCACTTAAACTAATGGTTATTATTTAGAGATCACACGATATTCGACATCAGACTTTACATCCATAGAAAAAAAAGCTATCAAAATAGAGTCTTTATGGTGTGCAAATACGCTTCTCGATATAATGAGATGAAAAAAGCCTTATTTAGCAATTAGTTCTCTCGCTGTAATGTCAGTTGTTTTTTTTATATTTTGCGTTAAGCATGATATATTTTGTTGTTGTAGCGCATGTTTTTTTTTCTATATATACCTTGCTTCGTTCGTATTTGTCTTGAGCAAACGATTCAAAGGCATGCTCCAATAGAAGGATACTTCTAAGCTTTTGCCCTTTCTTTCTTTCTTTTTGTATATAAATAAATTTATTTATGCGCAAACAGACTATGACTAATCCTTAATAAAAGTAAAAACCTGTTTAGGTAAATATTTATTAATGTATTTTGTCAAGGCTTAACTACAGAAGCACATCGTCTGAAGAAAAAACAAATGGAGTACGCTCAGGTGATCATTGTTGGCGGTGGCATTGCAGGTCTAGCAGCTGCAAAAACTTTAGGACACAATGTAAAATATGTACTGTTAGAAGCACAGAATTATCTTGGTGGTCGTATTTTTACGGTAGATGCAGGTATAAATCGATGATAATAAGGTGTTTTTTTTTCTTTTTCATATTCTAATCTATTTCTTTTTCTCTTCTATGATGTAAATCAGCACCTCAGCTCACAGTCGATTTGGTAAAGGAATATTTGGATGTTTTTTCTAAAAATATAATTTTCCGTTTTGTTGTTAGGGTGCTCAATATGTGCATGGCGATAAGAAAAATTCTGTCTATGAGATTTGCAATGAATTAGGCATTATTCTATCTGACGATGAAGATTCCGATGATGGTATGTAAATTGTCTCTGTGGCAAGCTAAATGATTATTTAGTCTGGAATCGCATGAATCTATTGAACAGAGGCTGGACAAGTACAAGTGAAAATACTTTGTACTTACGAATTTTAAGTAAAAAGTACGAAAATACTGAGTAATTGTACTCAGTATCCAATCTCTGCTATTGAATATAATTTTAAGATGATTTCAATTTTTATTTCATCTGTTAATATTAGTGAATTTTTTTTTGTGACTTTCAACTATTGATGTAAAATTTTTATTTTTATTTTATTTCATAGTTTGCTGTTCATTTAGAGACCACGGTTGCTACATCGGACGGCAAGAGTGTAAAATCTGACCTAATGGACAAGGCAACTGACTTATGGGAGCGAGCACGAGAAAAAGCAGAAGAAAAATATGATGATCGAGCAACGCCGTCGCCTGTGTCATTTGCTGATTTTGTACCGGGAGACTTTCAAAAACGATTGTCATCTTCTTCATCGATTTCCAAAGATTTAATTCAGCCTCTAACTGATTATTTTATGAAGCTAGAAATGACTGAAACTAGTTGTAATACATTATCGGATTTAAATTTAATAGGTAAAATCTTGCTGAATTTTTTATTCTCAACTTTAAAAACATTCCTCTACACTGTTTAGAATACGTTGCCTACGAGGATCTCGAAGGTGAATATGAAAATGATTTAAAAAATGGTGGATATCGGCCATTTATAAATTATTTTAAATCGTTCATTCCAAATGATAATCGTGTTCGTGTGAATTGTGAAGTCATACGCGTGAAATTTATCGAAGACGATCGAAAATTATTGATCGAAGTGAATCATCTAAATGAACAACGTACGAAAACCATGATATGTGATCATATTATTTGGACGACTTCATTAGGTCACTTGAAAGCAAACTTTCATTCGATATTTGCAGATGAACCGAGATTAATTCAACAGAAACAACAGGCAATTTCTAACCTAGGCTTCGGTACAGTAAACAAGGTAAAAAAAATAAGATACGCTACGGTGATTACAACCACTGAGAACTAATTTTAATAGAGAAAAAAAAACATTTCTCATTATGACCGTGAGAAACGTACGAACACTTGTTGATATGATTTTCATAGAAATAAGATAGGACTAGCATGATACGAAATAAAATACATAAAACTGCTGAACACCTCAAGAAAAAAACTCTCGGAGTTTGTAGATCATTGCAAATTTAATATGGAATAAGCGAGTTCCGTAGAAAACAATCATTGAAGAAGATCAAACTGGAAATCCTACAATGAATAAGTCTAGGAACGTGCAGCTAAATGTTCTGTAGCTTGACAAAAAAAAAACTTACTTGACGTGATTTCTAAAGCAGAAAATCTTGAAAACAAAATGTTTTACTATTCGTAATGCTTATTTGTTCGATTAGGTGATGTTGATATACAAAAAGAAATTTTGGCATCGAAAAGCCAGCAGTATTGTATTATTGCATATGGATAAAGATCGATCATTTGAAATATCGGATGCGTTAAGACAAAAACTTCAAGTTGAACGAGTCGATTCGCAAATAGTGCAAGATATTGCTAACATGCTATTTCATTATGATGTACTACCATCAACTGATATACCAGTTCTAATCTGTTGGTTGGTGGGTCCAACTGCAGTCGCGGCTGAAAATCTGAGCGAACAATTAATTGGGCAAATTTGCCATGAAGTTCTCTGCCGATATTTAAATATTCCACAGGAGAAAAATCAGCCGGTTCAAATACTCAGGTACGACCTTTGAATATTGATAGGACTGTTAATCGACCTCAAGCATTTTCTTAATTTCTATGGATATTTAGGAGTGCGTGGCATAGTAACAAATATATTGGAGGATCGTATTCGTATGCTTCAATTGCATCAACTAAACACGATCGCCAACAATTGGCAGCAGCTTATGCACCCGACGGGGTATGATTAGATTGTTTGAAGTTATTGTGAAGAATTTAGAAGATATAATTTCTATTTGTTTACTTTCAATTATCAGCTTTCCGACTACATGTAAAGAAGTGAAAAGAGTTTTTCCTAAATATATTTATTTCTATCAAAATGAATTTCGAGATGTAAACCAAAAAATAAGTATTAACGTTCTTTTGTAGGTTCCAAGGGTTCTATTTGCTGGAGAGGCAACGCATCAGCAATACTATTCAACTGTAAATGCTGCTATGGAAACTGGTATTCAAGCTGCTAAAAGGATTCTATCAGCTATTGACTGATTTCTCAATTGATGTTGCTTTATGAGTATTAATATCGAAACATTTTTTTTCTTTATTTTGGATTCGAAGGATTTATATGTTTTTGTGAAATAATCTAAAATAAAATATTTAATACAGTATCATTTGTTATCTTTATGTACTCTGCGCATGTCGCTATCTGAACCGGAAGATATTCATTCAAACAATCATAGCCAATAATAAGAAAAATGTCGAATTGTTTTGTTTTTCATTTGTGTTGCTTCAAAATTTTTGCCAGGTTCAATTTCTATAATTTTCTATTGATCTTTAACATACTTAAAATGAAGAGTGTCTCGTTTCGACCATGATTTAATGGCAATTTATTTTATCTTATCTAAACAGATTTACGTTTTCTGCTATTAATATCTTCGTCTTGAATTATTTTAATACTCTGATGTAGGCTGCTCTGTCTGATTCTAAATGCATTATAGAAAAGCAAAAATCGGATTATTTTCCAACTAAGCTTTAGAGAAACTGCTAACAGATTGAAAAATGCTCTCACAGGTTCGATACATTAAAGAGTTTAACGGAGCCTATCAGGAACAAGAAAGAACAGTACAGTTTTATGTATAAAAAAAAAGAATTCTGACGCACAAGTTAAAATTTCAGATAGATAAAGAATAATAAATATGATTCTGAAAGAAAAATCTAAAAATATCAATAATTCAAAAGGAGACAAACGATCACATCGATCAAGATGACGATTAAAAAGTAGTCAAGAGACGTTTTTTTTTCAGAAAAATCAGATATTCAAGATTCAATGCAGCTTTATCTCTACATCTTAGCAGTTAAAACCGCAGCTCTCTGTCTAGTTCGTATGAAAAATACTCAATCTTCTTTAAATTTTGAAATGGATATTAATATTCAGTCACTGAGAGATAAAAAAAAGAATATTTCCTTGATTTTTTGTTCACAATTATGTACATTCAATTCGCAAAGCACGTGAAAGATAATACTGTGGCATTGTAGTAGTCATAGTGAGCGCGCATTGCCGTAAAAAACACAAAGAACCGAGCAATAAGAGACAAGCAAAAGAATGCTGATTACTCCCTTTTTTTATTCGTAATAGTTTATAATATAAAATTTTCTCAGTTTGATGTAATTTCGTTTATGAAAAACTGTGTTGAAAATATTTTGAATAGGTTTATTATCATAGTTTTAAAGACAAAGGCCGATATGCATTACATTACCGAGTAAATCCTTACAAATATCCAATTAACCCACACAGATTACTGATTATTTCCTTTTTAGAATTTATTATTATAAGAAACATAGATGATTTCTATATATAGTAATATCTATGGGCCGTAAGATTTTCTCGGATCGACAAAAGCTGAATGTCACAATAAAAGTCGTTCTATTTTCAGAGCAATGAAATAGCACAAAGAAACAAAAAGCATTTAATATAAATTCTATGTAATTATGCATTAGAAAACTAGAGTTCGTAATTTTACACGTAAAATAAAGTCAGTTTGTGCAATAACGTGCATTGCACACGTCTACAGGTGGTAATAAATAAACATAAAAACCAGCAACACAGTAGACGGCTGTCACATTCAGGCTAAAACCGCATTCTATTGCAGGAGAATCGAAACATACTGTTCCATTTACAATCGGGCTTGCCGATGTTGGTAATGTATCATTGAAATAGCCAGATAAGTAACCTCCACAATGATTGGTGCCAGCAGATGATAGCGGGATGGAAGTGCCACCTGTACCAACGAACCGAATCCACGATCCATCGCCAGTCGAATTGAATATTGCTTCGTTATCACAGGAGGAACTTGATGCCTTGTTATAAATACTTCGTGTTGGATCATCGATTTGTGTATAAGCTGAACATGCTGGTCCAGTTTGACTGCCGATAATAACGCTGCTGGTTACTGATCCTAATGTTATTGTCGTATCTGGAGTAGAAATTTAAAAAAGGATTTGGTTATAAATACTCTCGTGCAATAAAACAAACTACATACATGAATTCTTATTGTCACTTCCACTTCCACTGCCCGATGAACCTGAAGAATTTATAGCAGCAAATACAATCCCAACCGAAACACCTGCAGCTATTATAATTAGAATAGCAATAATAAATGTAGCAACGGCTGCTCGTACGCTACAAAGTCGCCGCTCGTTATACATTTCGACTCTAGAACATTATCCGAAAAAAAAAGAACTAAAGCAATCGAAATTTTTATTTTCCTACTGAAAAGCAGAATCAGATGATGATTTTGAACTGAAGGTTGGTTGGGCAAGTAGTGCATAAGGATGTTCTTGAAAGTGCACCTTATTAGGTACCACTGGTTCTGTACGAAAAATATTTACCGGTTGCTGTGGTTGGTGTTGTCTTCTAAGTGCTGTCTAATTCAATAGAATTTTACTTATTTCAGAGAAAAAACAAAGACGATATTTTACTTGGTGCAATACAGGCTTCTGAGTTTGTTTCTGTCTTGGCCCAATTTCGATTCTACCGGGTGTTTGTTTTCTCCATCCAATTGTAATCGCCTCCATGGTATTGAGTTGTTTTTTCGAATGTCTTATTCGCAAGTTTCAACATTCTATATATATAGAGAGAGAGAGTATGTGTGTGTGTGTGTGATGAAACTTCTAACAGAAAAACAAAAGTAAAAAATTCAATTATTCAAATTTTTCAATGTGCATATTCTTAAAAAGAAATAGTCATTGCGCTATTGTATAATTAATTTTTTTTAACTTTCTTCCAATAAAAAAAGAAAATAATAACTTCTAAAATACCGAAAGGAATATTGAAATGATACCATAATTTAAGGTCAGCATTTGCATCATAAAATAAAACAAAGAGCATTGTTTCTAGTGGCTCTTGGCAGTTCGTTTCAAATCAAAACAACCATCGTGACTTACTATTGCTGGCATTCACACAATTCTTTTTTTAAATAAAACTAAGAGTCAGAATATCTTTAAGATTCAATATATGTTAATACGAGCAGCACGAAAGAATAAAACATTCGTAAAATCTTGGCATAATCCGTTCATGGAACTCGAAATATAATCAATTGTTAAATTGAACTATCCAATGATTTGAAAATACAATTGAGTAGTTTATTCTTCTCGGCCATTTAAATCCAATTGGAAAGTATTGATCGTGAATAACACATGAAAAGCTCACCAATTAAGAACAGCTTATTTTTATTGTAATGCACGGAAAGGGTGAATCGGGCTGTTGTTTTCTTCTGTAAGAATACATACAAATTCGATTCTATTGTGCAAGTGCCCAGTTAACAGTTGAAATTCATGAAATAAGTTGATCCGACTACCGTTGAATAGCAGAGCCAGAATCATGGTCTTGAAGTCCTTCACCAGTCGACCTGGTCTCCAATCGGCCCGTGCATATAAATTTCTTTTTTCGGGTGTATATTTTGTTCGCTGAACTTTATGTGTTATTCTCATGATTGATATATGAAGTGATGCGGTCAAGTTTGTAATTTATCGCTACATATCAATTATCGAAAAAGAAAACTACCAAACAGTAGTAGTCTTAAATAAGACAAAGAAAACCGGAGGGAAAATTGAATTGAAGCGTATCGGCGAATTCTTATAATGATTAATAAACAAAACAAGAAGCGAGCAGGAAAATGTAGTCTTGTTGTCAAATAGATGATGTTCATAAATCATTTGTTTCAATGTTTCTGATCATAAGTTATGTAGTTATTCATTTCATCAATTATCATTCCTTCTCGTTTATGCATCGATAGTATATATATATATATATATATATCCCCTTGACGAAGATTCTTCACACTAATGCGTGTATGTCCAATGAATGAGACGAGAATAAATTGGGTTAAGGCTCGCTCTTTTCTCATTCTTCCATCTGTTTCTGCATGTGTCTCTCCTCATTAACTATTCGTATCTAAGAATTGAAATGCTGATGAGTTAACATTCTTGTTTTATTTTTGAGTTTGCATTTATATCTCAAGAGAATCTTCCTTCTTGTCGAACTCTTAAACATATTATTCCAAGGTACTCAGTGACAGTGCGTGCTCATATGCATATGGATCTATTAATGTATGTTTCGTCATTTTCTCTTGATAAAAGCGAGATGTTCAACAGGATTAATGCCGATGACATGCAACCGATGATTCCGTTGTTTAATAGAAAAAAAAATTCTAACTTCAATTGAACGCCATTTTGTAGCGTTTCCTTGTCTTTTTTTTGTGTTAATGAAGATTGGTTCTAGGTATTTAGTTACCGCGATCTGCACGTGCCTGTTTGAGTAAAGAAATAAGATTCTAAAAAAGCAATCTTGTTTTTTATGAATGTGTTCAAGCAGAAACCTATTTCTTTTCTTACAATGTCCTCTAGGCTCACTCTCACACGTTGAATACACCAATAGAAACCTTATCTGTATTATACATGCACACGCGCGAACAAACGAACGATGATGGCGTGTCCATCGTGCAGCTAATTGAAAAATTAATGAAGCAAACATTTTCAAGCAAGCACTATCACCGTCTCTTCTCTATTCGCTATCAAAAAATGAATGAGATAGAAAAGACATCAACATCAACAACACCATCTTCAATCATCGTTCAACTGTATTCGACACGACGATCTATTTGTAACACAAAGAAAGAAACAACAAGCAATATCTTTGATGTCGACAAGTTAACCCACTGTGGTTTTTTTTAATTAAAAAATCTGTACGAATAAAGGTGATTTCTTGTCTGATATTTGTAAATCGATTAGATTTGATCAGCATGTACTTATTATGCTACATGTATATCGAAGAAAAGAACAGCAGCTCTTTCTTTTTTTGTCTTGTTTGATACGTAAATAACAACTGTTGGACAGATGAAATATTTTATTTTTGAAGCTTCTCCTCCTTTCGTTTTTTCTTCTTTTGTATTTGATCAAATCTGTCGAACTAGTTGCTATTGCACTTTAGTCAATATTTAATCACTAAGTCTAAGGTGTTATTTTTTTCTATGTCAATATCATAGTAGTAGTGACCAACAGATTGTTTGTCACAAATCTTCTAATCTCACAAGCGAGCCATACTGATCAAGTGTACAATATGTATATGTATAGAACAAACATAATCATTCGAATCGAATTTCCTCAATTCATCCATCTGTTCATATTTTAGCAGATGCCAACTTACATCACCATTTCTTCTTCTTTTATTTTCGTATCTAAGAAAACCCTAAAATATAATTATTAAATGTTCAACAACATGAATGTAACTATAGTTGCTTGAGGCATTGGCTGTTTGATGATCATAAGTGTCGAATAATAATGATTCTCACTTTAGCATAATAAACAAAAATCCTAGAATAAAAAAAAGAACAATAAAGACTGTCAATGAAAGATAAATCAAAAGAAAATATGTTTTGCCTATTTGAGAGCTGTGATAATTGTTCTTTGACTGAATACGTTGATCATTATAGAACATCGCTCTTATTAATGTAAATGTCCGAAACATGTGTGTATATAAAAATGGTAACTCCCATTTTCATTAACAACGACAAAACGATACAACATTTGATTTGACTTTTCTTATCAACTCGATACTATAGTACCTGCCACATTCATACATTGAAGATGGTAAGTAATAATTAAACACTCAAAATCGTGTCATGACTCTAACACGTCTTCTTTTTTTTTCTTCTTTTGTTTATTTATGTCTATGATGTCTGGCATTCTGTTAATTAAAGAAAAACTTCTTAGTTTTTGCTTAATAAACAATTCTACTACAAACCAGATTCGTTATTGTTTTTTTCTTAGGCCAACCCACAGATTAGTGATCATAATTAAAAAGTACGCACACATACAAAAAAATCGAACACTGAGAGTGTCAAACGAAGAAGATATATCATAAGATTCAGTTTGTGAATTCAACCGGAACTAAACTTGCGAGGGAACAACACAAGAAATGAACTACAAAGAACAATAATTTATATGTATTGTAGGAGGCATTCAGCGGAATTCCTCGTAAAGTTTTCTACTTTTTTTTCTTCTTCGGTGTAAAGCTATATATATATGGTTTATCATGCAACATAAAGAAAAGAACTATTGTACTCTATCAGTTGGTTGGTTGGTTTTTTTTTCGTATCATCATACTGCGTGTATGTGTGTTTGTGCTATACTCGATCGTTCGTTGCTTGGCTTTTTTCTTTTCTCTCCTGTTCTTCTTTCCGAGCCGGTTCGTCGACAAGCGACCGCCTAAAGAATGACGACATCCAATAGAAGAAAAGAAGTACACTATTTCTTTTCTTACAAGTAAGAGTGTTTTTTTTCTTGTTCTTCATCAAAGAGTACCTTCTCGTTTTCTCTCTTTCTCTCTCACTCTAGCTTCTCTTTACCTAATCTTGTTTGCAGATCCTCATCTTACTACATAATCAAAACAACATTTGATGAATTAAGGTGAGTATTAGTATGTGTATATAGATATATGTCAAAAAGAATAAAAATTGACTTCTGCAATTTATTTATTGTCACATCATAAATCACATTGGTTAATATTCGAGAAAAAAAGAAACTTTTCTTTATTATTTATTTTGAAAATATATGTTGTAAGGAAAAAAGAGAATGTTTGTTTTTCTCTAGTGATTCTCAATTTCTTCTTTTTTTCGTCTTATACGTTTCATTGTCAATAAGAAGCCGTTAGAATTAGTAATTGCAAATTCAAGTAGCTAGTCGATGGTCAAATGATTGGCTTCATATTGAGCTCGATTTATCATCTATATTTTCTCTCTATGCACGATTAAAACACCTTGTCTTGCCATCCTTAAGAAATACGTAGATAGTTTTTTTTACGCTTTTTACAGTAATATTCAAATCATGCGTCTTTATCTGTTTCTCCTCCTCCTCCTCCTCCTTCCCCTTCGTTTTCTCTGTAGCATGAAATGTGTCAAGCCAATACTCGATCTGTTCTGTTTTGCTTCTCCATGCATCATCAAACCATGAAATAGCCATGTCTATTGATACTCGTTTTCATCATTCGAAAAAAAGAGAAAAGAAAATCGGAGGTTTCTCTTCTTGTTGCTAGAAGAAAAGTATGATTCATAGATCTATTGAAGAAGTTCTAATTTTAATCGGATCGATGTTTTGAGTTCGACTAGGTTTCTTTTGTAGAGCTATTTACGTCTTGTCTAGTAAAAAAAAATCAATTTTCTATTCTTAAGCTATCTTTTACTTGCTGTTAAGCTTTTTCCGTTTATTTGAAGATTAGTAAAAGTTTTTAATCTTCTATTAGTACTTTAATGTCTTTATAAAAGAATAAACTTATTAATTTAGATGACGTTTGCTGCATGTGCTGCTTGCCATGAGCCAATCCACGACCAATGGATTTATGAAGTGTTAGACCGTCTTTGGCACGATCACTGTATACGTTGTGTCGATTGTGGACAATTGTTAACAGAGAAATGTTATACTCGCGATGGAAGACTGTATTGTCATCGAGATTTTTATCGGTATGAGCCAGGAACGGAAAACATCGATGAACACATATTTTAATTTTTTAATTTTAGACGCTTTTGGTGTCGTCGTTGTTCCGGCTGCTTACAAGATATTGGTCAAGGTGAATATTATCTAAGTGCGTGGGATCAATTTTATCATTGGGATTGCTACAAATGTTGTTTATGTTTGCGTAAAGTGAATACAGGCGAAGAAATACATTTAACACACGATAATCGTTTCATATGTAAAGAAGATTTTACTGCAAGAATGAAATGTAAAGAAGAACTCAACAATGATAATTCAGTAAAACATGAAAATGATTACGATAAAGAAAATTCATCGTTTAAATCTCAGCCGATACCGCCGTTAACATCAACACCGAATTCAAATTTAAGTTCATCCGATTGCTTAAAAGAAGAAGATCCAGATATGCAAATGTCCGAGTGTTCGCTAGATTGTAAAGATGACGATCAACTCTGTTTAGTAAATACGAATAATAATAATAATAAACATAATAATAATAATACTTCAAGTACTTGTTCATCATCATCATCTTCTTATCAACAGAAAAAGTCCAATGTTGACAATGCAGATAATGGAAATTCAAATGGACCAAAAAAACGTGGTCCTCGAACAACTATTAAAACGAAACAGCTCGAACAATTGAAATCTGCGTTTGCTGCAACACCTAAACCAACACGGCATATACGCGAAGAATTAGCACGTGAAACTGGTTTAGCCATGCGTGTTATTCAAGTATGGTTTCAAAATCGTCGTTCTAAAGAACGGCGTATTAAACAATCAATCACATGTGGTGGGTCACGTCGACATTATTATCGACGTATGACATCCGGTAGACCATTTGATGATAATGAAATGGTTTCTCATTCGGGCTTGAACTATTTACCAGGTATGCATTTTAAATTATTTATTTGAAAAGAAAAATACCGACCAGTTCTTTTTTGTTTTAGAAGGATTCCGAAATGATTTTATGTATCAAGGGCCACCAAACCAAAATTATAATGATTTCATTATGCAACAAGAACTACATCAAAGACTTAATTATGGACCAACTGGAGGTATGATTTAAAGTAAAATAAGCTATATGAAATATACGAATATGTGTTCGTTTTTTTCCCCAACTATTTAGATCTATCATATCCTATGCGTCATGAATTAAACAGCGGTTCATCAGCGACAGTACCGGATTCTTCGGGAGCTGATTCTGAAGATTTACAACAGCGTTTTAGTACAACACCACCTTTAAACTCACAGGTGGCCATAGCTGGAGGAAGTGCCTTTAACGATCATTCGTGGAATTAAATTTTCCTCTTTCTCTTTTCTTTTTTTTTATATAACAGTCGTTGCTTTTCTTTGTTTGCCTTTATTCAGCTTTTCTTTTCGTCTTTATCGTCGTGATCCTGATTTTTTTTTCGAAAAAGAATCTATGATGATTTCTTAACGTGATGTGACGATCTCATGCTGGGTAACGACGGAATTTCAGACAGCTGAATAAATGTGCACGAGCGGAAATGTCAACTTGAATGTGCGCGCACGTTTCTCTCGTCTTTGTTTCCTGTCAATTGGCAATTCCTATCTCTTCTATTTTTTTTGTCTTTGTATTAAACAAAAATACTAATCATCTACCCAGTTATTTTCACTATCATCACCTTCGAATGAAAGCAAAAGCAAAAGCAAAAGAGAGAGAGAGAGTTTATTTGCTCGATAGATTCATCAATATTGAATTCGTATAATAACTTGATGATGCCATGGAGAGAAGCAACTATCACGATGAGAGAATCTCAATTTACTTGGACAAATAAATGCATGCGGCATTATGTGATTGAAATATATGTTCAAAGGAAGCCTTTGCTTTATGTGCATAGTAGAAGAAAAAGAAAAAGAAAAAGTTTGATTAAGAAACCATAAGTATATATATATATATATATTGTTCGAGTGAGATGGTGTCACTCAATGATCTCAGTATAGAAAGTGAAAGTAAGACCACTGACTGGGCAAGTAAACAGTGATTACTTTTGCAATAGGTGTTTCTTAATTGGTTTTTCTCCTCAATGAAGATCAGAAAATGAAAAGACAAGTAGAGCGAATTGTTGATTTGAGTATATACTTAGCAAGCGTGTGATCAAAACGACAAAGAATACTTGTTGTTAATCACAAAAGGTGTTACATGTCACTCGTTTTTTTTTATTTTTTATAAATATGATTGGAGATTAGAACGGAAGGAAATTCATAAATATTGTTCAAGCTCTAAACACATGTCTCTCTTTTTTTGTCAATGTGTTAATACTTGTACATTATTTGTTTGATTACTCTCTGGATGTATGTTTTTCACAGTTGAAATCTAATTTCTATTGATTGTATTTACATGCAGTTAGGGGTCCATCATCGATGGAAAAGTGTATTTATTGTAAATGATATTTTCTCAAGATTAGCCTCCATGACAACGAAATTTTTTAAGACAAAGATAAAAAAACAACGTTTATCGGTGGATATGAAATCGACGAAGAAATTCATATAGCGAGAAATAAATTCATTTTGTTAACTAGATGCAACCGGCCAATCTCATTGAGTTCTGCTGGAGATTTTCCTACGCTTCATTGTGACAGGTTTTAGTAGAATATCTGGAGACTTTCCTAGCCGATTTTTCAACTGTGACTTTGAGGAATTCAATCGATAAGACTTGCATTCAGTAGAAAATGAAATTCTGCATTTACTTATGTTGATATTGGTTTTTTTTACATCCTGAATCTGAAAGCGAAAAGTGAAAGACATTTATTTCGTGTTTCAATCAAGAAATGGAACGCGCGCTTTTATTTCATAAAAGAAATTATACCTTTTTTTTAAATAGGTTAGTTACAACAATGATCCTATCGATATAAATTTAGAAAACAGTTAAAATAATCTTTAACTTATATAAATATACATGCATGCAAAGAATCACATTTTATTTCATATAACCCTCCTTCCAATTGAGAGAACATTGGTTTCTGTACATTTTCGCACTCGTTCAATGTCTTTTCACTAACCAGTAATGTTTAAGCATATGTATTCAAGTACATGTTGTTATTATTGAATGTTTTTTTCATTTCGATGTAGAACATATTCAAACTAGAGACTTTGGATTTCACTTACCAGATGCTAATGAATCAAATTTTCTCTTATCAATATAGAAATGGAATATGTATATACATATATTGAATTGTAGGATAAATTGTTCAGTTATTCGGTGGAGAAGAAACAGCATTTAGAGTTTTACTCTAACATTGGATAGTTAGCTTCATTTATTGAATTTCAAAAAGACATAAAGTCTTATGAATTATTTTTTTTGAATGAAATTAAATATCTTTCAAAGAATTAACTTGATTTGTCAAAAGTTTGTTCAATTAAAATAGCTTTATTTATTTCAGACATTTATTATTGCCAACTCACTGATACTGATGAGACAAAATCTTGAAAAGTGTGAATTCAACGGAACTCACTATTATGCATCTACTTCTATGAATTGATTATTTGATCTAAATGTATTGGGCGAGGTTAGCAAGACGCGAACAACGACTAACATTAGTTGCTTGCTTTTTTTTGTATTTTGATGACAGTTTTTTCTCTCCTACTTAAATATCTATTCATGATACTTATTCAATAGTTATGACTATTCATATAAGTAGCACATGGCTATGAATAGAGGTATCCAATGCTTACTTTTTTTTATATGGTTCGATGCATTTGCTATGCTCGTTAATCTTGAGAATATGAAAGCAAAAGAATATTTTTCGCACAATATGTGTCTTTGATCAGTCGGAAAGTAAACTCAAATCTATAAATATAACAATCTTTTGATGACAGTTTTTTCTCTCCTACTTAAATATCTATTCATGATACTTATTCAATAGTTATGACTATTCATATAAGTAGCACATGGCTATGAATAGAGGTATCCAATGCTTACTTTTTTATATGGTTCGATGCATTTGCTATGCTCGTTAATCTTGAGAATATGAAAGCAAAAGAATATTTTTCGCACAATATGTGTCTTTGATCAGTCGGAAAGTAAGCTCAAATCTATAAATATAACAATCTTGATGTGTACGGAAATAGTGAGTGTAAGTTGAATTGTTAGGTTTTTGCGGCTCCCCTGTCCCCCCCCCCCTTCCCATTACAGGCATAAAATATAAACAAACTAACACTTAGATACACTAATTATAAACTTTTTTGGTACAGATCGATTGCCTATGTTCACCACTACTCACATCGGTAATAAAAATCTAGTTTCACTAACTCGAAATCATTTTAATTAGGATTTAATCTCTGATTAATCATCAAAATCTGTCGTTTTTATTATTACAGTCCATAGTTACGGCAGTATTATATATTTTTATTATTACAGACGTTAGCAGCGAGTGTATGCTACCGCTGCAGAAGCTAGCAACTAGTTTATGCTACTATTACACTCGTTACTTCTACCCCCTACAATAAACAGATGAAGATTTTAATCTTTTTTTCTCACACAAATACCTTATTCTAGAACTTGAGTCCACTTTAGTGTATTTACAATTCGCAACTTTTCCATACACTGGAAAGCTTCTATCAAATTTTCGTTTATGAAAAAATGTATCAATTTCTCACCTGGTAATACGAAAAAATATAAATTTCTCAACAATATTAATAGCTATATCCTAACTACTGTTTAAACTATTATCATTCGCAATATTTCTCAATGAAGTCACTAAACACTTCAGCATACTGACATATTTCAAACAAAAAGCTTTTTATACGTTCTGTCTAGTAATATTTCCTGTTGATAGACCCAATAAACCTCGAATGTTAAAAAGGTTTTACTATCTTATTGTCGAACAAAATATGATCTCACTACACTGCAAAAATAAAACTTCTATTTAATCAGTATGTAACTGACCGAAATATGTGAGTTCCACATTTTAGCCTCAACGGGGCTGCGCTGAAAAGCTTTTGTTTGTTTTTCCCAAGAAAATTTGCCGGCCTACACATGTCCACGTCTGTGTTACTAAAGTTTATCTATGAGATGAATGAATTTCACAAAGATTGATAGTTACTAATACTACCTCGGCTAAATATCTTAGACTATTTGAGACAAGTGACCAACAAATAATCGTACCAAAAACTATACGATGATCTTCATACTGCTTCAAATAGCTTTTGTGATTATTTTGTCATTGGCTTACTTAAATCGACATTACCGGGTACATTTGCATATTATTACTGGTTTTGTTGCTAAAGCAATGTGCTCAGGAGTGTTTATTGCAGGTCGCAATGAAGGACTAAAAGAAAAAGATGATCTTCCTTCAGATCTTATGAAATATGCAACGGTTACTATTGATCACAAGGATTTATCAGCAAGCAGTTCTTTTTTCGGATTAGCTCACAGTAAAGCTATATATCGTCCGGGACTCGGTGCAACACTAATTCATGAATTAACAGAAAAAGAAATTCGTGCACAAAAATTCAATCTAACTTCACCACCTGATGTCAATCAAGATGATATCCCATGGCCAATGGGTGATAAAACAGATCATTATAGCATTCCGTCAAACATCAATCGAACACTATTACAAGACGCTATTAGTAGTTTGTTTATTGAGAAAGATCGAAAGAAATTGATTAACACACGAGCGGTAGTGGTCGTGTACGATGGAAAATTGATTGCTGAACAATATGCTCGAAGTTGGCCACGAACTTCGAAACATCTAGGTTGGAGTATGACCAAAAGTATTATTAGTGCACTTTTTGGCATTGTGGCGCAAGAGAAAAACCTTGATATCAATGGACCTGCTCCAGTATCTGAATGGAATGAAAGCGATGATCCTCGTCATTCAATAACAATTAAAGACTTATTACAGCAAACGAGTGGTTTGAATTTCGTAGAAGATTATACTTCGAGCAGCGATGCACTAAAAATGTTATATTTAACCAGCAACATGGCTAAAAATGCCGCTTCACATGCGTTAGGAGATAAACCAGGCACTCAATTTTCTTATTCTAGCGGGAATACGAATATATTGTCACGTATCATTCGTGATATAGTTGGTGAAAATGAATATCATTCTTTTCCTTATCGAAAATTGTTCTACAAGCTTGGTATGAATAGTTTTATTATGGAAGTCGATGCATCAGGAACTTTCGTTGGTTCATCATATTCGTACGGTACTGCTCGTGATTGGGCACGTTTTGGTCTTCTGTATTTAAGCAACGGACTGTATAACAACGAACAAATATTGTCGAAAGATTGGATCGAACAAACAATTAAATCTAGTGGTGCTAACCGAGGCTACAGATATGGATTTCAGTTTTGGTTAAATAACCCTGTGAGTGATGATTCATCTGAACGGCGATTTCCGAACGCACCGACAGATATGTATTATGCATCTGGCAATCTAGGACAAAACGTATTTATTATTCCATCGAAAAAATTAGCCATCGTTCGTCTGGGTGCAACAAAAACTCCCGGAAGCGACTATGGAGCAGATGACTTTTTAAAGACTGTAATTGCTTCAATTGAATAAGAAGAACAGTTTTTATTTGACTTGATACGCCTAGAATCGGAAAACTCATTTTATTTCATTCAAGCAAGCTGTCACTCCATTGAATCTAATTTGCCTAAGAGATTTTTTCAGTGAAGTGTTCTTTCTAGATGCTTTATGCCGAAAGAAAACTTATTCTGATAGGTCATTCCAAAACCACTTTTAATTTTTCGTCACTGTCAAATAGTATTACAAGTTGTCAGATCTATACGATAGAAACTATCTCTATATATTTCTCCACCTTGAATCATTCTCTCAGCGAACTTTCGAGATACATTTGAACATGTGACCTGGCACATGCGTGCAAGTAATCAGTCAAGCAAACTCACTGAGACAATGTCAACGTTAGAATTCAATTTAAAAAAGAGTGAATCATCTTCTTTTTATTTAGCTAATCAAATCTGAACAACATTTTCTCATTCATGATTTTAGTTTAAAAAAAACGTATGCCACATATTTCTATATATGAGTGGTATAAACAACTAGTTGTCACCCGCCTCTTCCTTGTTGAGAGACTTATATTAATAGTTATAATGGTGCAGATCATGTAGAATAATATAACTTCATGGTAATTTCCATATCAGCTGAATTATTTTAGTCGATGAATATTTTCAATGATTCCAAATTCATCGAAAGAATTTTGCAATGATGACAGTATTGGAATCGGTGAAAATAAACGAGTGTATCTGAACAAAATATCTACGTAAATGGTGAAGATATGTTACGCTTAAGGTTAACTTTGGTTGTTGAATCCGATTACTCCAGATACTATAGAATAGTTTTTGTATCTTATCTTACAATGAAACAATAACTTTCATCGGTGGCAGTACAGATGTGAGTAACCTCTATTTGCTAATAGAGGAAAGACTCGATGCTAGATATGGATTGGTTTATACTCATGCAATTACAAAAGGCAAGAAAAAAAAGCAAGCGATAATATAATTATTTTCTATTCACCCATATGTTCGTGTGGTGCGTTGAAATGTTTTAATAATATGATTTTAATTTTATTCTTCTTTTTCATATTTATTCGACTTCAGATGCTACAAATAATTAGATTTGAAATCAAACTGATTTTAAACTGGGTGCAAAGTCTGCAACAGTTCGTGCTACTTGATCGATATCAATGTCAAATCGATTAGCACTAATTATTAGCCACACTTTACTCCCACCTTCGTTTGTTATACAGATTTTGACATCGTGTTCTCTATCGAAATATTCGATTTTATCTTCTGCGCCAATTACTTTATTTATATCGTTACAGTCGATATAGTATCGCTTAGAAGGGAAACTAAGGATACTTCGTTTGAGGCTGCTTTTACGCCAATTAAAATCGGGCTTCATTGAGATCAGTGGTTTAAGACCTACGCGTGCCGCATCAAGTGATGGCATGCTGTATGCTGTAGCTTCATAGACCTGCCCATCCCAATAGATTAACACTGGTCCGTGGCGATCGATTGGTATATTATTGTCGGTACTTGATGACACTTGCACCGTATCAATATAACCCAAGTCTAGTTGCTTGACCTGTGACGTAGGTAGTGCTAGTTCACTGTATCCCATATCAACTTTGATATTCATCTTCATCATATGCACTTGGTCAGCAGCCAGCTCTCCAGATAATTTCTTTGAATGGTCCGCTCCGTTCACCAAACATATCTCCACCTCCAACCATGCCAGTTTTTTTCCATATTCTATGATTCAACATAAAAATAATTATATCTAAATAGGATTTCTATTTCGCTTCAGATCTTGTTTCGCGGTGTTATTCTACTGATGGTTTTTTGTAACATACCCAATGGATATGTTTTTGGGATTCTTTAAAATACACTTAATTAAACTTGCCATTTTTGTCATGAAATGAAACAATATACACACTGCTTAATTCAAAAGAACTTATGAAAACATTGTATATATTTCATTATATTTCGACCGTATTTTGATTAGGTTACGATGCATGTTTAACGAATACAAGGATAAAGTTTATCTTATTTTAGTGCCCATGATTTATAAAATTTATTTCGAGTCACATGCGAAGTATATAATGAAGCTCAAAAACATTTTGAAAGGAGATATTCAGCACAAATTTTAAGTCGAAATTTTGCGGTGACTTATCTCCTTTGTCTGTTTTTTAGAAGTAAGCAACTAGGCTTTCAGGCCATCTCTCTTTCCATTACAGATCATAGCCAACGAGGATAACAAGTGTCAGTGGTTTTTCAGAGCGCACTATAGATTGAAGGTGTGAACTATTTTGGAATATTCCGAAGTCTTTTTAATTTAAGTGGTTGAAATACGCTTGCCAATGTTTTGCATTGTGCAGTTTTTTTAATTCCTGCATAGAAAAAAATGATATTGTAAATGTCAGGATGATTCGTAATGATAGTTCGATTTGCCATAATCATTATATGATCAAAATCGAATTAATCAATTGAGCAACCTACAACATCGTGACATAATCGATACCAGCATTTTTGATATTATCGAGATGAATAGTAGTGCGAAAAGATCTGCTGTAGATTGACGGATATATAAAACAGGTTTATTTGACAGCTAAACCAATTGTTATATGAATGAAAATGTTACATTACGAAAAAAGAAATACGAGAACACGACGAACAAAGAGAAAAACAGCAAAACATAGGAGAGAATCTTTTGGAAATGCAGAAATAAACAATTCAGGTCGTTTTTCTGGCGATCGATTATCTAGAAGAACAGCTATGAACTATGAGAGATTTTCCGTAGAGTAAATTATTTTATTAAGCAACATAGTGAGTTTGATGAATAAATAAAAGTTCCACATTTCAGTTTCAAAGTTTTTTCGATTTTATTCATCACTTGTTTTTACATGACTTAAGATTATACTAAAATTAATTGCAAGAGACAAAGGATGAACTACAGAATTGACATTTTTGCAGTAAAAAATGAAAGTGAATCCATTCATTACAGCATGAAAAGTTATTTTGCCCATGATTATAAGGTTCTATAGTTTGACGAATGCGTTCTTAATCGACAAGAATAGATAGTGAATCTAAACAAAAGCATTCTTTGCCGTTCCATGTTATCATGAAGTTTTTTCTCTTCAGTAGAAAATCGTTCTTGTTGTGAATGTTGCACTTGCGGAGCTGTTCCGAAAAGTTGTAGAGTGATTCTCTTTTCGTTCTGTTTGAGAACGACCAGGATTGAATTTCATTCAAAAGAGATCGCTTTCTTCGACATTCTATAGTGGAACATCCAAAAATAAGTTCTTGAAAGTTATAGATACATTTCAGATAAGAAAAAATCATTCTTGGAATGAAACGAACTTATTCGCTATCGTTTTTAATTTTTCAAAATATACCTGTATAAATTTTCTATACATATATAAATTTATTTAAGAACAAATATGTTTACATATTTATAGCAGAGTTGGAACCGGTCCGGTCCGGCCGGTCCAAAACATTTTCCAAACCGGTGAAAACCGGCAAGTTTACAATATTTTTTTCACATAAAAAATGAATGGCAGGCAAAATTTCTTTGTAGTACCTGATAATTCGGAAAAGGCCTAGGATTTCTCGCCGAATAATATTTCAAATTAAATTCAATCTTTAGAAATAATGTTATGAAATAAATTAGACCCAGGAAATAAAACGTTGACTTTATTTTTCAACAATGAAACATTTTTTTTTCATGAAATTCAACGGTTACTTTGATAAAAGCATGAAAAATTGTTATTAATAGTTTTTGCAAGGAAAAAATGACAGATCTATAAAAAAATTTTCAACCGGTGATGACTTACCGGTTTAAACATTTCAACCGGACCGGTTCCAACTCTGACTCATAGATGATAAACTACAATCATTTTTAAATATGAATATATATTCTTTTGATATAAATATTTGTATAGATAAAATGAATACATCGTATCGAAATTAAATCTGTCGACGAAGTTTTCACTGCGTCACATAATTTTGTCGAAGTTGCAAGTTCATCGTAAGTGCTACACGAAGTTATAACTTCAACGAAAACACTTATCTAAATTGCTTCAGTTGGATTAAATACTAAATGACGATCAGTCAATTCAGGATACTAAAAATAATAGGTAAAATTAAGTTTATTGTATTTTCAACAACGTTTTATCGTTTTTTACAAATAAACATAGAAGAAAATATTCAGAAAAATCAAACATAATGTTTTTAATATAGTCTATTTGTTTATAGATCTACTCTGATGGTGCCTATGTTCGATGTTAATGAGAGAGATATCTAAAGTACTATTCTCTGCTTTAAACAATACAGTCGCATAATTAGAGAAATTATCATAATGTACTTTGATTCGAGATGATTTCTATTTTTTTCTCAAACTCATTTTTATTCGTTTGTTTTCTCGGGACATACATATTTTGTCATGAATAATTTGCGAGACTCGCTAATATAGGCGATGCAGTATTAAAAAATATTCGCTCGAACGCTAATGGAACTATTAAATTAGATCTAATACCATCTCATTTCAAATCTGCCAATGACACAATTAAGAAATCTTATCTAAAAAATCGTGGAATTCGTCATTAACTTTTTCATTTTCAAGATTCGAGATGGTAAAAATAACGTCATCAGAAAAAGTTATCGACTAGTACGTGTTTCAACAACTGTTTATGGGTTATGAACCATCGATATGATTAAAAGTTCAATCGATATCTTTTTTTAAGAATTAGTTTATAAATGTAACAGAGTTCTCATGGTGAAGAATTTCATTTTCATGACCACTGGAAAATGATTGAAAATTTTGATGAGTTGTTCGTCTCAAATGCACATTGTAAAATGTGTACGTATAAAAAAGAGGAAACTCCAGAACAATATCAGTTCTTAGAATGAAAAACTTTGTAATCTATTTTAATACCTAGCAGTCATCTTTCATTGTACTTTTCTTGTGTAAAATCTTTTCTAACAAATAATTCTTGATTTTCGTTTCTGGAGTTACTCTTGACAAGTCGTCATAACTGAGTCGATAATCATAAAAGGAAATTAAAGACTACTTGTTTGAACTGAGATAAAAATATTTAAATAAAAAAACTGCGGCTATTTCAAGGCTTTATGATTGGGTGTGGACCATTTAATTTAATGCGAGTTAACTAAAACCGTTAGCTAAAACGTTAACGTTAACCTTTAATATCAACGGTGAACGGTTTTGCTCAAAACGTTAATTCGTTAATATTAACGGTTAACGGTTTTAGTTAACATTAATTTTAAATTAGCGTAAACGTACCACCCGTATTTATGATTGTTCTTCTATCATTTTCCAAACATGGCAAGCGAACAATGAAATTAGAAAGAAATTTATCGTAGTTACTATTCAACATAGCTCTATTCGGAACAGTAGTGGAATCCGTCTATAAGTTAGCTTTTTTCGCAACCTGTGGCTGTAGATCTACCTGATTATCAATAAAGAGTCAAACAGGTGACTAAGCGTTATCGCGAAATAAGCCTCTTCGTGCGTATGGATACGAATGGATAAAGTTCTCTTAGTGATGAATTTTTACGATAACCGCTTTATCGTTATTTGAAAATTCAATGAGCTGATCAATAAGACGCACATCCTCATTCGCATCAACAGCTAGAAAGGCGAAATTCAGAAAAACCTGCTATCGATATGGTTCATAGGAATTTCCAATAGAACACGTCAAATTTTTAGTAACTTTTAAATGTTGTCAGCGTAGAGCGATCCTGCCATTTCACCAACTCTCGAAGAAATCGGGTCGCGGGCTTCGCACCACATTTCGTATGCGACTGAAACTCGGATACCATCTAGTTAATTTCGCGCTCTGTATGAATAACAAAACCCGTTATCTGCACAACATATAGGGTAATGGTAACTAGGAGTGTAAAAACTATGTTTTTTTAGCGGAATAACTTGTTTCAAAAGAACAACGACGCATCATATATATCTTCATTTCTGATTTTAAGAAAACTCATCCATGCTTGTCGAATTTTATTTACGCTTTTATCCGATTAGAACCTTTTACAAAGTACATCGAATTGCACTTCTTTTTGAATTCTGTTAAAATAAACCAGTAAAAAAAGAATACATACGTTATTCTAGATATTGGTAAGGTGATATCAAAAAGTGGCAACCAAAATCTAGGAAAAGCGGTACTTTTTGTCCAAGTCGCAAGTGTATAGGGTACAGTGAAATATTTTTAAAACAAACTATTGGTCTTAATGACCTGATTGTTAATATACTTCGTAGCTGACTATCACTACCTGCGCAGTACATATGAAATAAATAAGGAGGTTTTTCATTATTCACGTATAGACACAAGACGAAAACGGAAAAATACGTGTTTCCTTACTTATCGTGCACTGTGAGTATAGAAGCATAAATATTTATTTATATAAAACAAACAAAGAATAAATGTTCACAGTTAAAAGAAGTGTATTGTGATATTTAAATAAAGAATATGTATTTTTATAAATACAGAGGTTTGTTTTTTGAGTGTATAGCTATACCTAAATTTAAAAATATATGTAAGAAAAGATACGTCTGTATTTTTAAACATAGATAACACCTTTTAAACAAATACTATTTTTACTTTTACTTCTTAAAGATTATTAAAATTAAAATCTCACGCATAGTTGTTCCCATGTTAAGCATAAATCGAAAGAAACGGTTGACATAAAAGGCTGAATAAAAACTTTCATTGTCGATTGTGATATGTTTTTATCTAAATACTATTTTCACACTTGGTTTCAATCAAATAATTAGTCCAACAGATAAGATGCTAGATCATCGATTAAAGAATCTTCAGTTCGAACCTGTGGCAAAGCAACTGTTTTTTACATGAACAGTTGAAAACAAGTTCTTAGGAGAGGCATACATTTTACTGATTACTGTAAATGCGCACGATCAAGACCGCGTTTAAAAAAAAGGAAAACTTTTTAAAGAGCACATTACGCGGAGCATATCTTACTTTATTTACTTTTTCAGTCGATAGTAGTATTGGAAAATTGTATGTTTTTTATGTAAATGTGTGTGTCCAAATAAAATCACTTTACGATGCGAGAGAAAGTGCGTATATGTATGTGTGTGTGCGATTGAGATGACGTGTTGGCCTCGAATATATTTCGATATGTATTTTCTTGTTTATCTATCATTTCTTTCAGACTTGTGACGTCATTACAACGCGTTAACGGAATATATGGAGTCAATTAATTTTACTTTGATCATTAGTAATGCCAATGAACATACCTTGGCTAGTTATGGCAAGATCAATTCATCTGAAGTTCATCGAATTACATTAACAAACATGTCTTGGATACCAGGAAATATGTTTGTTTTGATTAATGAAACAATGCGACAACGTTTAAATTTAAATTTTTGTAAGACATTACCTTCACAACATTTACATCCGAGAATCAACAACATCATCCCGTCTGATGATCCCTATCGGTTATGTGAAAATGTTTATTTATCAGTTGATCTCGATACATACAGACTTCGATCAATTGCTTATCCTGTTCTTGTTCCTGATCTATCGGTTGATTTTATATTAGGTACACTATTTTTTTATGAGTTAAATCTAAAGTGGAGCGCGAGCTTAAAACGTCTAATCACTCGTAGTGAAGAGGAAGAAGAAGCTCGTCGGCAAACTTATCGAAGAATTTTATAAACTGAAAGTCAGATGAAGTTCAAAAATTTGTTTTGCTTTTCTTTCTTTTTGAGAAAATTCAATGTTTTGATCATATGAGTATTTTTGCTGACATTACTTCTACATAGCGAATACATGTTCAGTAAAGATAAGGTTAAAAAATCGAGAACTTAATTTTTTAAGTGTAATCGATAGTTACGTCATAAATAATCATAACTGATGCGAAAAATGTTTTTGTGTAAATTTCCTTTTTTTGTTTTGTGGAAAGGAATTCTACCGATCTTTGTATGTTTAGAAGAATGTATTATTTGAAAAGAGTATTAATTTCTTTTGTAACCCACCGGAATCCTCAAGCTCTGTTTTTGTGCTGAATTTTTGTTGTTGTTATTTAGCGTGTAAATGTTCGTTTTGTCAACTGTACCTGACCTAGTATGAATTAATCATTCATGTTTACTATACTATATTGAATCAAATAATAATAAGCAATTTCATCAACAATTAGATCCATAATAATTTAGTTAACCGATGAGACGAAAAGAAGTATCCATACACTTGACTTACTATTGAAGAGCATTGTAAGAGAATTTTGTTTAAACTGTATATTTTATTAATAGAAAAAAATACTGGTTGAAAACAAACTGTTGGCGAGCAACTTTTGCGTTAGTAAAATGAGCAACACAATAGAACTGCTCATGCTAAATGCTTCAGAAATGAAATAACAAAGTAGTTCGTATATTAACAATGACTACCAGGTTCTTTGACGACGTTTGACTAGCACCTAGAAGTAGTGGATGATCTGGCAAGAAAGAAAAGTTTTTCGGACTACATCAAAATCGTTAATCTCACAAAGGTCGATATGATGTGCATATATGTAAATTAGTGAATATGTTTTCCTATTCCAAACTGTAGAGTTGCTATCCAGTGTTCAAAATAACAAAATCTTATGGTGAAAATTGTGTGACTTAATCTAAAATTTACATTCAAGTGTGGCACAGTTTTGTTAAGAATACAGAGTTGATGATTTGCAGCATGCTTCAATCGAGGTTTTTCCTTAGAGTCTTGTAAAAACCATTGAATGATGTATATACATGAGAATATATATGAGGCGATGATTTTTTTTCACATAAAGCAAACGTTTTAAGTCATGATTCGAGTGCATACTTTGGTTTCTTCTCATCTTTATGAATTTATATCGAAATCTAATACGTAAGCTCTTTTATGTATACGCATAATTGCGTTTCTAGAATCAATCTTCCATAAATTCGAAATTGGTCTTAAATCATGCTTCATTTTTACTGAGAAAAGCAACATTTAATTCGATGTATTTTACCAACTAGAGAATTTGATAACTTCAAAAGCTATATACTATACGAAGAAAGGCTGAATCGTTTCTTATGCGATTCCACGTCGATACAGGAGTAACCTTTGCAAAAGTTTCATCCATATATACAATAGTGACAATTACAAATTGGTAACAAAAAGAAAAAAAGCTTTTACAAATTTTTAACATCCAGACTTCCATTGAGGCAATAGCCGAGTTAGTTTGAAACCTAGGGTTTTTACAGCTGGACTTAACATCGGAGTTTTAGAGCACTCAAAGATTATGTTTTTCCTTCTAATGATATCTTAATCTTACATAACCCGGATTGAGACTGCAGCTCCTTACAGCTGACAGATTTAGTAAGAGTTACAAAATGTACTCCCTAGCTAGCTGCATTCATGATTGAAGATGGCGCTAGGTTTCAGTTAGATTAAATAAAATTATCAAAAAATGACTGCGTATGAAATAATAATATTTTCGTTGTAGTGTCATTTTAAAACTAGAAAATATGATTTTAAAATATTCGAAGCCAATTCTATATAGTATTCGTTAGTTAAACTAACTAATAGATGATTTAAATCAAACAATAAATCCAAACCGCCACCCGTCTGCTTGCTTATTTGACAAATAGACAGTTTAAGTACGTTTTAACAACGCGACAGATGCCTTATTCATAAAATTATATTTTGTAGATCAATGTTTCCAACCCCAGATTTATCTCATTTTACTCGAAATGATTACAGTCAAATCTATGAACCGGACGCTGATTCATTTCTTCTTCTTGACGCTTTAGAATTAAAACTAAATGAAATTCTCGAACTTAAACCTCTTATTGTACTTGAATTTGGCTCTGGTTCAGGTATAGCAACAACATTTGTTGCTAAAAATTTTTGTTTAACACCATCTCTATTTTTTGCTATTGATATTAATCCATATGCATGCTATTCAACGAAAAGAACATTCGAACAAAATAATCTTCATCATAAACATTGTTTAAATATCGTTCAATGTAATTTAACTGATCCTTTAATTGAACGTTTATCATCAAAAGTTGATTTAATACTTTTTAATCCACCTTATGTTCCAACAGAAACGTCAGATGTTAAAGAAGTTATTGAAAGAACGTATGCAGGTGGTAAACAAGGTATTGAAGTCATAGAAAAAGCTATTGAACAAGCAAGTCGATTACTTTCTTCTAAAGGTTTATTTTATATGGTAGCACTTGAAGAAAATAATTTTGATACATTAAAAGAATTAGCTAATCAAGTCGGATTGAATATTGATATTATTCTCAAACGACGAACACTTATTGAAAGATTATTTGTTGTAGAATTTCAACGACAGTGAAATTGTTTTGTGTTTCTTGAATTTTTCATTCTAGATGATTGATACATTGTTTCATCGGGTTTTGTCGACTATACAATATCATCAATTTATTGCTGGTCTTTTCGGTGGAATTATTTCATCGATTGTTCTTCATCCATTTGATCTCATTAAAATACGATTTCAAGTTACAGAATCGAAATCAAATAAAAGTGATCGGCCATTACCCTATCGACCTTATTATAATAATTTCGTTGATGCATTTCGATCCATCTATCGCGAAAAGGGTCTTCAAGGTTTATATGAAGGCGTAACACCAAATGTTGTTGGCAATGGAATATCATGGGGTCTCTATTTATTTATTTATAATACCATCGTTGTCTTAAATAATGATGAAGATAAAATAAAAAGTTTAGCATTTTTATATCGTGTGATCTATTCAACAACAGCCGGTTTATTAACAATTATTTTAACAAATCCAATATGGGTTATCAAAACACGTATGTGTTTACAATATTCAAAAGGCAAATCATCGGCTACCTACGATGGTATGCTTGATGCATTTCGAAAAACGTATCAAAACGAAGGCATACAAGCATTTTATAAAGGTCTTACACCTGGTCTGTTTGGTATATTTCATGGTACAATACAATTTTCTTCGTACGAACAAATGAAAAGTTTTTACATGAACGCATTTGGAATAACATATTGTCCTACGCCAATTATTTTGACATTTTCGGCTCTATCAAAATTTATTGCTGCTACATCAACATATCCAACACAAGTTGTACGTACCCGTTTGCAAGATCAACATCAACATTATAATGGTGCAATAGATGCTATTAAGAAAACATACGAAGGAGAGGGTATTAGCGGATTTTTTAAAGGCGTTGTACCAGCACTTTATCGTGTTATACCAGCTAGTTGTATAACATTTGGTTCCTATGAATTTATTTTAAGAGAATTGAAAAGTATGACTACGTAATTGACATATTTTCTACGCACAAACATGACTATTTATAGTTTCGTTCTCATTACATAAGAGTTATATTGTTTTGTGGTTATTATATTTATAGTTAAACTTCTTTTTGTTCGTAATGATAAATCTATAAACATGGTGAATTAGTTAGAAAGAAATGAGCTCAACTATATGTATACGTAGCAGAGAAGAATGAAGACGGTATCGAAGTAATTGTTTATTTTGAATCGTTTTTATGTATCGAACTCTACTATGGTGTCTAGTAGATAGTTGGTGTAAAATCTCATTATTCAATATGATATAATCAATAAAATGATTTGATTTTGACATGTTCATATATGAGATCATCAGGCTACTGGTTTCTGCGATAAAATAATAAATGGATGCTTGAATTTGGCGCTAATTAAAATACATCAACTAAACAATCAAGTCACAAGCTAATTTCCAGAAAAGTATATATAATTAGACTTGCAAATTATCTCATCGCTGTTTTATCAAAAACAGTTCTTGACGAAATATTTTTGCTGTAATAGATTTAGGATTAGATTGAATGTTTCTATTTTAGATCTAAACTTATCTTATCAATTAAATAAATAGAATGCCTAAATCAAAAGAATTCGTTGACAATTCAGATTCTGAAGAACGAAAAAATTCCGGTAGCGAAGAAGAAAAACCCAAGGCATCAACATCGAAAAAGTCAAAAAATAAAATTACAACTAACAACGAAGATGTAAGTGATTTTCAAAGAAAAAAATTTACTTTATCGAACTGTTTTGAATAGCCACCAGCTAAACGAGCAAAACCAAATGATGATACCGTAGCTTCGATAGCTGGACCTAGTGGTGAACGACTTTATGAAGTAAATTATCTCGGGGCTTTCATATTAATCATTATATTTTAATAGCTTGGCAAATTACGTTATATATCAGTCAGCGAATTCAAAGGTAAATCATTGATCAATATTCGTGAATATTATGAAGATAAGGGCGTACATAAGCCTGGCAAAAAAGGTAAGATCTATTATTCTTTTTGTATGCACAACATGTTGTTGTAATTGCCATTATTTTCATGATAACATATTGCCTTTGTTATTTATATTTAGGCATAAGTTTATCTGTTGATCAATGGGAAAAATTGAAGTCAGTTATTAGCCAAATCGATAAAGATCTCAAATAATCGAACCAGTCATATGAACATTTCTGCAGATCAAATCAAAAATGCTCTTGTTATTATATTTTTTTATTTTATGTTGTATTTATTTTGTGAATTTCTGTAAACATTTACTTTTTCTCTTAACATATGAACCCTAATTTACTTTTTTTTGCAAAAGAGAAAAAGAAAATAAGCCAGAGAAAAAAAACAGGAAAAATTTCATTCTTTAGATGAAAGAATTCATTTGTTCAACGATTGAACGTAATGTTGTATTAAAATGCATTCGCGATCATAAAGTGAGTGAAGTGATAATTAATTGAAAACGAAATTATTTGTTTTTTTCCTTTCCCCATCTCAGCGATTGGATTGCCGCACGATCGATGAAACTCGTTCAGTTAATATTGATTTTCGTTCACATCCTGGCTGTGTTTCCGTTAGACTTGGTCAAACATGGTAAATTCCGGAGAACGCTATTGTTGAAGTTTTTTCAATGCTTGCTATTTAGTGTTATTGCGCAAGCATCATGCCGTATAACTAAACCGAAAGAATCGCGTGCATCGGAAGGAAATATTCGTATTCATATTGATATGTCGAAAATTCCATTAATGAATTTAGAAAATTGGAAGTTAGTTGAAAAGTTTTTATTTTGAATATAATAATTTTGTCTCAATAAAAGACATCAAGAATTTGTTCAAGAATTAAATGGTATTCTTGAACAGAATATTCGCCATTCGAATTGTGTTGATTTGGAATCATTGTGTATTAATTCAGGAGAATTAGTAATAGAATTACTAGATTAAATCTATGTTTGGATTGGTTATTTTCTGTTTTGAAGGTATGGGCTATTAAAATTGATATTACCGTACTAAATAATTGTGGGAACATTTTGGATTGTGCTAATATTGCAACACTATGTTCATTATATCACTTTCGGTTAGTTGATTGAGATTATTTTTAGTTCTATCTTTTATAAATGTGTTTTAAGTCTACCGGAAGTAACTGTACATGGATCAGATATTCGAGTGGTTTGTAAAGTTTTCTATATTAAATAGAACAACATCACATTTTATTTCGCTAGTATTCATCTATGGAACGTAGAGCTCGTCCGTTACGTATTCTGCATTTTCCGATCAATGTCTTATTCGCTTTCTTTGTGGATGGGTAAATCTTTTAGTTTCTTTGTTTAAATTCGATTAACTACTTATTTCTATATTAGACGATATACACTGATTGATCCCAGTTCGGATGAAGAACGACTTATGGATGGCTTCCTTTCTATTTCAATGAATCAACACAAGGAAATTTGCGGAATTCATATGGGTGGAAAATTGGGTTTAAAAAAGGAACAAGTTGACTTATGTAAAAAACTTGCTTTTAAGAAAATACTCGAATTAACTGATCGTATTCGACAAGTAGTAACTGATTATTATAAGTATGTCCTTTAATATTTATTTCTCAGTTTATATCTTCTGATTAATCGGGTGGAATGAAAGAAAATATTTAATACATATTGAATATACGGATATTAGCAGTTGTTCTGAGCTTCACTGAAAGCCACGTTGATAAAGCCATAGAGCATTTTGCATAGAACGTGAAAAGAAACTTTATATATTCTATTGTCTCTTACAGAAACAATGAACCAACTATACATACTCAACCATCGATTGTACGTATTGAAGATGGTGAGGATAGTAGTAGTGAAAGTGAAAGTGAAGATTCTGTTTTAATCAAAACCGACATGTCTCCATCACCAATGGAAACCAACGTTTCAGTAAGCAACCTTCAAGTTACTATAGATATTTCTATTTTTGTATTATAATTCATAGCTTTTACTTATGCCATCTCTTGATCGTTTATCATTAAGCGAAGATAATCCAACAATCACAGCTACGGTTGTCGATAAATCGACAAGTAAGCTAGAAAATGGTAAAAAATGACATTTCGAATAATATTTCCTTCTATTTATTCTCATTTTTGTTTTTAGACGACGAACAAGACAATGAATGATCTTAACAAGTCTCTAATAATTTCATTTTTTAAAGTTTTGTGATATGCACTTTATTTATCGACTTCGCTTCTTTTTCTTTTCTTGTAATATACAGTGTGCTTGTATGTTTGTTGTGTTAAAAAAACAGCATAAACTAGCATAGTCTTATTTTATTATTGTGTAGCAACATTGTACACAGACGACATCATATTTACAAGTTCCTCTATGTTGTTTAATCCTTCAAACTCGAATGTTCGGTACAAAAAACATTATTTCTCTTTACGACGCAAATAGAATAGTTGTTTTTTACCCAGGTCGATCAAAAGTGACATTATTTTAGGGTTTGGTTTTTCCTTAAGCAAATGGTCGTATACGGCAAGTCATTTTCAATCTGGGTACCATGAAAATCATGTTGAGAGCTCATAAATACTATTTTAGTGGTTGCCTAATTTTTTTAACAATTTGCAGCGAGTCAAACGTTAGATGATCTATGAGTGTGGATCAGCACTTTACTCTCGCCCAACAGCACTTATATCCACACCCTTTCAATCAAATGATCACGGAAAAACTGAATTTATTTATCTGAAATGAAATAGTCTACAAACTTCGAAGTTACCCTCAAGTTTGTGCGACTAGTATTATTTCAGATATTTACTTAATAGTTTTGAATGCATGTATTATCATTTCTCCATCGAAATCCGACATTGTATTGCGTTTCTGATCTTCGACTGTAGTGTCCGCACTGTCAATATGAATATCCACAAGTTCACCCGTCGCCTGCAAAGCTTTCCGAACTTTTGTTTCATCCAGCGACAAGCAAAAGAAATTTTCTGCATCAACATAATAAAATGATTCATTTCGAACCATAACAAGTAGAAGAAGACCACCTGGTTTTAGTAACCGAACAAGTTTTCCAATGGTTTCATTGAAAATTTCAATAGTTAAACAGGCAGCTTCCAAGCAAAAACTACTAAAAATAATGTCATGGTCGTCGCTTTTTCCGCTTAATATTGGGCAGTCGGGATCATTAACATCACATATCGATAAGCCTCCTCGAATAAGAGCATCCCGAAGACGCGATTCCCATTCGATACGTTTTTCCTTCGAAGTCCCGGCAATAGTAAGAATACTTTCGAAATAATTTGTCCAATCAAAAACAGTTGATTTCTGTTCAATCCAATCACTGACATAGGTAAGATTGGATTGAGCAGAATCACAAAATCGGATCGAATCGACATATTGAGCCAGAAGCAACGACGACGATAGATTTGGTCCGCCGCCAAACTCAAGCACTTTCTGATTGCCAAATCGGTTTCTTTCATCGTGCAAGATTTGAACAGTTTTTTCAAGAAAAAACGATGCAAGTGGTGCTTCATTTGGATTGTTATCAACACCGGGATATAAAGTTTGAAGATAAGAAATCGTATTGAAGCGACTTAAATGTAGTCGGTTGTATGCAATAGACAATTATCAGTGCTGTAATTACACATATTTAATGATAAATACAATAGAAAATGACAACGGGAAACGCTTAGTAATTTATAGACAGTACTCGCGTTTACTTATGAGAAGATCTTCAAAAGGACGAGAATGAAACACAAACAAATTAGTTTCACGTTTCAGACATGTGCATGCGTCATTTTTCGTTGTCTATAATATTTATTGCTATAGTGAAAAAAGAACGCTGTAAAAAAACGACTATACAAGACAAATAATGACTCATGTTCGAATTTAGATGAAAAGCAACAAATTTCCAATCGTTACTTATGGTTGCCTGTCACTGTTGCGACACGCTTCATATTTTGTTTTGTTTTTGGTCTTTGTTGATTGTAACCTTCGGGTGTGCTTCCAACGGATGTAAGTGTATATACGATATGACTCATGCCTTCAACGACGCCCACAACCATGGTCACACGAGGATATCCTAAGTCGGTTTAATAAAAAATCTTAACCAACAACGAAGACGTCTCTTTTATACAGCATTTGTTAGAGAAAATTTCAACTCTCTACAAATGATAAATAATTAAAATGGAAAAAATCGGATTTTAACGTTCACGAAAGGGGGGATACTTTAAACCTTTAATGAGATAAGCCAATAATGATAGATATAAGAACAGCACTAGTTAGATCGTTATGGATGGAATTCATTGTAAGTATTTTTGTTTTCTTCAATCGGTCGATTTTCATATTCCCACTGTTGGGTATAAATAAGTTGAAGAGTTTTTTCGATTGCAGCCGTCGTCTGATGTTTGTCTCCATAGATCATCAAACTATTTTCAAGAGCTGTGCATCCATGTTCAATGGCTTCTCCGAAAAGATTTAAACCCATGAGAGCCTCCGCTTTACTATGTTCACATGATACATAAGCAGCGTGATAAGGTTCACGAATCGAGTGCTTTAGAATAGAAGAGCATTCATCCAACTTCTTTAGAGCCTCTTTAAAATTCCGTTTCGCAATGTAAATAGTCGCAACATTGTTATGCGACTTGGCGTAATCGAGATGCAACGGTGCGAGATGCTTCATGCGTAAGCTGTGTGCTTGAAAATAGCTTGTTAGAGCATCTTCTAGCTGATTTAGTCTATGAAGAATGGCTCCAATGATGTCGTAGTCTTTGGCAACCTGTTCATAATCAGTGGGACACTTGTTGAGATCATTTCGTAGAGTTTCACGCATGCTAATCAAAGTATCTAAATTGTTATTTGAAACGGCCATATCCTTATGCACAGGTAAATGAAATGCGTTGAATTGTGTCAATTACGCATTTTCATGATGATGTTTCGTTCTGACGGTGAAAGAAAACCAACGAGAGAGAACACGATCAGAAAAACTAATCAGTTCTTCCCTCCTTATTTACTTCGCCATTTTGCTGGACATGTGTCCTCAAACAAAATTAAACAGTTGCGCCACAAAACTGTAGAGAAAGAGGGCGATATTCGTTGACTTTTTCTGGGCTAATCTGAAAATAAAGTCGCATGAATGGGAAAACGTCGTGATATTCACGCTTTTCGCAATGTACATCTGATTCAATAACAGTTATTCACAAAGGGTGTGGATGTGGGTGGGGTGTAAGTAGTCAATTAACCCACATCAACACTCCCACTTCCACCCATATCCCCACCCCACACCCGATAATCACTTTTTTACTGTCGTATGCGTATGACATAAAGGAAAAATTATTAGTCTTTTAGGTAGACCAATAGCAGGAAACGCGAAATTCCTACCCGACAAGTAAAGATTTGTTCGGAATGCTTATAAATAAGGGAAATATAATTGAACTAAAAACTATCCTGAAACCGGAAAGTCGAAAAAACTCTGAAAACCCGGAATTTTTTCGGACAGCTTGGAAGATCTGGCAACTCTGATATCACTGTCAATTTTTTAAAATCTTTACTTTTATAAGTGAGTTCAAGCTTCTTCTTAAATTTGTAATGAATCCGCTTTAGCTTTTTGCGTAATACCTCTAATTGAAATCAAAGTATTGTAGGGAAATCATAAACAGTTCTTTAGAATCTTCATCTTAAGAGCTTTCTATATGTATAATCAGAAAACACACTATCTTGTCTTGCCACCGAGTAAAGAACATTTTTCAGCGGCGTGGAAATGTAGTCTGCAAAAGAAAAATACCTCAATATTGTTTTATTTCTCTTGTATTCATTCGATTGGAGTTTCTTGATTTTGTTTTCATTAAATTCTTCATTCAACTATGTATGAACTGGGTAGAAAGCATCATGAAATTGTTTAAGATAGGGTGGGTGTTTCTTTGATCAAGCACAAAGTGGCTGACACAAGGGGGAAAGAGCGGCTCCTGGCTCATTGGATTCTCGCGGCTCGTCATGGATCCTGGCGGATTCTATGGATCCTAGTAGATTCTGGCGGATTCTGTGGATCCTAGTGGATTCTATGGATTCTACTGGATTCTACTGGATTCTACTGGATCCTGTTGGATTCCAGTGGATTCCTATGGTCTTAGTGGATATTTGAAGATATGTGAAGATCAGTATCTACTCCTTATCGCTGTCGCTTGCTTTTTTTAGTCGAAAATGATGGCTTATCCAGTTAGACAAAGCTGCTTTTTAAGGTTTTCTATTGTAGCTTCTTAGCATGATATTCGTCTTCGCAACATAAAGTTTCGTAATCATTAACATCCTGTAAAAGGTTATCCAACAACTCTTTTAGCTGTCAAGGGAAAGGTTAAAAATATAACTTGTAAATCACATGAAAACATGAAATTTGAATCTTTTTTCATAAGAATATGGGATAGAGTGATGAATTTATTAACTATGTAGTAAGTAGCAATAATCCATGTATTTTTTCACTTTTTGCAATAGCTAGCACTCCCTACTATATTTGAAACAAAACTTGTTCATAGCTGTCAGTTCATATATTTGAACCGATCGTTGTAAACCCAGTCATATTTATGTACTTGTTAGAACTTTGCAATTTAACATGATGAATTAATCAATACACAGACAAAGTCACCGGTAGAAACAAAATAATATTATTTTTCCAACAATATTGTCTATATTACAAAAAGGCTAAATATCTTTTTCAGGACTATTGTAACACATTCTCAGTCATAGAATAATATGAACAATGAATCCTTCAGCTCTTCTCTTTCTGTGTACAATAAAATCTGTAAGTTTTTTTCTAAGCATTTAGATTCAAGAAACGATAGATAGACCATTTAGATCTGTAAACAAAATGCATGGTCACTTTCGTAATTTTTTCAAAACTCGATCAAAGTCATATAGATCCGACATATATGAGTCTCGTTGTTTTCTTTAGCAACTGAAAATTGTTTAAAATATTGATATAAATTCACTAATCAAAATGGATCCTGGTGGATTCTATGGATTCTGGTGGATTCTATGGATCCTGGGGGATTCTATGGATCCTGGTGGAATCTACGGCTCCTGGTGGATTCTAGAATCCATCAGGAGCCACCAGGAGCCGCTTTTTCCCCCTTGGATAAAGACGTAGCTTCACTTTTCATTGATCCATCAATTGATCAATTCAATATTCTAATGGTCTTCAATTTTTCTAAACCATGTTCAACAGCTATTGTTCTTTATGAACTTTCTCATGATGTTCCTTCTATTTCATACTATGAAGATGAAAAAGAGGTACTTATTCTTCCTGAAACATATTTCTATGTGACAAACATTGAAGAACATGGTAACAGTGGATATCGAACTATCTACATGGAACTTTTCAATAAAGACGAAGAGGAAGCTGAAATTGCTCAAGATAGATGCAAAAGTTTCATGGGCTCTATTTTGGATTAGAATATTTCTTTCTGTGCATCGAATATCACAAGACTATCGACAATAGAATATTCTAATCGTTACGGATGCCTATTGCTTGCATTCGTATATCGATTTATTCTATTTTTTGTTGATACAATAGTTTTGAACACTCAAATCAAATAATCAGACATCAGCAAGATGCATGTAGTATCTTTTAGAATCTATTACATTTTTTCTGTTGTCGTCATATTCAAGTTATAACTTTTATTAAAACAGAATAAAAAACAAAATCGATATAATCAATTATCAATTCACTCTTTAATGTTTGATGTTGTATAGAAGTTGTTCATTGTAATAAATTGTGTTGATTACAACAAAGAGTTCATAATCCATCTAGTTTTTTTAGTTTTCGTTGAATAGGATATTTCTTCAGTTTTTCCTTGTTACATTCATATTTCTATTTATTGTCGCAAGCCATCTCAAATACAAGGTGTAGGGGTGACTGTAGTTGATTTCAACTCATACACACATTCTCAGCATACGTTTTTTTTTATTGATAATGATAGCTCCGTCTTTATTTTCTGATAAATAATTTCTATTTCAAACGCATGCTATCCTAATTACTACCTTAACAAGATGGCGTAACTAGAAATATACATATATCGATCAATGTAATTAGAAATATTTACACATCATGAATCTATATCAAATGAAAAATAATAAGACGAAAAAAGGACATTGTTAATTATTATCTACACTATCTTTAGCGAAGAAGTAATCATGAATAGATAGATTAGCGTCACATAGAAAACCATATTTTCAGTATTAATTTTAAAAAATTGAACATCCTGCATGGCTATTTGATTTTAATCTAGTTATGGACTGAAAAAACGTATGATTTTAAATGGAAACCGAAACATTGGAGCCTTTAGAATTATTTGCATGAAGATAGGTTCATACATAATGCTCAAGCCGCTTCCCTCTCCCAATCTCAAAATGGACCTATGCGCATATATTATCAGATGATTGACGCCACCTATCAGACTATCCACTGACAAAAGATGAGTTATGGCAAGTTTTGGTGTATCTGTACCGTGTTTTATTTCGCGAAATTCCCGCTTGAAATAAAAATTTCATCGATTCAATTTGTAGCACGTGAGCATATAAATCTTTGATACACAAGATTGAACAAATATCATTGAATATGTATCTAATACGCATGAATTGATTTTCATATTATTATTGCTGATTTATCAAACTTACAGACAAGATTAGATGTTGTACACATAATTGTGAGTTAAAATATTGGGAACTCTAAGTAGAAACTAGTAAAAATATATAAAATACCGTCAAAATCCAACTTTGGCATATTTTTATTATTGAATGTTACTCAAATATACTATCATAAGTCATTATTGACGTACAGACTCGTTTGAATTGAAATGTTATCGAGATTTATTAGAGATATTTGGTACTAGCAGTAAAACAAATGCTGATGATGTTCGATCATCTCCTTAGAAGAAGATATTTAACTAGGACGCTGGAATTCATCTGTGGGAATTCTAGCATCTTCATTAAATCCCTCTATCTTGTCTCCAAAATTAAGCCGACGTTTTTAGCTTAAAACACAATCTTAGACTATAGGAGTTCACATAATCTTTGTGATTTTGTTTTCTCTTATGCTCTATCTGAAATACTGTATTAATGAAAAGAATCTCCAGTACTAGTTAGTTTCTTATTTTATCTTTACATGGTAAAACGGGGTCGTTTAATGTGTGTCGCGCACACCCCACACTCCCATCCTCGAACAACCTCAGAAGGGATATATGCTAACACCCACACCTCCATGGAAACCACAATGCCAACAGATACTAATACGAGTATGAATCATTTCTGAAGATATTTTGTCGACGAGTAGTTTTAGATGTTCCCGCTCACAATGTTTATTGAAAAATAAATAAATTATATACTCTGAATCATCTTCTATAACTCAATAGGACGCTTTACAATGAATCATACATTTTTCTCTTACCGCTATGCTTTGCATAAAAATCATATTAAAAGATAAAACTTTAAAATCATATGCTAACAAGATCTGCCTTATTGCAGTTGTCGTGGTATATAACTTAAGGATTTCGAGATCTCATCAGTTCTGCGTACTCTCCATTTGCATACGGTTTCCAACTGAAAACCCAATGATGAGCGATCGCGAAAAAGTACATTTCAACACAGATCAAGATATTCGATAACAGAATTTTTTCTTGTTCAACTGTGAATCCGGTTGTTGAACCATTGCAATTGTTGTTAGTTGTCGGATCACATAGAGTATTTCGAAGGACCCCAATAGCTGCAAGACCACTCATAAGAACCGATTGCCAAAAGATAAAAAATACGAGAAGTTTTATCGCAATAAATTTTTCCAGTGATTTAAATGGCTTTAAATCTGTTTTCAGATTCATGTAGAATGCTACTAAAGCATACAGAGCTAACATTTGGCTAACATTAATAATAATTGTAATATATGGATAACCTACGGAAAAGCTCCATTGACCATTACCATAAACGGCTGCTAAATTTAAAACAACAGCTACAGCTGCACAGAATGGCGTTATCCATGAATATTGTAGCAGGCCTATCTTAAAATACCATACCCATTTTTTAGTTGCCATCGGTTTAAAACAATATTCGAGTGGAAATGGCAACTTAATGTACTCTTGTTTTACAATTGCGTCTTCTACACCTTGATGACCACCAAGATATTTTGTTAATAGAATTAGAAAGCAATAAATACCATAAGCTTCAAAACATTGTTGCACGAATTCCATGTAAATAGCTGATTGAAAATAGAGTAAAGCTAACCAAGACGTTGCACTATACACTGGTACTATAGCCAATATTCGCATGATACGTTTTTGAGAACCTTTGTCAGTTTTATAGACAAAATGTTGAATAATTTGAACTAGAGTCATTGCTGCTGAAACAATGGCAAAAATACCAGCAATAATGGCCATCAACTCTTGTTCATGAACAGGATCTTTGTACTTCTGCCATGCAGCTGGTTCACTCGCTACCCATATGATAATTAGAGAAATGGCACAAGCAAGAATAACAAATGTGCCCCATGTTATTTCATTTTTAAGAACGGCTAGTACTTTTTCACGGCAACTAAGTCTGCACCAGGGTCCACACATTTTTTGTTGCTAGCAATTAAAAAACGATCAAGATGATTGATTAATTAGTGTTTTGAGTAATGTTTAATGGAGAAACTGAACAATCATTAGGTGAAATATGTTTCAAGCAAAAGAAAACACAATAAGTACGCTTCCTAATCATGACAGTCAAACTTAATTTCCATCTCACGGCATCATCGTCGACAAAAAAAAAGCTGTTAGCGCAATCCCTCCGGGCTTAAAAATGTGAAACACGACATAATCACTGTAGAAAATTACATAGAGATGGTGTATTCAAGGGAGTTCGTTGTTGATTTTGTGAGACAGCTCGTTTGCCGCTACCGGCGATAATCTGCGCAAGGCTGGAACAGCATCTCTGATGGCCTGTGCTAGGTCTGAAGATTGTGTGGCACGCTGTGCGATGGGTATATTACCTGTCGGTAGCGGTTTGTGGGGGATGGGTACAAAATTTCTACCCTAAACACGCCAACACTCCTTTCAGGTCGTGTTTCACAAAAACACTGATTATAATGTTTATACCAATAAATTGTATATTAAAAAGTTTGCACGCTCTGTTCTAATAATAATATCCTTTACTTGCTCTGCTCTAACCCCTTTTTGGCATTTTGTCGTTTGTTCTTTCTTTCTCTCTAAATTGAAGAAAAGTGAAAAACTCTGTTTAACTAAGCGAAAAGAGGAAAGGAAAAAGAAAAACCGGCAGCTGATACGATATCGTAAGCTTCCTTATGTATCTTGAATGACGAGTAAATGGAGAGCATTAACAGCATGTGGTGATGTATGCCGGCACTTTGTGCTTTTACATGTCACGAATAATTTTATTGTTCGATGAGAATACAAAGGCTTAAGAAAACGATTTTTTAATATAAGGAGGCGTTTAATAGTCAGCCATCTTATAGAAAAAATCGGTCTGATATTGTTGTCATTTTCTTTTGAATCTCGTAATATTTCGAGCAATGATGAAATCTTAAATTTTCATACTCAATCCAAAAAAGAGATTAAACAAGAAAAATTAGGCGTTCCTATTAGACAAGTTTTGCAATTGAAAAATTGAAAAATCAAGAAACCCTATAAAACTATAGTTTAGCTCCTTCTTCAACGAAAAGCTGATGATTTAAGTTCAACATAACAATAATATCATTTTCTTTTAAATTATTTTTAATATATGAGGAAATAGGTTATCAATTCAAGCTTGATGCGATGATAACGATCATGCATCATGTTCTAGTACATTATCATTAACTTCTATTTCAACAGTGCCAAATTTATATCAACTAAGACAATTTTAAATGCTTCACCATTATTTACTTCTCGACCAAACATCTTTAACTCTGTAAGGTTTTCTCCTTCTCCATCGTTCGGTTTGCTGGCTTCATGTGATAGATGATTTTATCCTTAATCATGTATCAGTCTTGATATCAAAAATGCGTGTTATAGAAATCAATTAAATTTTTTTTGTTTTAACATCGACCTGCAGGCCGACTAAGACCAGACCACAGTCAATCAGTCAGTTTGCAGCACTGATTCTGAGTAATTTTCAGGCGTAGAAAATGTCAATTACTTAAAATTATGTATGATAGTTATATCACGACCACTATTTTTCAGTTTTCTCTCAGTCGACCAGCAATCTATGCATCATTACTTTTTTAGGTCGATTTAATTTACTTTGCTGTTTAATCTGATTCGTAACGACTGTTGAATATGCGCCGAGAAAATTTAATATTTTATCATGCGAGAGTAAGAGTCTCGTATGAAGCGTAAGATTTTGTTTTTTATACCAATAAAAGTTCACAAACCAACCACTTTCATAATAGTTTTCTTTCATTTCTCAATGCTGTGATAATTTAGGTGTTGGCTATTTATTGGTATTGCTCTGGATTTTTCATAGATATTGGTTGAAATCTAAGTAATAAACTTTCGATAAGATAGATTCTATTTTGCTTACGGTAAAAAAAAAACCGATAGGCATCGGCGTGCATATTTTTTAGTATATTAATCACATTATTTTTTACATAATTAGACTGAAGTTATAAAGCAGCATTATCTTGACTTCCAACGCTTGTGATTTCCTTTAGCTCCGAGATTATCTATTTTCATGGTGCTCAGGACTTGATTTATTAATGTTGAACAAAGTACTACTCGTGGTCATCGTTTTATACAATGATCCTATAGTTTCCTTATGATTGTTCAGATTATTCCGGCACGCTCGTTGAATCATATGGATAAATTAATAAGTAAAAAAAGAGTAATACAGATCCATTTAAGTACTTGCAAGAAAATACAACATAAATGAAAATACAAGTATGCAGAAAAATGAGCTACATTCGGATGACGATTATTACAATCTTGTTCTTTATTTCGCCTTCGTCTTATTATTACATTCTCATCCACAAATAATCCCCTTTTCTTTTAACATTAACACTCACTTAAATAGAATAGATGCGAGAAGAAGAACGGAATGATTGTAAACGTGATAGAATGAAACCGAGAGAAGAAGAGAGAACATGCTTATGACAGGAGAGAGATCTCCTGACATAACACTTCCCCCACCGGCAGAAAACATACCCAGAGAAAACGAAATGGAGAACGAAAGAAAATTCAGTAAAAAATAACAAACCGAATGAAAAGAAAAAACGAAAAAGAATGTAAGAAATGGTTAAACGAACTGGAAAGTGACGCAAATTGAAATTCAGCACATATAAGATAAAAAAAATGTAAGAATACAAATATCCATAAGTGAAGAAAAAAGAAAAAAATATAAAGAGATACAGTGGAAAGCGATGCACGTACTGAATCGTTCAATGCGGTACATCTAATCCAATGATCTGTTCCATTTATGCAGGGAGGAATATCATCCACTTGAGGTCTGTTATTGTCTTTGCTCATTAGGGTACCGCTAAAGTTCTAAACCAGCCAAAATAATTTATGCCAGGAAGTAACACATTATTACCAAATTGTGGAGTATGTTTATCATCGTAAAAACTTAAACAAGAGCCGAGATAACCAAATAAAATACTAACAAATAAAATAGTAATTAAAATGATACCGATTGAAACTAATGGACGAATATTTGATTGAAATGAATATTTTAAAGATGTTGTAATTGATTTTAATTGAAAGATAATAGTATTATTCTGACTAGATTCAGAATAAAAATCAGTAGTGCACTGTTGTTTTGCTATCTCATCGGTGAATAATTGATTCTGCTTTAGTAACGTTTTCTGCTTAGCTAAACTTTGTTCCAATAACAATATTATTTCATTTGATTGTTGAGTGATTGATGACGAGACATGTTCAAAAGAAGAGTGCACTATTTGTAGCGAGTCTTCTACAGCGCTGAATGCTAATTCTATTGACATTATTTCTTGCTCAGATGTACAAAATTGATTGTGCTGTGGCAATTCATCTTGTATGAACCATATTTCTTCGCCTTGAGGCCACTCAATAGCAACATATTGACTAATAGGTTCCATTACAGTCATACCGAATGAAATATCGTGATTAGATCCTAGTAATTCATTTTTAAGTTTCTCATTTGCTATATAATCAAGTACATGTTGCGAGTGAAGAAGGCGCTGATTAAATAAAAATTGTTCCTAAAACGGACTATCTTCTGCTGTATATATATATAGCATCGGGTTCAATTATAGCAGTATTCCAAAGCATGTCAGCCGGCGCAACTTTAACATTCTTGGGGTGAATTTCAATAATATAGGCGATATGAACACGTCCGAAAATATTTGCGATGACAAGTTGTCCCAAAGAAGGATTAGAAACATTCCAGTAAAAGAACTCATCAAGACACCATTTGAGGTTGAAACGAGCACGTTCTTGTCGAACATAATATTCTATTGTTTCGTCCGTGGATTGGACGTTTTGAGATCTGATTTGGTTTCGTAATTTTTCGCCCCCATTCGACGGCGGTTGAGGAGATAAAGGTAACTTATGTCGTATCCAAAGAGGAGCGCTTGTAATTTCGCGAGGATACATTAATAACAACTGATACTCTTACTTCATCAATAATAATAACTATAATAATACTAATAATATTGACGACGGGCCCACCACTGTGATGGTGATTTGACAATGATACCGGCTAGTGCGCCATTGGTTACAATCTTCTCCTTTATTTCGCCTTCTTATTATTATTACATTCTCATCCACAAATAATCCCCTTTTCTTTTAACATTAACACTCACTTAAATACGTAGAATAGATACGAGAAGAAGAACGGAATGATTGTAAACGTGATAGAATGAAACCGAGAGAAGAAGAGAGAACATACTTATGGCAGGACAGATATGTCCTGACATAACATATACGTTTAACTAAATAATTTTGTTGTAGGTAAGTATAATTTTTTAAATCTCTATCCATATTCTCCAATGATGGTAATAGAATCAGTATTGATGATTGTGTCTGTTTATTCAATTCCATATTGCATTGATCTAATTGATCATCAATCATAGCTAATTGTGTCATGATATATTCACATAGATCTGATTGATCGGTCTTGATCGGTTCATACAATGAACGCTTGCAAAATAAATAAATAAATGAAAAATTGATTTACATTTGATAATTCTTTTTTATAAGAACTTACAGGTCAAATATTTTCTTTTAATCCAAGATTTAAATAGGTTTGCCGTAAACGTTGATCAAACTCGAGACGATACTAACGATCCAATAATTGTAGACGTAAATGAACAAAGATTTGTTCATCCTTTTTATTCAATGAACGATTAAATTCTCGACGTAATGCTTGAAAGAGCAAATGTGGTGAATGAGTTAAATAAGCTGGTAATGTACATAGATACAAGAGAAAAAAGACAGTCGTTGCGCGTTTCGACCTTGCTTAAGGGTCTCATTAGACAGCTTCGATATTATTATATATGCAATCTGTTCAGATGATCCTAAGATCATAAATTAGACATGCAGGATGTGTTTTTAGTAGCAACCATGACGCGTTTCGTCCCTGTTAAGGGGCTCTTCAGGTAGCTGTATTTTTTTGGAAGTATCCGAGTGATTCGAAAATGAGGATAATAAGTAATTCGTCTTGCATTCGTATGCTTTTCCGCATTTCGCGTGACTATTTCCCCTTTTCCCTCTACTACCAGTATCGCAAGAACATGTATTAGAAGAAAAATTCCGTGTAGGTCTTCGGTTGGTGCATCGCTGTTCCTTCGTTTCTGCGCATAATCTGTTAAAAGTCACTTCTGAACAGCCCTTACAATTTTATGTTAAAAGATATATTCAACGCAGATTGAAAACCATGTTAATAACTGATCTTGGATCTTCTGCCTTCTATGAAGATATATTTGGTTGGGATAATTTTTATAAAAGGAAAAACGATCACCTTGGTCGTTTTTTTCGCACACGTTGTGTGCGGCAATTGAAAGATCGACACAAGTCATTCCTTTTAACGTGGTTGGCTTTTATTGATGCGAATTAATATCATAGAAAGATACATAAATGTAATGCTTTACGCAAATTTCTTCTTCCTTTTTTCTCTCTCGTTTGCTCTTTTAGTTTGTCCTTCTTTTTTTCTAGCTGTTCGCTGCACTCACGTATCTTCGCTGCCGCTTATCATCAGTACTTCTCTCTTTTCTTTTTTCACCTTTTTAATAGATTTTTCATTTATTTACTCTCCAAATATCCCTACAAGCGAAAATTGGTACGCAGCATAATATATTGTTGGCACAAATTGTAACGCGTTGCTTAGAATGATGTAGCTTTTCGCTTTATACATCTATATTTCTCTTTTTCTTATGTAAGCACTTCCGAGTGTTACATTTACGAGCATAATAAAAAAAATCCTATTAACCATTTCTCTTCAAGAACTTTCTCGTGCTATATAGTTTGTTATTTTGTTTTGTTGTTTCATATATTAACGATTTCTCTTCAAAAACTTTTCACGCTGTAGTTTGTTATTTTTCTTTTCGTCTGATGCTAGTCATTACCTATCTCTAGGGATGCAACGGTGACGACCAAAAACCGTTTCACCGTCACCGTTTTACCGCTTGAGACCGGTGAAGCGGTGGAGCGGTGCACCGTTGTACCGGGCCCCGGTGGGAGCGGTGAAACTGTGGACCGGGCCCTGGTGGGAGCGGTGAAACGGTGGACCGGGCCCTGGTGGGAGCGGTGGAACGGTGAACGATTAATCGTCATTGTTGCATCCCTACCTATCTCTCGATTTCATTATTATTTCTATCTTTCCAAAAATGTGGATAGAACACATTTTTTTTGTCCAATAAGGGAATATGTTACAGTGTGTTCTACTGTAACGTATATCTCGATTCTATCTATTCTCTTTTCTTGTCTTTTCCTTTCTCTCTCAGTTTTCCTCTATTTTATTGCCTCTGCTTTCGTGTGCGTATATAAACATGTGTTTTCTAAAAGAATAAACAGAGAGATAATAAAACACACATGTTCAAAGTGTTCGTCGCTCTTCGTGAGTGAGAACGCTAACAAATATTTTATTGTAGAAGAAATTAAAGTTCTTTAAATTTATTTTTGAATTTATTAATTGTTTTGTAAACGTAAATGGATCAGTCCTAAGTTTAAATTTCGTTAACTCAGAATAAATTTTGTTTAATACAAATAGAAAATTTAATACTTCAGACATACGTAAGTATAGCTCATTCGGATATTTACTACTGCGAAACTACAAGTTTATCTGATCGAATTCATTCTATGGTAGTAAAAGAAACGAATTAGAACGTGTTCTCGTCCGTGCTTTTTTCCATGGGTTGTAATTGTACAAATATCTTGCCGTATTTATCCAGCAAAATCAAAGGATCATCAAAAGGCACTGACGCAAGGAACAACAACAGTAATACCAACACACATTATGCTTGATCTCAATGGTGATTTGTCACACATCACGGAAGATGAATTAATTGAAATATTAAAATCAAAATTTAATCGAGAAGAACCAACATTAACATTGCCAGATAATGAAGCCCTTATATTTGCAATTAGTACAACGCAAAAAGAAATGAACGAATTCAACTCAACCGAAGAAAAAATGCAACAACAACAACACCTATAAAATCCAAGCGTTGAGGAAGAAAAAGAATGTGGGTGGACTTGTTTAGTAGATGTTGTTACCAAAGCACACGTACACCCTAGAGTGTCGCATTATCATGTGCTGGTTAGCGACATCTTATATGATACAAAGGAATCTAAGGAATAAGGAAAGAGAATAGAGAGAATGCATCTGTTGATAATGGTGTCGGACTAGAAGAAAAAAGCTACAATTCAGTGTTTTTAATATCAGCTATCCTAAGGAAAATCAAAATAGATAAGGTACTTACGATTTTGAAAAAGTACTGTGTTTTATACTTTATTGGAAAAAACGCAATACTTTAATATTAGTCTGTGAAGTAAAAAATACTTCGCTTGTTTGTTACGCTGTTATCTATAAGTTAATTATCTTCATCTTGTGTAATTACTCTAACTGTAGATGAAGCTGACCAACGTGTTTTCTTATGGGCCTATCAAATTCATAAGCGAAATTTTAATTTCTATTAGTTCATTTAGATTATAAACCTTTTTTGCACTAATATCCTCTTCAATTATTCTTACTTGGTATTTATTACTAATATGATGTATATTAATGCAGTTAATTGGTTTGTTTAGTTCATAATAGGACTTTGCGTAGATAGGATCACTATAATTTTTTCCTATTATTATTTTGTATACTATATAACACTGATTTTTATTTTCTTTGACTGTCAATGACTTTAAAATCATTCAGATAAATAAATGATATGCTTCGTTCGGGAATCGAACTCATGCTAAGATTACTAGTTATCCGGAACAATACTCTAACCATTGAGCTATTGAAGCACGGCGAACACCTCGTTTATTTTCGGAATGATATTAAAATCATTGAAAGTATTGTATAGATAGCCACTTAGTGTAAAATATTTAGATAGCGTATAGACTGTTAAGTCGTTCCTAAAGTCAAGATTATAAGTTAACCACAGTCCTGTGCAATCTATATATTCTATTCGCCTTTGTTTTAATTCTGTATAAAAAAAACTATTACGAAAACAGTCGGATGGTTCTTAATTTGATTAGAAATATAAATATTCTCTTTAAAAAAAAATGTGAAGAGCATGATATGCTTTTGTGATTTTCTTCAAACAGTTTTCGATGTGTTTACCCCACCCTGATTTTGTTGTTATATGAACTCCTAGATTCTTAAAAATTTTAACAAAACTAATCTTAAAATCTTTAGATTTTATTTCAGGATAAGATTCACTCATTTCTATTTGTCTCTTGTTAATGAGAATAGATTATGACAGACAAGACACGCGAAAATGCAACAAAGCTCTACCCACCTCAACTTTTACCTACATCACAGCAGAAAAAAGTCTTCGCGAGTAGTCTTATCCAATCTGCAGATGAGTTGATCAAAGAGATTAACACGGCATCAGATAACATTAGACTTAGTCGCGATAAAGCTCTTGCAACAACGAAAGAATGGCAACGAAAACAACTAGAAAGTATCGAGCAACGCTACTTGAATCATTGCAACGACATCGAAGAACGCTTTAAACGACTGATGTCGCTCGAGCAAGATGTACGAACTCGCTTATCGACTGAAATTGATGAACCACTCGTCAATGGTAATCTTACTGATGAAACAGCTGTCGTTGTACAGAAGACGATCGATTCTGTTCGTCAGGATGTATGGCAATTAAGATGGAATGCTGTTACCGCAAAACTGAAAGTGAATTTCATGTCCATTCACATTGCGTTTGCCTGAATGCGAAATTCGTTGCCTTTTTAGGTACCAAAAGCTGAAGAAACTGCTGATCCTCCCGATAAACACCAGGGTTTCTCCAAGGTCTTTGAGCAAGCAGCCAAAGATTGCAATAAACAGAAAATTATTTGGGTTGGTGGATGGGCAAAAGAAGCCCAGAACTACAAGATTATTACACCGTCGGGTCTCAACAGCAAAAAAGCCAAAGGTATGATTATTTCATGCCCACGAGAAAAATCGCTAGCTGACAATGTACTACATATATAAGATGAGTTGATCTATGCAAGGATTTTGAGCAAACGGGTGCTGATCATGAGTAGTGCTGTTAACTAAATGTTTGTGTTTTTAGTAAAAGCAAAAAAAATGTTGTACCGAAATACTCTACCATGATCAGAACAATTCAAAAGGCGAAAAAACTCGTCGATCTATTCTCGTCTGAGAAGTCGGAAGCTGTGATTCTTGCCTATTTGAGGGTAATTATTCTGGCTTCTCGGCTTTATATTCATCTGATTTTGTTTCAGAACTTCTTACAAACCACAGAAAGAAAGGAAAATATCGTTTTGGAGCAAATTGCTACTGTAGTTCTTTCATTGCTGATCGCCGGAAATGAACAGGAGCTTCAATCGATGGTAACGCGTTACGTGTCGATAGTGAAATATTGCAGTGATCAACATATCAGCGGTGATTTCATGGTTCTGGTAGGGATTCAAGTATTCATTGCCACTCATGAAACATTCGATGCCGGTAAGTAGCCCACGTGGAAAAAACCGAACATGATGAATATTGGAATCCAAATGCCGTTCTATCATTTTCGAATGAATTCCGTAAAGAACATTCAATGTTTGCACAGTGTAGACATGCACCGAAACCATTTATGATAAAATTAATGGTTTCCGCATAGGCCTATTCGCATAGGAAACAAATGCGTATCAATGAAATTTATTTTGTTTTAGCAACTGCAGTTCCAGATCTCCTGCGCATTCTGGCAGACAGACAATGTATCAGAAGTCTGACTCTGTTCAATTGGTATGAGCATGGGACACGCGGCAAACAATATATCGGTTATGAACTGGCGCGTCAAGCAGCATTCTCCTATATAAACGAGACAGCTGAGTCTTAAAAACCGATTCAGCACTAACTCTGCTTCTGATCCTTCTCCTGTAAAAAAAAATAGTTCTTTAAACTGTCTTCGCATTCATGAACAATATTTCTTCGTTTTTCTATTTGATCGGTCTTAGAAATAAACCAACACTGTAATTTTTTTTAAACTCTATTTTGTAGAAAATCAACTTTAAATAAGCTACAGCAGTTTCAAACTTTTATGATTCATTCATCGAATTTCTATTATTTAGAAAATGCCTGATTTTCCAAACAATAGAAATTCAATTTAATTTACTGCATAAAATCCAAACTTGAATACCAATATTTTATTTTCAAGAAAGTAGAAATTCATTACTGAATTCATATAGGTATTCTATTTTTTACAGTGAAGATGATCGTACGTACTGAGTCCAAGACTAGCCAGAAAATTATTTTGTCCAATTAATGAACAGTTTAGTTGTGATCTAAACCGAAATCGGGTTTAACTCAAGCACAATTAATCGAATTTTGTAGGGTGAGGGGCGAGTCAAGCTTACTTTTTTTCCGAATTTCGACCCTGTTTAAGGGTCTCATCCGATGGTTGTGACTCTACTTTACTTGTTCCATAATCTCAGTTTTCAACATCATCATAAAAATAGGGCAATGATCTATATTGAGTATCTAAAGATTATATAGAATCAATTGTATTACCGATAAATATATAGTATGTAGCAGAGTTGAATTTAATTATTATATAGGGAGTCGATTAATTGCTCGCAGAAACAGATGCTCGTTTGGTCATTTTCTCGTGTATAGAATGGTCATTTAGTTGTCAGTGATAAAATTCCGAACTAAATTGAAAGAACTAATATTTCACACGAATTGAATGATTGATGATTGTTATCTTTATACGTGCGTGAGTGGATGTGGCTGTTTCAGTGTCGGTGTGCACTGAAAAAAATCTTGCATTACGAAAATCATTTTTTTAGTGTCATATAGTACTACAAAACTGTGAAAAACGTTTCCTAGATGCTTGACAAGTTGTTGCAAGAGTTTCGTAGTATGATCTGGAGCCTGCAAAAAATATGAGAGCTTCGCAGTATTATACGAAACCTTTACGAAAATTTCCTGTGTTTTTGCTAAATCTTGTTAAAGATTTCGTACAATACTGCGAAACACTTACAACGGCTTTTCAAGCATCTGAGAAAAGTTTTTGATGGGTTTCGAATTCGTATCAAATCACCAAACCATTTTTAGTACAAAAGGGTTTCGTACCACAAGTTTTTGTTTTTGCTTTGGGATGTGGGTTAGATGGTTTCCTTATTTAACCTACACTCACGATACAATAAAAGTCATTACGAAACAGTAACAAAATCAGTCTTAACCTGTGCACTCTTCAAACTCTTGTGGCACTGTCAAAAAACAAGCCCCTGCGAGAAAAAGAGTATTTTGTTCAATGATGAAGTTGTTTATTGGTCTAAAATTTTTTGATAGATACAACCGATTCACTTTGCAGTACTCATCGATTTTTTTGTTCGTGTCACAAGATGTGCCTTTCGTATTGATTAAGGGATCAATGCGCAAAACTAAAATGTTTCGTGTTTCTTCTCACTAACCGGAGGTATTTTAGTGTAGATTTTTTTTTAGAAAGATTCATATCCGGAAGATAATCGATTTTTTGTAATAAAATGGAATATTCATCTAAAACTTATGTAAATTTTATTTGCTTCGATTTGTAGTTGTTATTTACTGTGCATTTGTTTTTGTAAGGTCAAAGGAAGTAGCATATAACGACAAAGGAATAGCAACACTATGCAATACGTTGCAACACGCTAGTTTTATTCCTACATCGGTTGATCTGTGTGGACTTCTAAAGGTTATGTGACTGTTTGACATCAAAAACTTCAATCTCAATATGATTAGGAATATAATATAGATGCAACTGTAGTGCATTATTCGATATTTTAACAGTTGCAAAAAGGATACATAAGCATGACATTCAAACTTCTGGCGCTTATTGTTTTGGTCACGATTGTCGAATCGGTCAGTACAGTTGGTATTTTTGAGCAATGTGCTGGTGCACCATTGAATCCTACATTTCAAAGATGTGATCCAGGCTTAGTTTGCTACGCAAGATCTCCCTTTTATGCAAATGTGAGTTATATTACATAGCAAGATGTTTAATTTTATTTGATTTTCTAGTGTCAACTACCCAATAACTGTCCTTCATGTAAGTAGTCGCTGCTGTTTTTATTGCTTACATACCATGTACTATTGTAAACATAGCCTGGGCATGTACGGTTGTCGAGAGTGCATCAACCGTTATTTCAACTCCGAGAACCATTCTTGCCAATCAACCATGCAATACTCAAAGCTATACAGTATGTGCATTTGGAACAACCTGTTTGCAACGGACTCCTACCGAGTCTGAATGTCGCTCTCAGTGTCAAGCTGGATGGGAATGTGATAGAGCAGTTGCTAAGGAGTTCGAACAGTGCGGAGGTACGATAAGCTCAATATTTCATATCTTAGATGTATGCAATTAAACTTTCTTGCTCTACATAGGTGAAGGATATTTTGGTGTGACTCGTTGTGCAGCTGGTCTTAATTGTTACACTCGTAGTAGATGGTATGCTCACTGCGCAGTGAGATGCCCTGGCAGTAACTGGTCCTGTTAACGTATTTTTTCCATTTAAAAGTCACCAGACAAAAGAAAATGAACATATAATATTCATCATATGTGTTCCACAAGATATATTGATATAAAAATCTTTTCGAAATACATTTTCACCGTCTTTTTCTTTTCTTGATGTGGATTATTTTTCTCGAACTGCGTAGCAAAATAGATAAGAAGAATCGTAGGCGAAGATTGTTCTTTCAACGTCAAAATAGCGTGCCCTTTGAATATTTTTGTGCCTATAGATGATAAATCATTGATTCATTTACAGACATCGTGTAACGAAAAATACAAACTAATCTCATTGAAAATATCAGTTGTCATGAATCAAAAAGATACGAGATATTCATCTTTCTTCTATTCGGTGTAAGTGTGTGAGTTTGCATTATACATCCGCGCGTATCTTCATTAATCCACAGTCCACATCTACACGATTGTCAAAACCTCTAGATATTCCCATCGGTTATGTTAGTTTGCTCTTGATGGCGTAGGTGTGGAGTGTAAGCATTCCCATTAAGAACAGAAACGCCCACACTCATTGGTCTCCATTAACCTTTGTTATGTCATGGCCTATTCCATTTTCATCGCTGCTTTTGCCTCTCTATAGACCGTGAAGTACAGCAAGGCGAATACAGCATATATTTATTTTGGATATCTTACATTTGTAAAGAAAACACGCAAAGCAGTAGTTTTATTTTCTACAGTCTGTATTACTTCACGAATACCACGAGATATTGCTCGACAAGAAAAATGTCAACATACAATTATTCATCGGCAGTTGGAGGTATACACCAAGAAAAATGCCAATTGGTACTGATTGATATTGATAACTACTTATATATGAGTGCGTTTAAGAGGAAGAAAAGAAATCAAATTGCATCACTAGGTATTAAATTGCTTCTAATAACTGCTGGAAGAATAGAATAAATAATAATTATCTTCAAAGCACAAGCATTTTATTGTTAAAATAACCCATGTAATAAAAACCGCATGGAAATCGACGGTTAACTGCGGTTTTACCGGCTCCCATTGCCGCAGGAAGGATAAATACCGCGGTTTACCGCAAGAAATGATCCGGTATTCGCAACAAGGGAATCATACTGTGGAATATATTGCATTTTTTAGCATGAGGAAATATAATTGTGTGTACAAAGATCGACTGACGATATTTTGTAAGGTTAAGAAAGAAAGAAAGAAAGAAAGAAAGAATACCCTTGCCTTGTGGCTACCTTTCAGTATAGGGTGTTGTCCGGAGACAATTTCAAGAGCCCGATATTTTTCCTACAACTATTACTAGCTGCAGCTCTGGACAGAAGGCTGGCCTGACTCAGAGTTCCTTCCACTTAATTACTTAGGCTTCCCATGCATATTGACTAACCACATACTATCCATGAGGATATTTTTATGTATGTCACATGTAATCAGTGTGCTATCGGATGGGTGATCCGAGACAAAGCAGCCGTTAGTAACTTGTCCAAGGTTATTCTATGGATGATGGCGCCGAGGTTTGAACACACTATCTTGTGGATGTGTGCCGAACATCTTAACCATTCAGCCATAGCGGCTTTTGTAAGGTTATGACGAGCTCAGCTATTGAAAAATAAATATTGTCATGATGAAACTCACAGATTCAAAGCGAAAGAAAAACACTTTTATTCATTTGACTTTTTAGTAATCAATATTCATTGATATGCATGAAGAAATGACTTCATATTGGTATTTTTTTGCATCTGTTTCTTTTTGTTCTCTGATAGATATTCTATTACGATGACGCCAGACAGAAATCGAAATCAGGTATAAAGAAATTTAGAAGAGCTAAAATGTATAGTTAACTATGGAAATAAAGATTGATCAATAGTTCCCTCAATATTCTTCAATATTATAATATAAAAATGATCTACTTTGAGTATGCGTGTAGGTGATTATTAAAAGAGAAGTACACCCACACCCTACTAATTCGTTCACTCATTTATTCTCTCAGAATGCCAAATATTTGATATTAAGCAAGTGTCACTAAATGAAGAAAAAAATTCGGACTTTTACGGAGCCGAAATCGAAATTTGTTTTTCAGAATCGAGTCGGGTTTCGAAATCAAAAAATGCGACTCCACTGATCACTAATCCACTCCAACACCAGCACCCAATATATAATTGTTTATTCCTGATTGTTAGGGTTAAATGTGTGCTGGTGTTAAGCACGATGTTTATTTCAATAATAATCGAAGAAAAAAAACCAACATATTCCCTCTACTGAAACGAGGGTCTTACGAAAAGTGGGTTAAATGCGTTCGTTCGTGTGTGTGTGTGTGTCCGTTCGTTCGTTCGTCCAATAGGAAAGCAGATGCATAAACTAAACTAACCTCTAACAATATCTGTAGGCATAGATTTGACCGAAGGTAATAGGGGGCCGGGGAACACGATGGCGTTGTCAGATTTTTGAAATTTTACTTTTTACTTTTTTTAGGAGAGAGAGACTTTAGAAAAAAATAGTTTTCTGTAAGGGTTGACCGAAGGTAATCGGGGTCGGGGAACATGATGGCGTTGCCAGTTTGTTGAAATTTTGTAAGTTACTTCAAACAGGTTTATAATGGATTAGGAGCTGTTTAGATCGTCGCATTTTCTTGATAGGAATGCTTTGTAGGAAAATTTTTTGTGGGTACCATTCGATGATGTTTATAGTGTTGGATGTATCGTATGGTTATGTGAGATATTATTACGAATAGGCTATAGGCATCGTGCGGTTGAATTGATTCTCAATTTGGGAGTGGCTAGCCGTGAGTGGCGCTCCGAAGGGGCGCCGACGAACGACTAGCCGCTCACCTGCACTGAGAGTTTGAAAGCTTTTTTCAAAATCTTCAGTTTATTCTTGATATGTCAACTTTTATTGCAGCACGAAAAATTTATTCAAACGTAACTCCTAGAATTCTAGATTAGCGCATCTACGAACGGACGCAAACTGATAAGTACTCGGGAATCATGTCTCATTCTTCTCTAAATTGTGATGAATTTATCGCATATGTAGATGTAACTGAATTGAATTAGTCTCACAACTGGTGTTTTCGTTTTTTTTGAAAATTCTCTTCGTTTTTATCTAATAATTATAGAGTGAGGTGAACCTTTCAATCAATAATGCAGCGTTTAAAAGGATCACGTTCACCGCATATATGAGGCAGTACAAGTGGGGGTGGCTAGTCGTGAGTGGCGCTCCTCTGGGGCGCCGACGAATGACTGGCCGCCCCCACTAGTTGAGAATCTGTTGTTATTATAGGACTACTTGCCTTGCAGACTTATAGAACAGTTACACGTTGTCTCGATCAGAAAAGTTGAAACAACTTTCGAAAATAGGACATATTTTGAGTTTCTTCCGACGACAGGTCGTGAAATAATTGCTCAATTCGTGTGAAACATTTGAAATTCGTATTTGTCGTAATTATCTTAATAAGCTTAGGTTTTCCTGATTGCGAGTGGATTTGATTCAAAAGATGTAAATCTTAGGTTTATCTATGTGTGAACGTGCACCCAAGAATGAATATATCATTTCTAGACGGGAAACGCACCGAAACAAAATAAACCCACATGAGGTTGAGCAAAAATTAGGACAAATCTGACCGAAATCGAGTTAGAAAAAGACACTTTGATGTAATTTCTGATCTACTCGTGCAGATTCATGTTAAATATCTAGTTCATAGACCAATTTGAGTTATAACTTTACTAAAATGGAGTATTTCGATCATAGCTCTCATGAATGGGTCTTTTTCTTCACTCCGTTATTAAGTTGATCGAAAGTTTTTGGGGGCGTAGCTTGAGCTGTACCAGATCGGATGCACTTAGCTTCAGTATCGCCATATAATATTAGTAAGTAGTAATTAAATGCCGCTTTTTTGGTGATACTTCCAAGCAAGTTTTCTATTTATGCTCGGTTATCAATCGTGTTTTCCATGAAAACCATTTCGAAGCTATAAAATGTGAAGTCTCTCAGCTAGATCGTTTTGCATAGCTACATTCCACATGACTAAATCCTTTCAGTAGAGGGTTGGCGACGCAAACGTCGCGTTACCTTGTATATATATAGAGAGAGAAAGAAGAACGAAAAAATATGATAACGAATAGAGATCACAAGATAGATGTAAAAAGATCAAAGAAGTGGAGGAATAACACATACTATGTATATGTACGGGCGCGACATCACCCTAACACTGATCATCAGTTTTTAATAATTGAGCATATACCAAGACCAATTGTTTTTAATTGAGGAGTGTTTTGATTAATTCTTACTGCCACGTCTTGCGGCATACTATTAAACTGAAGTTTGACAGTCTTTAAAGTTCGGTTAACTGTCAATGTATTGATTAATGCCAATGCGCCTATTTCACTAATTTTATTCCACTTGACATCTAGTTCGATCAGTGTGTTATTGGATTTGAGTGCATTTGCAATCACCGTAATGTCATCATCGTTGAGATTATTATCACCTATATCAATCAATGTGAGAGTTTGATTCATTCTTAGCATTTGTGCAACGAATGCACACCCGTTGGCAGACATCTTCGTTTGATATATGTCGAGATGGCAATGTTTGATTTATCACCAAACCTTCGCAAATGAATTTCACTCCTTCATCACGAAGATTATTTCGACAAATATTCAGATATTTTAAAGTTATATTTGATTTCAGCATTTCACCAATCGCTTTACAACCTACAGATGTAATTTTGTTTCGACATATTTTCAATTTTTCCAGACTGCTATTATTGATTAATGTATTAGCGATAAAAACGCAGTCGTCATCATTCATGCCAAATGAAAGGTCGATATCAGTCAACGTTCGATTAACATTTAAAACTTCGACAAGAATTCCAATCACATGATGACAGTCAGACACAACTCGTAGCTGCTTTACTTTTTTATTTTGCTTCAGGGCAGAAACTATCCGTTTCATATCAGTAGGAGATAAATTTTTGTTATCAACTTCCAACGTGGCATTTGAAAGTAAATTAGATAATAGAACGGTTTTTTCGCCAGATTCGCTTTTAAGCGTTACAGTGTCAACAAATGGAATTCGCGGTGTTACCACATCCGGTATTGTCGAAGAACGCTGTTGATTTTTCAGAACTGTCGGCTCAACGTATGAGCTAGTATTCATTATTTTATTTTTGCATAACTCCATCGAATTTGAGGCGGTCATGAGTTTTCTTGGTGATTTGGTTTTGAGGTAAATAACATCTGAACTTTCTAGTAGAAGTTCCCTGATCATTGTCTCATTTTCATCTACTACGTGTATTGGAGCGCCATTGGAATGAATAAACTGTTCGTTTTCTGATAGATCTGGTAATCGTTCAACTAAAAGTGTGCGTATATGTGCGACTGTTGATGAAACATTGACAGCTAATGTTAGTTCAACTATACCATCACGATTTATAATAAATTTCGGTCATGTTGGCGTTTTCTTTTGAAAATAACTCTTCATATTCATAAAGTCAAATGCCATGATGATGCAGTTGATGAGTTAATAAAAGTTCGATCATAAGAGTATGGTATAGCAACTGGGTTCAGGGCTTCGAGTGGAATTCGCAAATAAAATGTCTTCGCAGCCTTTGTTCAACTTAGCAAAATGTACGCGCACACTTTACTTTCGCAGGCAAAGTGTATCAAACTGTCAATATTGAATTTTGTTATATAATCTAGAACATAAATAACAAATATTTACACGACTATTTCTTAATCTGACTGGGGGTGTTACTTTATATTTACTTTACTTTTTAAAGATAAATAAAACCTTTATATTTAAAAAATAAAGATAAATGAAATCTCTATATTTATAAAATAGAGAATGAAGAATTTATGAAATCTTTATTCTTTAAAAAATAAAGATGAATAAATTTTTTATATTTATAAAGTAAAGTAAAGATAACGATAATCTTTATCTTTATAAAATAAAGAAAAAGAAAAAGTAGCTTTATCTTTATTTAATAACGATAAAATGAAGAAAAAAGAAAAATATTTTTCCTTAAAAAACCAAAATTTGGTCTTCTCCCGATAGCTCGAAGAAAATTAAGAAGTTCAAGGCTAAAAAATTTTGAACACTAAATTTTTTTCCATAAATGATTTATGCCTCACCCTCATTTGCTAGTATTATTTCATACTGCAATGTCAGTGATGATAAGCAAGAACTGCAATCAATGTTTTCTGTTGTTATACAAATTATTTATCTATTTACCAGTGACTGCAGAAAATCTTTCTTTTTTCTTTATTTTTACAAATAAAAATTTCATTTATCTTTATATTATAAATATAAAGCTTTTATTTATCTTTATTCTTTAATATAAAGATCAATAAAGATAAAATAACACCCCTAAATCCGACATGAATACGAACATATTTGAGAGAAAAATACAAAAAAGAAAGATTAGATGATAGTAAAATTAAAAATAAGAGATCTTGTTGTACATTTTATTCTTCACTGATGTCAAACAGCGTGTAAATTGTATTCAGCAAGGGTTTTGTACATTTCGATTTTGCTTGGTATACCTGCTATTCAGAATCCAGTTTGGGTTCTTCTACACCGCTAGTGCACCGTTCATGATAATACAATAGAAAAACATAGAAAAGGATAATCTATACGTATTGGCGCAAGACAATAACCATTAAACATAATGATACTTAGATGGTGTAACGAGCATAAATGAAATATTTATTTAGAAATAAAGTTCCATCTCAAATAGTATGATTTGCTCGATAGGTTGCAGACGACAACTTTCGCAATATCAACAGTATTTATCCTGATACTATTTACTAGTACCTAAATGCCCATTCTGGTGACTTTTGCTGCATGATGATCGTGCCGTGACTACAATTAATCCTAAAAACTGACAAAAATAACAGTGGCATCCTCTATTACGTGTGTACTCGTTGCATCCCATATGATAATAACCGGAAGAAAACTGTCGGTTTACTGTGTTTTTAGCGATCCGGTTATCGGCTCCCAACAATGGAATTTACTGGGGTTAACTGCTCTGGTCTTGACGAATACTGCAGATTACTGCTAAAAATGATCCCGTATTTACGATACGGAATACAATTTTATTCCGTTGAGTTCCGCAGCCAATGGATAGCGTCATCTATCAGAAAATACCGCGCAACATGAATTACATTTGCTGATAACTTTTCACCAATGATATCGCATCATAAATTGAGCAAATAAATCGAATACAGACCATGGGTCATTTGACATAAATTTATGGAATAATTACTGAAGCTATAGTCTTTTATATTTAGATGTTTTCTGTCGGATCAGCCAGTGGAACAAAAGTACGTTTTTTTTATGAATATCATGGTCGAGTGCATTTTCTTGCTTATTTATAGAAAAAAGGCAAACAAGCAACAAAAGGTGATGCACAAATAGTTAAAGAAAATGCTGAAACAATTCAATTTTACAAAAATATCTTAACAGTAGCTAATGTAAGATTTTATATTGTAGAAATACTGTTTTTACTAAGTTTCACATACGATCTAGGTTGTTTTTCTTGCTGCACACTTAGCATTTTACTATTTCACCGGACTTGCATTGTATTCTCTAGTAAGAAACTATTTTCACATTGCATTGAACTCGACAATTAATCATCTCATCTCTTTATGAAGATTTTTTTTGTGGTATCATCTATTGCTGCATGGTACGTGTGGTCATTTATGCGTCAGATTGGTACAACGAAATCAGGTGGTAGCGTCACTGATTTAAATTTAGAAGGAAGTATTTCAGAGTAAGTTTTATTACTGTGATCCAGTTTTATGATGTCTATATAATCTTATTTAGATATGCTAAAGATGTTATTTTGGTTATTGTTTTTGCACAATCCACTAGTTTAATTCATCGATATTTTTGGTGGTCACTGTTAATTGTATGAATCAGAAAAATTTTATTTTTGCAATAATTTGTTATGCCTCTATTTTAGATTCCACTCTATGCTGTCTACAAAGGAATAATGTTATTTTTCTTTTCACCTTACGCTCAATTACGTAACGGTGGAAAAAATGAAGAACAAGATGAAGACAATGATGGGAAAAAAGGTGTAAAACGAAAAATTGTTCGTGTCAATCGCCATTAATAAAAAAGACGTCTTTTTCGTTCTATTTATCCAATGTTAATAAACAAATATACGTACAAAAATATGTCATTAGTTGATTTTGTTCTAGATTAAGAAAAAAACCGACCATGGGTCTAGCAAGTCTTATCTATCAGCATACGTTAGTGCTTTCTGTTTTATTCAAACATTGGTTTCTTGGTTTAATCAATCTTTTTGCTGGTGGTCCTCCACTGAAAGATGTAAGTTCCGACATTGTTCTTATCACTGGTGCTGCAAGTGGACTGGGAAAAGGTGTAGCTCAACGATTGGCTCGTCTTGGTTGCACACTTGTTTTATGGGATGTTGATCATGAAAATAATATTCGTGTTGCTGAAGAATTAAATAATGCAACAAATTCAAAGCGTGTTCATGCATTCAAATGTGATTTAACAAAAAAGGAAAATATTTATGAATGCGCAAAAAAAGTAAATAATATAAATTTCGATTTCTGTCGTGCTACATGAGAAATATTTTTTTGTTGTTGCTTATTTAGGTTCAGGAAACAGTTGGTCAAGTAACAATGGTTATTAATAATGCCGGCATTGTTTCAGGTAAAAATTTTCTGGAATGCAGTGATTCATCGATTCAACGTACATTCGATGTTAATATTATGGCACATTTCTGGGTAAATTTCGATTAAAAATTTGTAATTTTTTCTTCTAATTTATTGATTTGTTCTATGAAGATTTTAAAAGCATTTTTACCATCGATGTTAGAAAATAACCATGGTCATATTGTAACGATTGCGAGTGGTGCTGGTCTAGTTGGTACATCAGGTTTAGTTGACTATTGTTCATCGAAATTTGCTGCTGTTGGTTTACATGAATCATTAACGTAAGATTTTCATCCGTGTAAATGGTTCATTTTTAAATTTTTGATTTATTTAGACATGAATTATATGGTTTAAAAAAACGCGGTATTAAAACAACTGTTGTTTGTCCAAGTTTTATTAATACAGGAATGTTTGACGGTGTTAAGACGAGGTAAATTTTATCATCAGAGAAAACATTTATAATTAAATTTCGATTCTTTGTTGTAGCGAGGTGGCTCCATTGTTACAACAAGACAATGTATGTGATTTAATAGTTGAAGCTATACGAAAAAATCAACATCTGTTGCTTATACCGAAATTATTGATCCTTTCTCTTCTTTTAAACAGGTTAGAATAAAAATCTCAAGAAGAAGGAGAATGTCTTCTTTTTTTTTGTTCTAATATTAGAATGTCAACAACAGATGCTCAACTTGAAGTACAAGATATGATTGGTCTTCATCATTCAATGGATACATTTACTGGTCGTCATCAAAAATCTTCTTAAATTATCTATTCAAACATATTTTTCTACTCTAATCTTTGATTTTTACTCCCTACGTAATCTTTTAATTTAACGTTCATTTTTTAATCCCACGCAATTTATTTAAAAATGAACCTATATTTTTACTCTTGATATTTAGATGAAATCTATTTCGAATAGATCTCGTGAAAAACGATGATCGATTGGCTAACTAGTTTACTGGTTGGTAGTTCAGTGTCATTCATCATGACCTTTTCATTTTGTTTCTGTTTTAAACGTGATCGTGCTACATACAGTGTATCATCAAATAATGGAAATGTTGATTCATTGAAAACCACAACTGTTACTTTAGCACCATTGCCATTATCATCTGATGCAGCCATTATTCCCATGGAATCAGATTATGAAAAAATTATTGGTTCATCAGGTGATGGAGAAATACGTATTAATACTGATTTTAGAGATTCGACAACATCGATGGAATATGGAGGTTATACGAAATTAACACCAATTCGATCTCAACAACAATCATTCGACGATGATACACAACTCTATGCTACTGTTGATAAAACAAGATCAGTAGGAAATAGTGAAATGAGAACAACACCAAATGCAACGGCTGCGATTGCAGCGGCCATTAGACAAGGTTCATCGCCAGCATCGACTACTACGTAAGTGGTCTTGAAGATGTAACATCAGATCATAGGCTATGCAATATTTTCATTTCTAGTTCTGCATCACCACAAGCAATCTTCTCTGGAAGTTCATATTTAACTGGATACACAATGGCATCTCAAAATCCACCTGAACATCCGCCCCCACCTCCTCCTCCTCCGCCGCCGCCGCCATTACCACCGCTTTTACCTCAAGTCTATGGTAGTACAACTACAAATATCAATGATTCTAGTCGTCGTCCTCATTACGATGAAGTCATAACACGAGAATCATTACAATACCGTGCACAACGCTTACAAATGGAAGAACAGCAACAGCAACAACAACAAATGCGTGAAAATTATTATTCGTCTGTAAATAGTGAACGTGGTACAACGACAGGTAGTGATCTATACGCTGAAATCGCCAACGGTAGTGCATCGGGTACAGTGCATCAAAGTCAACAAGCCTATTATTATACGCGACCATCAGCTGGTGGTAGTGGCCTAGGCGATGATTTATCTGAAAGATATGCAACTGTTATTGAATCTGCTGAACAACAGCCAACAACAAATCGTATATATCAGGATGTTGATACAATGAAACTTTAACAGATCTTTTTTGTTTGTTTTTTCTATTTTGAATCTGTAAGTGCAATCAAGTATTTAAAAAATGTGTTCCTTGTTTTTTAATTTTTTTTTCTGTAAATATAATCTTGTTTTTTCTCTGTTCTTCTTTTTCGTCTTTTTAAGTGTAAAAAAGAACACAGAAGATTATTGACAATTATCTATTTCACAGATATGATATATTTTCCGTAAGAACCAAAGCGAATCTCACACGATTACAATGACCTTCAGTAAAATACTTATTGCGAATCGTGGTGAAATAGCATGCCGAGTTATACGTACTGCACAGCGTCTTGGTCTTCAATCGGTTGCCGTATTTTCAGATGCTGATCGGGATGCATTACATGTTCGAATGGTATGTCGAGACAGACGTTTTGTTCGTGTTCTCTATGTTAGGTTTTGATATTCAAGGCTGATGAAGCCATTCATATAGGTCCACCACAAGCTCTTCAAAGTTATTTACGTAAAGATAAAATAATCGAAGCTGCAAAACGAACCAATGCACAAGCTATTCATCCAGGTTATGGTTTCCTATCGGAAAATTATGAATTTTGTACCATGTGTAAAGAAAATAATCTTATATTTATTGGTCCACCACCAAATGCGATTCGTATGTTTGTTGTGTATATTAAAAATATTTTAAAATAAGCATTTTACTTCGTTTTAGGTGATATGGGTATTAAAAATTTAAGTAAAATTATCATGCACGATGCAAATGTACCTGTTATATTTGGTTATCATGGTGATGATCAATCAGAAGCGACATTGACTAGTGAAGCAAAAAAAATTGGTTATCCTATTATGATTAAAGCTGTAAGAGGTGGTGGAGGAAAAGTAAGTTTATCATTTGAAAACAGGACACTTCTTCTTCAGAAATTATAATTGATATTTGTAGGGTATGCGTATTGCATTTAACGAAGGTGAATTTTTGGATAAACTCAACGCTGCTAAATCTGAATCAAGAAAATCGTTTAATGACGAAGCAGTTTTACTCGAAAAATTTATTCAACGTCCACGGTAACAGTGAAAGAATTTTCATATTCAATTTATTGATATCCTATCTTCTTCTTTTTTATTTTTAGTCACGTTGAAGTACAAGTATTTGGTGATATGCATAAAAATTATGTTTATTTATTCGAACGAGATTGTAGTGTCCAACGAAGACATCAAAAAATAATTGAAGAAGCACCAGCGGTACGCATAGAGTCGTCTTCTCGTAAAGTTTCGTGAGAAAGAATAGTGTTTATTTTCATAATAGCCTGGTCTTGATTGGTCAACACGAAAAAAATTAGGTGAAGCAGCCGTAAAAGCCGCTCGAGCAGTTGGCTATGTCGGAGCCGGAACAGTAGAATTTATTATGGATGAAAACCAAGAATTTTATTTTATGGAAATGAATACACGCTTACAAGTTGAACATCCAATAACAGAAATGATTACGGGTACTGATCTTGTTGAATGGCAAATAAAAGTTGCTCAAGGTGAAGTTCTCCCGATGAAACAAGACGACATCAAATTGAGAGGACATGCATTTGAAGCACGTATTTATGCTGAAGAACCCGAAAATGATTTTATGCCCGGTAGCGGTCGTTTGAGTTATTTACGAACGCCACCCACTGGCGAAGATGGTAAAATTCGTGTCGAAACTGGTGTTATCGAAGGTGATGAAGTATCTGTACATTATGATCCAATGATTGCTAAGCTAGTTGCTTGGTCATCAAATCGAACAAGTGCATTGCAAAAACTTCGTCATGCGCTACAACAGTATTACGTGAGTAAATAACATTTTTCCTAGATGAAAATATTTCTTTTGAAAATAAAAACTCTAGGTTGGTGGATTGAAAACAAATATTCCATTTTTAATGTCTCTTTGCGATAATGCACAATTTCAATTAGGAAATGTTCATACGGATTTTATCAAAGAAAATAAAGATGTTTTATTTCATGTACAACAAATAACTCCAAGTTTAGCCGTAGCTGCTGCTTCGACTTATATTCAATCTCAGCTAGGATTAAAATATAATACAGGTTCGTAGTTTGTCTTTCAGCTCAAAGAATAGCATTTATATAGATATTATTTTCAGGATCTATGATTGTCCTACGAAACTATTGAAAATTTTGATTAAAAAAAGTAGAGAATAGAAGTCAATTTTTTATTGGCCTTCCAATAGATTAGTTTTCGATTAAAAGATCTGCTTCATCTTGGCGTAGATCTCCAAGAAGGTGATTCTTGACTAATATCAATGATTTCAAGCAGTACGGGGAGCTGGACTTTTGATCTGAATTCTTCATCCGCGATTTTGCGATACACCTATGTAAACAAGATTTCTTTATTCTAGACGGTGCGCCATCATTTTTTTCAACACATAACAATTCATTTCGTTTAAATTTTCAACAAAAAGAATCCTTAACATTAATCTATGATAACAAAAGTAAATATTATTTTCATTCGATAAATAAGGTCACCATGAAAAATATGAATTTTCTTTAGATTATCAATTTCAAATCGAACGTATTAGTAATTCGAATTTACTTGTTACTTACGACAATAAAACGTATCCTGTTGAAATTCGCTCATCGACCGATGAAGTTGTTCTTCTCATTGATGGCCATCAATTTCGATGTCGCGTTCATATCGATGGTGATACATGTACATTCTATTCGAATGTCAGTCGGGCTTCGCTTGATTTTAAACTACAGCAACCATCATTTCTTGCTCAAATTGCTTCGTCTGGCCTAGGCGCTGCAGCTGGTGATCCCGTCGCACCAATGCCAGGTCTTATCGATAAAATACTTGTTGAAGAAGGTACCGCTGTAACAAAAGGACAACCTTTATTAATAATGACTGCGATGAAAATGGAACATGTTATTAAAGCATCAAAGGACGGTATTATTGCAAAAGTGAACGCAACAGTCGGGAAAGTGGCTAAAAAAGGCGAAATTCTATTAACATTCGTTGCTGACGACAAAAAATAAAACGAGCACAGGAATTTTAAGACCTGGAGACTAAACCATTGCTTCCTGTGTTTTCTTTTCTTTTCCTTTTGCTTTGTTTGGAAACTGGTAGTATTTGTCTCTATGAATATCATTTTTAGATTGTTTTTATTATCATGGCTCGTCCAAAAGGTCAAAAACGTTTCGCTGAAATGAAACGAATGATTAAATTAACGGATGCGAGACTCAAAGCAAAGGATCGTATGAAACCAAAAAATCATGATAAAAAACAAGAAAAGAAATCTATTGGTGAAATTACTGAAAAAAAAGTTGCACCGGTTACATCAGCCCTCTTCTTTCGATACAATACACAACTCGGTATGCTCTCTTTGCTTTAATTTGAACATTCTTTTGGAAAACGTTTTATTTATTCAGGTCCACCATATCACATCTTGATCGATACAAATTTCATTAACTTTTCCATCAAAGTTAAATTAGATATCATTCAATCAATGATGGATTGTCTCTATGCGAAATGTACTCCATATATAACCGATTGTGTAATGGCGGAAATCGAAAAACTAGGTGCAAAATATCGTGTAGCATTACGCATCGCAAAGGACCCACGTTTTGAACGTCTACCATGTTCACATAAAGGTTCCTATGCTGACGACTGTATCGTGCAACGTGTGACACAACATAAATGTTATATTGTTGCAACATGCGATCGTGAATTAAAACAACGCATACGCAAAATTCCTGGTGTACCGATTATGTATTTACATGGTCATCGTTATACGATTGAGCGTATGCCAGATGCTCACGGAGCGCCCAGAGTATAAAAACAAAACAAAAAGTGTAACACTTGTTATTTTGTTCTACTATGTTTTACTTGTTTAAAATAAATGATTGAGTGGAACAAAAATTCACTCATTTGGGTATGGGTCGAATTATAGTTCATAAAAGCATTCAGTGACTATCTGAGAATTAAACGATTTATTATAAAAGAAAAAGAAACCTAATACGGACAAGAAGTGAAGTTTTGCTACATAGTGTTCATCATAGTTGAATTTCGTGGATGACTTTTCTCTCGTGATCGCTTATTTTGAAACCATACACGAACCACTTTTTCATCGAGTGATAACAATTGTGATAGGGTTTCAATTTGTGATGGATCAGGATAACGATTTGTGGAATAGAAACGATCAAGATATTCCCGTTGCTCATCTGTAAATGCCGTACGAATGGTTTTGGATTTATTCTGTGATCGGGAAGATTTCGTTGGTTTTTCATTTTCGTCGCCATTATTTTGACTTCGAAATGCACTTGATAGTTGTGAATTATATCCGGTTTCATCTAAAATCATAAATGACTAATTCGTTCAAACAAGAATATTTTGACTTACCGTTCGTTTTCAACGGAGAAAGAAGTTCATCAATACTTTTAAAATTATGTCGAACTTTAGGTGTTGTCGGACGAACGGAATTGAATAAAGATGAGTAAGCAAACCAACATGAACTAAAACAAAAACAAGTTTCATTAAATTTACTAGATTAATCGAAAGAAATAAGAATTACTTGAATGTCGGTGAAGATGAATTCGATGATTTAGCAATTGTCTCTTCGTAACTATGCAGTTCGTTTTCCATGTTATGAATGTTTGAATGAAGTTAACGCATCAATTTCGATACCTATTTGAAGCCGATGAATATTAGAGTTTCGTCCAATGAATTCTTAATGTTGGAAAATCGATCGTTTCTATTGGATACAACCACTTGTTCATTGAAGAGAAAACAACACCGTAATCAATTCAATATGACAAGCCTATTCGTTACGCTAATTCATTAAATAACAACACTACAGGCAACTAATTGATGGACTCATTTTCGTCGGAGGCTAAATTTTTGCGTTCTTTCAATAGAATTCCATTGCATATTTTTGATTCTCAAAGAATATCAAATATGTGCGAATTGATAAAATGAGAAAGAAAAATGAACGTGCAATGCAGAAAATAATCCAGCAAGACACTCGAAATGAATGCAGATGATGATCGGCTATGCGTAGAAGTATGAAGAGATCTGGGAAGATGATTTTTTTCTCAACAGTAAAAATAATATCGATTCGTATCGGCCTAGTGAATAAGAAGTTGACAATAATAAAACGATTGAACTACAATTAGTAATGCATAATATTTATTGGTTTATCATCTCTTATATTAGCTTACAGTGCTTGATAGATTTCTAGTTGAAAGATAAAAAATTCTCAACTATGAATATGTAACAAAATAGTCAGAAGTACAATTTTATCCTAACTCATAGAAACAGAGTATTTTTTTTTTGTACATCAATATTCGTCGATAAACATTTTAAATAAACAACACAGACAGTCATAACACTAATAGTCTATCAGACAGTGTCCGCAAGTGGAATCATCGCAGTTAGCAGATTCACTATAGGAACGAAGGCTTGAATCCTTCCAGTATCCTAATTTTATTCTTTAATTTAATTTTGTTTAATTTCACAAAAATCGAATTTCGATAAAATTCATCGTCTGGAAAAAAATAAACCAAGGAATTTATTTTGTGACTTATTGATAATGACTATTCGTATTTATTGAACTGATTCAATTATGCTATTGATGTGAAAGTAAATAATCATACGTAGCTCTTGTCGAGACACGTTGTCACTTTCCACTGATGATATTTACTATGAGTAATATCGATATGTTCTAGAAGGAGACTACAGCGTAAGCCAAGGTGAAAAAAAGCAGCTGATAATCGATATTGCATCAGAACAGAGTAAAATTAATCGTGTGACTAATTTCTATCGGATTTTTGCTCAGTGTTTTGAGGAAGTGATTGTATACTTATTTTTTCGCAATTGGGAAAAACCAGTTACCTCCTTGGACTGCTGTGTATAAATATGCCATGCAAAGCTGATTATCCAACGCATATAAGCGCTCTCATTTGTTCTACAATTCAAGCAATTGAATTGTAAGTAGAATAACATCGTACTGCTATCGAAACTTACCCGTACTACTCCTCTACCTTATTCATGTAACTGAAAATTTCTGTAAATATAATTCAACAGAGGGGTGTCGCTGCACTTTTTCTCTGTAGACAGTCACAGCTACACTCATATTTTTAAGCATTTTTTAAATATACGCCATTTTTCTACAAAAAAGCGCAGCATCAATCATGGAAAGAACGGATAATAAAGAGTTCCTCACTCTTGTTTGGGTGGACTCAGAAGTCGAGTCATACGATAATGTAGAAAAAATACAAAAACGGCTCTGTGAGATCAATGATTATGTTGTGATTCATACTGAAATTGAATCATGCATTCATTACATAAAATCAATTGATCAAGAAAAAATTATCCTCATTTCTTCGATTTCTGATGCTCCAAAAATATTATCTGATATTGAAAATTTATCTCACATTGAGCGCATATTTGTCTTCGATATCGAAAAAGTTCATCATAAACAGACATTTCTGAAACATTCAAAATTAATGGGTATTTATGATGAACTCGATATGCTTTGTTTAGAAATTCAAGAACAAGTGAATTTTATTCATAATCAAATGGTTAGATTTAGTTTCGTCGATCATAATGCTGGTTTAACACAAGACCTATCAAAACAAACTACTGATCTTCTCTGGTTTCAACTGGAACGCGATGTTATCCTACAAATTCCTGGTAATAAACAAGAAATGATCGATGCCTGTCGACTCTACGATCGAGATAATCTTAAAGTATTGGAAATGATTGATCATTTTGAAAATGAATATCGATCAGACGAAGCCACTCAATCGTATTTGAAAAAATCATTTCTTTACAAAATTGTTAATAAACCATTGAGAATCGAAGATTTCGATGAGCTCTATAAATTTCGATATTTCGTAAAGGATCTGAACGAGAATATTGCTTGTGGACGTAGGAAAATGAGTCAATCCACTAAAGAAACATTGTTTGTGTATCGGAGAATGAAAATAAATCAAGATGAAATTGACAAATTCAAAGAAAATGAAGGCAATCTCGCTGCAATACACGGACTGTTGGAGACCACTAGTATTCGTTCGACTGCATTAACTCAAGTAATAAAGGTTGTTAGACAAGCCGATATGATCCCTGTTCTTCTGGAAATCGAAAGCGATCTCAATCAGAACGTCATTTTTACTGATACTATTCAATGGGGTGATTTGTCATCGGGAAAAGAAATTCGATTCGTTTCCAATGTAACTTTTCGATTGGAGAAGGTGAAAACAGGCGAAAAAGTACTGCTCATGGCATTAAAAGTATCGACTGATGGCGAACCTATCAAACAAAAATATATCGAAGACACACATCGTCAAATAGAAAATTTAAGTATGAAAATTCTTTTCGCACGTTTAATGTGTGATATTGGTCTATGGAATCCGTCACAACAATTCTTGGAACATTTATTAATCGATTCGAATAGCAATGATGAAGATATTGCACGAATCGAGTGGAGTCTAGGTAACATTCTTCAATGCAAAGGAGAATGGATTGAAGCACGAAAATGTTACGATCGAATGATAAATACTGAACCAGCTTGTAGCAAACACTCTGCTGATATACTCAGCGCTATTGGCGATATTCCTTTTTCTGAAGGAAAATACGAAGAAGCGTACCAGTGTTTTGAGCGAGCGTTGGTCACCCGAGAAAAATTTTATTTTTCTGGACATGCACTCATGGCTACAGGTCGCTTTGGCATTGGAAATATTCTTCAGAAGAGAGCAAAATACGACGAAGCCTTTCACTCTCATCAACAAGCATTAATTATTCAAGACAAAAACTATAAATATCGTAGTAATGATTTGGCTATATCATTGCCCTGCATTGGGAATGTCTTATATCAACACGAGAAGTATGATGAAGCTATTGAGTTCTTTCAACGATCACTAGGAATGCGAGAGAAATTCCACCCATTGAATCATACAAATACCACTACAATGCTCAATAATATTGGATTGGCCTTATATAAAGAAAAGAAATATGACGGTGCTATTGAGTTCTATGAACGATCGCTAGCAATGGACTACAAATACGATCCGCTGAATCATACTCGTATCGCTGTGATTCTCAGTAATATTGGGAATGTCTTATACCAACAAAGCAAGTATAATGAAGCTATCGTATCCTATCAACGATCGCTAGCAATTCGAGAAAAGTTCGATCCATTGAATCATAATGGTATCGCTGTGGTTCTCATTAATATTGGGAATGCCTTATATCAACAAAGCAAGTATGATGAAGCTGTCAATTTTTATCAACGATCGTTAGCAATTCGAGAACAGTTCGATTCATTGAATCATACAAGTATCATTAAAATGCTCAATAATATTGGCATGGCCTTATATAGACAAGAGAAGTATGATGGCGCTATTGAGTTCTATCAACGGTCGCTAGCAATGGGCGAGAAATTCGATCCATTGAATCATACTGGTATCGCTGTGGTTCTCAGTAATATTGGAAATGCCTTACGTCAACAAAGCAAGTATGAGGAAGCTGTCGATTTTTATCACCGAGCTTTGAGAACCTATGAAACATATTGCCCATCTAATCATGTCAGTGTTGCTGGTTGTCTCGTTGGTATTGGTCATAGCTTGAAAGGTCAAGAAAAATTTAATGAAGCTTCTGCTTTTTATAATCGTGCATTGGATTCCTACGAGAAACATTCACCGAATCATATGGGTATTGCTACTTGCCTTCACAACATAGGTAACATTTTAATAGAGCAAAGGAGATTCGATCAGGCTGTAGCATTTAAACAGCGAGCGTTGGAAAAAGTCAAAATAAATCGGCCAAATGATAAATTAAAAATAGCGATTGATGTCATGGAAATAGGAAATATTCTCTTTGAACAAGCAGAATATGATGAATCCTTGGATTTTTACCAAGAAGCACTTGTTCTACTCGAGCAGTACTGCCCCGATTGTGGTTTGAAAATTGCTGATTGTCTGTCCTGGATCTCTGTTAACTTTTATCGAATGGCCCATTATGATGCTTCCATCGAATATTTAGAACGATGCTTATGTGTAAGAGAAGCTAGTCTGCCTTCGCTAGATCTCATCATTGCTAAAACACTCTCGGATTTGGCAATAGTGCAAAAAAAGAGAAGGCAGTATGAACTCTCTCTTGCGTATCGATTGAATAGTTTCTTAATATCTGACAAACTTCTACCACCAAATGATCAAACTATTGGTCTTAGATTGTCTGAAATAGGTGAGATGTACGAAGAACTTGATCAACCCAAGATTGCACTAGATTATTACCGACGTGCATTAGTCATATATAGGGAACGGCTACCCTCATTCCATGAAGACCTACGGAATATAGAACGGCATGTTCAGAGAATATCAGAAGATCTTCATATGGAACTTTCTTAATCGGAGCAACTTTTCAAAACATTTGTTGCATCAATTTATAATATATCATAACTATTGCGTAATAATTTATTAGGTTAAACGATGTGAGTGAAAGTTAGATGTGCTTGTTAAAGAATTCGCTGTCACGTCTATAAATAGGTTTATAATAGAAAACCGAACTACCAACACTTATACGATAGAATGAATGACATCGAGCGATGCATAATGCACAAGTTTTTTACATTTGGAAATTTTCCGTTAATGCGATGTCGAGTAATGTTTCCTGGCAATTTTCATCGACTCGATAGTTCGTTCGTCTAATTTTGAATTCTCTCCCGAGTAGTAGAAAAATTCCAAGGTTGTCATAAAATAGATTAGATATGTGCGCTCGATGTAAATTAACTATGACCAGGTAGATTTTTCTCGTAGAAACCTGGAAAGAGAATATGATGAATTTGTAAAATCGACCTTCATTGCCATAGAAGTATTTGCTTTTAGTATCAGATAATAAATGTTTGCATAACATCTCGAAGATAAGTCACATGCAGAGTTTTTATTATTTCGTTTGTTTCAGATTTACTGATGTATTGCAAGACATACAGACTATATGAGATTTACGTTCTTCTCGCAAAAACTCCTATTGACAGAATCCATACATTCAAGGTTGCACTACCGTGGGGAGTATGATTGCACAAAATACAATTCATTCGCATTTCACTAACGTCGCAGCTTCGCTTTACTTCTTTTTCGTTGCGTTCTTTCGTTATCGGGGATGTACTTTTGTTGACTTTGTCCTTTTCTGTTGCTCAGCGCAACTGCCGTCTGTAGACACTCGATAGAGAAAAAATAGATTCTCCGTTTGTGTCGCACACTTTACAATCGATAAGACATTGAGAGAGAAACGAATCAAACAACATTTATTAATTTACGATTTCATATTATACACGATGGATGAAAAGAATACAAAAGCATCAAGTTATACGACTAAGAAAAAATCGAAAACTACTCGATTACGAGCACATCCTCGCGTGATTGAAAATTTTCTCGTTGTCTGGCTGGATCCAAATCTTGATGATCTTATCGATGACGATTGGCGCGATAATGTCGATGAATTACGAAGTATTGTTAATACGGTCAATACATTCAATGATGTTGATCAATGTATTGATTTTCTCAGTGATATTAAAGATGAAAAAGTATTTATGATTATATCCGGTGCTCTTGGTCAACAGGTTATTTCTTACATACATGACATACAACAGCTTCATTCGATTTATGTTTTCTGTGGTAGTAAACAAAAACATGAAAAATGGGTAAAAGATTGGCCAAAAATCAAGGGCGTTTTTACACAGATTCAGCAGCTTTGCGATTCATTGAAACCAGCTGCACAAAAATGTGAACAAAATTCTATGCCAATAAGTTTTGTTACAGCAAGCGAAGCATCCGATCAAATATTGGATCAACTCGATCAATCATTTATGTATACACAAATACTCAAAGAAATTATATTAGAAATCAAATATAATGAGCAATCTATTAAAGATTTAGTTCCCTATTGTCTCGAACAATATCTAGGCAATGACAATGAATTACTCATTATTGAAGGTTTTGAAAAAAGTTATCGTAAAAATTCCCCCATTTGGTGGTATACGTACCCATGTTTTGTTCATTCCATGTTGAATCGTGCTTTACGTACTCATGAAGTCGATACCATTATTAAAATGGGATTTTTTATTCAAGATCTTCATCGACAAATCGAACAACTTCATAAAGAACAATCAAATGATCAACAAAAACGTTCGTTTATTGTGTACCGAGGACAAGGTATGTGCAAAGACGAGTTTGAAAAATTGGTTAGAGCTAAAGGTGGACTGATGTCATTCAATAGTTTTTTATCAACAAGTAAGAAACGGAAAGTTTCGCTAGAATTTTCTCGAGATGCTTTAAATAATGTTGATGCGATTGGTATTCTGTTTAAACTGATAATTGAACCGTCGAATTTATCAACCCCTTTTGCATTAATTGATGATGTTAGTTATTTTACATCGGAACAAGAAATTCTCTTTTCTATGCATACCGTTTTTCGCATCGGTGAAATCAAACAAATCGATAATATCGATCGTCTCTATCAAGTAGAACTGAAATTGGCAAGTATTAAAAATCAACAAATTATTGCTCTTACGGAACGAATGCGAGAAGAAACGCGTGGATCGACAGGTTGGCATCGGCTCGGCATGCTTCTTATTAAATTAGGAAAATTTGATAAAGCCGAACACGTATACAATGCTTTATTCGATTTGAATATGGCCGATAATGAGAAAGCACTATTACACCATCAATTGGGACTGATTAAACGTAATCAAGGTGATTATGAAGAAGCACTTGCATCCCACGAGAAAGCACTGGAAATCTATGAAAAATTTCTTCCTACAGATCATCCCGATCTAGCAACATCCTACAACAATATTGGTCAAGTATATAATAATATGGGTGAATATGAAAAGGCATTGTCGTTTTATGAAAAATCACTTGAAATCTACCGGCAAACTCTTGCACCAGACCATTCATCGTTAGCTATTTCTTACAACAACATTGGTTTGGTTCATACACAAATGGGTGACTATTCGAAAGCACTTGCATCTCATCAGAAAGCACTCGAAATCGAGCTAAGTAGTCTGCCTGAAAATCATCCTCATTTAGCTGTTTCCTACAACAACATCGGTTTAGTATATAAGAATATGGGAGAATATGAAAAAGCACTTGAATCATACGAAAACGCGCTCGAGATTGAACGAAAAACATTACCATCAAATCATCCTTCCTTAGCAATTTCATTTAATAATATTGGTTTACTTCATGATAATATGGGTGATTACTCGAAAGCACTTGGATTTTATGAAAAAACATTAGAAATCTATCAGAAAACACTTCCTACACTGCATCAAGACTTGGCAATATCTTACAATAATATTGGTTCGGTTTATCAAAACTTAGGCGAGTATTCTAAAGCACTTATATTCTATGAAAAAACGCTCGAAATTGAAGAAAAAACGCTTTCATCAAATCATCCTCATTTAGCGATATCGCACAGTAATATTGGTATACTCTATAATAATATGGGAGAATATTCGAAAGCACTTGCATCACAGGAAAAAGCTCTTGAGATTCGACAAAAATCATTGCCTCCGGGACATCGAATATTAGCGACTTCGTACAATAATCTGGGCTCTGTTTATGACGCAATGGGCCAATATACGGAAGCAATTTCGTATTATGAGAAAACTCTGGAAATCGAACGAGCAACACTTCCTCCGAATCATCCGGATTTAGCTACAACTTTCAACAATCTTGGTTTAGTGTACGATAATAAAAAAGAATACGAAACCGCATTATCGTTTCACAAACAAGCGCTTGAAATCTATGAAAAAGCACTTTCACCTAATCATCCCAATTTAGCTAATTGCTACAATAGTATAGCTTCAACCTATCAGAAAACACAAGATAACACGAATGCACTTTTATTCTACCGGAAAGCACTCGAAATTCGACTAAAAACTCTGCCTACAAATCATCTCGATTTGGCCACTTCCTTTACCAATCTTTGGCAGCTATATCAAACTATGAATGACAACGTGCAAGCGTTTTCGGTCTATCAACAATCACTTGCAAATCAAGAAAAGACCGTTTCATCTGACTGTTTGGATGCGGCTCGAACGTATAAGGCGATTGAACAAGTATTTGAGCATCAAGATCAATCATTAAGAACATCTTCGTTTGTCAAACCTGTGATTAAAAATGTACGCATTCCACAAGTACCAAAGCAATTTCGTATAAAAAACTTTCGAATGAAACTAACATTAAAAGGCAAAAAGAAATAATAAAATCATGTAAACAAATGAATAGATCTGAAGCTCTTCTTTGCTGCATACTAGAACTAATCCGTATATTGATATCCAGGAATAGTCTTCATCATCGTTTCCAATGTAACATCTGAGAAGTTTCGCCTTTGACGAAATCAATCAACGTATAGACAATTGTAGTGGATATCTAATTGCTATAGCTAATGATAATATTTTCTGAGATGTTCATCTGAAAACATATGTCAAACTAGATGCGATCAGTAGTCTACAGTATACTTTTAGTGCAAATTACTTTCAAAACTTCCAAAAAATATTCCGGATAGAAAATTCTATATACTCTGATAGCCTATGCAACTAGAAGAAACTCGAAAAAACAAAAACATTTGATAAGAACAAAAAGTATACGATGTTGGCGAATGTTTATGAAATATTTTGATTTGTTATCAGTCATGCACCTTTTTATCATCTGTTTTCTCTTGTGTCTTTGCACAATCATGGAGCATTTATTCTTCTAACGAACTAGCTTCCGAACACACGTACATGATAATGACGCAAACAATTCATGTTCTTGCTGTTATAATTTCGTTCGTTGCTTTCGCTCAAACATCGGCAATATCACTAAGTGCTGGTATAGGTCAATGCTTAAGTGATTTAGCAACTGAAGAACTTGCCGTTTCATATAATTATCTTCAATTATCATCGAAATTCGGTACAACAAATGCCTATCCGGGTTTTTCAAGTTTATTCACAAAATTAAGCGATGATGATTCATCGAAAGCTCACGATCTTGTTAAATTTCTTGCCTTACGCAAAGCTCCAATTGTGCGATTAATTAAAAAAGATGGCATCGAAATTCATCGTGAATTAGCCGGCGTCCTTGATATCTATCAAGGCCTAACAGAAGCTCGTCGTCAAAATAAAGCCGTATGGGATGAAGTTGTTCGTTGTCATGGCGAAGCCGATAATGCTAAAGATGCCAACGTGCAAGATTATCTTGAATCCCATTTACTTGATCATCATATTGAAATCGATAAACTTTTAGCTGATCTCGAACATCGTGTTAATAGCGTTCAAGCATCGGAAAAGAAATTAACAACATTTATGGTCGATGAAGAACTTTTAGAAACATACGGTGATCGTCGTAAAGATATTTTTTCATAAACAATAAAAACAGCCAAAAAAAAAACAATGCGAACTTCATTCTTTTTTCTGTTTCGCGCTTTTCAATGTCATGGCAAAAGAAAAAACGAAAAAAAAATCAACAGCAACAAAAGACATGTACAAACCAAAAGAACTAAATGCCAAGAAGAAAAAGAAAAAGATAATGTTGTTGATTCATTTTTTACTACTCAGGTCAGATCATGAGCTTGTTGTGCAACATGTACAAAAAAATCATATTTATTTGCTTTTTGTTCACCACATTGTGCGCAACGAAAAGGATTATCGGACGAATAATGTAATTGTTTGTGTGTACAGTACATTGCAAAATCTTTGAAAATAATTTCACAATGAAAGCATTCAAATAAGCGTTTTATTTGCCATTCATCAACTTGCGTTTGTTGATCAACATAATTTATATTTCGTTCATCATTACTGCCACTATCTGTTGAATAGGATGCATAGGAACCTTGTTCTTTTCGTTGTCGTTTAGTAGATGGATGTGAATTTTCATTTGGTTCATTTTTAATACATGATGATAATAGAGAATAACTACCATTGAGTAATGATGGTGGCGGTGTTTGCGCATGATTATTATTATTATCGAGATGATAATGATGAACATTCGTAGGTGTCGATGATAACGAACTAGTTGAAGCTAAATGAGCTTGAAGTTGTTGTGTCAGAAATTGTTGATAGGGACCAAGAAAATCGTTTAACTAAAAATAAATAACAATTTTATGTTTCTAGAACAATCTCTCTCTCTCTCTCTCTATGCTATAATTACTTGTCCGGCGATTCCGTTTGCATTTGTAAATGATGCAATTTTCCCATTGAACAATTCCATGAGTTTCGTTGCCGGATCAATATTCATGCTAGCTAATAGTGATCGATTGAGAAGATCACTTTTTTTACAAGCATGTTGAAATAAATGTACACCGAGACCTTCTTTTGATGCAGCAACATAATCGCATAGAGTACACACCAGTGATATTGACGAAGATGGAACTGATGTTGGTGTTGTTATCTGTTGATTATCCATTTGATGTTCATCACTTGAGATTGGTGATATAGCGCCCGAAGATGAGTCCATTGATGATATAGATGATGTTCGTTTAACAGGCATTGGTGCAGATATATTCGACATTGCCTTACGTTTCTGTGCTGTTGATGGACAATTATTATTTTTTTGTATTGATGGTGTTGGTACAAGTGTCGGTGGTGTTGACGATGATGAATTACTATTGTTATTTGTTGCAGTCAATGATGTAAGATTTCCACTTGAATATTCTTTAAGAAATTCTTCAATATTCTCATCTAAAAACGGTTCATGCCCTTCGGTTTGTAGATGTTCTTGTAATGCTTGATACTGTTTCGATTCAAATGAACAATTTAAGCATTTAAATAGTAAATGGCGAAAGTGAGATTTTTTATGTGAACGTAACATTGATAAATTTACACATGCATATTCACATCTATAATGAAATAAAAAAATTCGGATTCTAAAAAGACAGAAATTTTACTTTGAACATTTAAATGGCTTTGAACCAAGATGATTACGTAAATGATATTCAAGATGATGTTTGTATTCGGTCACAAATGGACAACTTGGACACTCAAGAACTTTATCGGCTCGTATATGTACTCGATGATGTGCCCAATATTCTTCCTATTGATTATATGAAAAAGAATCTATCGATACATTTCTTTTTTTATTTCTGTGATTTCATCATACTTTAACGCTAGATACATATGAACATTGTCGACATCGATGAACTTTAGCTTTACTTGATGGAGTTGATTTTTCACTGTTAGTGCCATTTAATGGTTCAGTGGGTTTTATTGGTGTTGGTAAAGCTATTGGAATTTCTTCGATAAGTGCAGATTTTTGAAGAGTATTAGATATATGAGTGCGATTATGTTCATCAAGACCCGCTGATGAAGTTGAATAGAATCTATTGGCAACGAATTTATTCGGTGAGAATAAAAATTAAAAATTTCTGATTTACCCGCATGAATAACATTTATATGGATAATGAATAGAGACATGATCAAGTAAATTATCTTGATTAGCATTGCAACCACATCGAATACATTGTACTAATCCGTTGGTTTCAACACGGTATAATTTTAAAATTTCTTCGATTGTCGATAATTGTTTCGGCCATTCATTATGCTAAAGATTTTTTTGGAAATTATTTTTTATCAGAAAATAACAATAGTAGCTTATTTTCATACCAATAAATCGTCATCATCGATATTACTATTAGCAATTTCATTATTCACAGGTGATTCTTTCCTTTCCTAATTTGATACACAGAGCGAAATAATTTATGAATAGAATTAAAATTGTGAAGTTTTACCATTTGATTATTGTCATCATCAGTATCACTGATAGGTTCAATGGCATCATTATTCGATTGAATAATCTATAGAATTAAAATTAATTATTCGAAATATTTGCATGCACATGAAAATGATGTTCTATTCGAGAGATTAGCGTGAGTAGATTGATGTTCTACTTGGGTAATGATTCCGATCAAAATAAACAGTTAATATCTGATTGTGTGCCTCTCTATGTATTGACTCGGAATGGAAATAGTTCATTCTATAACGCATCGACTCGATGATATATAAGATAACATACCGAGTTTGGTCTTTCGACACGTGCAGACAATGACCAAGGTCGAAGTGGTTTACGGCGCTGTTCAAAAGAAAAAACGAAGAAAAGTTCCAATTAGTAACAAGACAGGTTGTCATCATATGATTTTTTTTCTACATACACGACTCGCACTTTTGATAGGTTCATTCTCATTGATCGATAAAGTTGTACTTGATGGTTTGATTAACTAGATTTTGCGGTAAAAAAACAATCATATGTCTTTCGAAAAATAAAAATAAAACATGATCACTTACAGAAACTGGTGAATTGTTCGTATCATGGGAGATGGACATATCCGTTGAAGTCGATGAATTATCAAACATAGCTAATTTCTTTTTTAGTAAAAGTGAAGACTAAACACAAAAAAATTGAAGTGGGAAAATCCTCTTCGACTTTTCTTTTTTGTCGCATCTTACATATGAAGTATCATTAGGTGTTGTAACATCGGAAATACTCGGTGTTGACATAGGTATCATTTTAAAGTTTTCAATTAATGTTGGAGGCGTTGAAGATGTATGCTGCATTTTTTTTTTAACTCTACAAAAAATTGTATTACTAGATAAGCACTGATTAGGAATATATAGTGTCTATTCAGATGAATCTTTCTAAAACATATATGTACATATATATAAAATGATTTGGTCCCAGTTAGAGTGGCGTGTGTGTTTTTGTTCGTCGTCTTGTCCTCTCTCTCGTTTGTTTTTGTGATCGCTCTTTCTCTCTTTCCCTCTCGTGCCTCCATTCTCTTTTTTCCTCTCTTGGTTCGTGTACAAGCAAGATTTCTTGTTCTCTCCTTCTCTTTTTGTATAATAATGGCAGGTTCAGAAATGGCTTTTTCGAGATGGACGACGGCGCGCAAAGCAGAAAAGAAGAACATCTTTTCCTTTTCTTTTCCTTCTGCATAAACGGGTGTGCATTCGCATAGGCCTCGTTTTTTTTCTTTTTTTTCTTTTTTTATGTATGTATATACATACATATACATACAAATGTCTAATTGTGTTTCTCGTCGGGGCGACTTGACCATCGGTCGACGATGAACGATGACGACGCCATTTTTCTATTCTTTCTTCTTTTTCTACCATAGTATTCATATTTTTTTTGTGCTATACTCTCGTCGTCGCTGCGAACTAAGAGCCCAATATATATATATATATACAAAATAAATATCGTAGAATACATACCGAAAGAGAACGACCCCGGAATTTATGAGGATTTTTTTTCTTCTTTTCTTCCCATGTTCAATACAATTGTGAGGTGCCTTTTCTTTCCCTTTCTCTTGTGCTATTCTATCATTCGGATAGAACAGACACTAGATGGACATGAATATACACAAATAAAAAACAATCGAGAAGAAGAAAAATAATAATGAGGAAAAATACACGAGATGATGGCGGTGACCGTATCTGTTAACCGTTAGTAATCTGAATGAACCTTGATCTCTCTATTTATGTGGGACAATGGGCAGTACGACGAGACACGCACACAAAAAAAGTAGAAGACTCATTTGAAATGTTCTGTTTTGGAAAAAATAATACGTATGATAATCTTCATGATTTCGAAGGTGTTTTTAAGTGAACACTTTATGAACAAATGAACTATTTTTTTTCATCCATTTACTATATTTGTTCGTTGAAACCTTATGAACGACCATTGAAAAGGCATGCATAAAATGTATATATATATATATGTATATATATATATTTTTTTTTTTTTGATGACAACGAAACTAAAACACGAGGTGAATGATTGCACGCATGTTTTTATGTTAGTAAATCTTCATTTTCTGCGAAGAAATACTTTAACAATGTTGTAAGCTGGTGGCTGTCAAATCTGACGACTTTATCAATTCATGTTGAATTATTTCTTTTATTATTTGAATATGATTGAACGAAAAATTAATATGCGAAGACAATCGATCTTAATACGTTGTCAACGTGCGTACTTTGACAAAGGAGTGAACAACAAAATTCTTCATTTTTTTCTTCTCCTTCTTTCTGTCCGTTTGACGAAAATAAAAGCACGAAGTTATCGATGAACAATACAAGAGTGAAGAGTTCGCGAAGGTTATTTTTCCAACAAGAAAAGAAACGAAGAAAAAAACCTCTCATCACCTGTATCTACACTTAATCCATTGGATAAACAGTTCACTGTATCAGAGTATGCAGCAGTTTTTTTCGATCATCAATTCTATTCTCTTTCTGTACGTGAATAAAAAGCTTTTTTTGTTAAATGTCCGTTGGCTACTGTATAAAATAAAGACTCTTTCAACAGATTGAACACGTTCGGTCTGTGCATATAAAGAAATATAATTGAACTAAAATGGTATTCTTTTTTGCACACCTTTTATTGATCGAGAGGCATGAAAAGAATAGGATTCCATAATATGTTTTTATTTAAAAAATTTCTGATGGCAACTAAGAAGAAATAAATTTAAATGTAAAAATTCTACTCGATTTCATTCACAACGCATGGTTTTATTTTTTTAGAAATATTTCTCGTTAACATCATACGATGAAGTATATATGAATGTTATCTCCAGAAAGTGATAAGAGAGCATTTGTTATTAGACAAAATTTTTATCTATCTCGTTGACTGAGTAGTAGAGCTTTCAAAAAAAAATAACGCATCGGCAAAAACAGAACTCCTATGAATGGTATGTAAAAATAAAATGATTATATTTTTGCTGGATTATCTGCTGTCGAAAAGAACGAAATATATATTCTTTTTGTTAGGCGAACATAACCAATACTTTAGATAAACTCTGGAGAAGATTTTATCATATTGCAGTGGTACTTTCAAAAGAAAATTCTTCGTGCCATGTGAATATTGACCATCAAATAATATTTACTATTTTTGATGAATTAAAAATGGAAGTGCGGAAAACGATTGAGACAATTAAAAAAGGTCTTCTGTCTAGTCGGCCAATGATTTTTAGTCGAGATCAACTGGAAGATTATGTCAAACGTATTGAATTTGCCAATGAAATTATGTTGAATTTAGATTATCTAGTGAAATTAACATTCGATGCTTATATTACTTTTATAAGTACACATTGGGAAACAAAGGGAAATTTTGAATCACAAGAACAGCAAAGAATTTTATCTGACCGATATGATATGCCAATGACACAATGGCAGTTTGTGGTCAGCAAAATTGAACGATTTCATGAAGTGGTGAAACATTTTACTTAAAAAGTTGTTCATTGTTTCTTTTTAATTCATTGATTGATTAATGTTTATTTTAAGCTTCTTATTACGGATATTAAATTTAGTACATCAAACTTCTTAGCCACGGATGACATTACAGGTCAGATTTTTTCCGACAAACAAACAAACAAGGAACTTTTTAAGAGAGTTCTAGTCGTACCCACACCCCCAAGACGGTGAAGGCCATATGTATTATTAAAAAAGGGTCAAAATTAACAAAAATCAGTTTCTTCTCGAAGATATAATCAAGATAATGTTTGTATATTGATTTTTATTATGAACCTATTTAGAATTGCCATGTAATGGACGTCGTTTTTCCAGTCTATAGATTGGACCGAAAGCTCCATCAAATGGATAGTATGGAGGATTGTACGCTGAAGAGCTATATATAAAAATAAATAAAACGAAGTGATGAAATTTTCTGGAAAATAGATAGTTTGTATTTTGAACTTACTTTGCCGTTAGATCTTGAGTTGTTTTGAATGATTTTTCTTGGGTGTTAACGGTAGAAGAAGAAACTGCTTGATTTTGTTCTTCTTTTGTATGGATGGACGAAGAGCATGTACTTGGTTGTTTTGTTGATTCGAATCCAGTTTGATTTTGCTCTTCTGTCATGTTTTTAGTAGAAAAAGATGCACGTCGTTCTGGTGGTGATGATTCGGATTCGATTTGATTGTCCACAGACAACACGGTTTGACTTTGTGACTCCGTTTTATTCGAAGATGAAGACAATGTATTTAGTTCGAGTGGTAATTCAGACTCTATTGGTTCTGTTGGTTTTATAAGAGTTTCGTCAGCTATAAAAAAAATTGATCTTTCAAGTACAAAGTTCATATTTAGTTAGTAGCTAATAGGCCATCAACAAGTGTATTTGCAAGAGGTGACATACTATGTAGTTTTAGGATATCTTGAAAGATAAATAAGTTTCGTTTTAACATCGATGAACGTTTATTCTTTGTAGAGATTCTATTTTTCTCTTTGAAGTATGAAACCTTTTACTTTCTTTTTGCGTACATTGTTGATAGAAGATCATTTGCTGCAATCTTTCAATTCGATGTTCCTGAGTTAATCGGACATTCTTATTCTTTTGCACACAAATAACACGAATAAGCGGACCGTACTGAGTAACTAAACATTTTTAAGCTTGTATATCGTGCATAAAATGGAGCCTAGGGAGATACAGAAAAAATCTCAAAAGGATAAGTGTTCTTATGTCTACCTACTAGCCTTCTAGTTATTTTATCAAAAATTTAGCTTATCGAATAATCGGTCGACCTTGAATTTTCAAGGTTGAATTTGAAAGTTCAATATTTCTTTACAGAACAAATACACAGTTAGGGTCTCCTTCGCGCGAAAGGTTAGAAATTAATACAAATTATCATGTGCCTATGACTCTAGAGATAGTGAGAGTATTACAATATTGGCGCAAAAAAATGAAGTAGAACACGTCATTATATGATCATAGGAAAGTTAATATTAGATATGTAAAACCTCCAGACGGCACTATTATTCGATCTCGAATTTCAACCGCAACTTACCTATTTGAGTTTCGCTGTAAAATGATTCTGTCATAACAACAGTTGGCAAATTATTTGTCAGGCTTTTTTCTTCATTCTCTTCATCAGCCACCTGTATTGCGGTAACGGTGGAGCTAAAAAGAGAAGAGAGAGAGAAAATAAGGAGAGTGATTTGTAAATAGTGATCTCGCAAAATAAAACACGCTCACTCAGTATGCCCTATTGAGTTCAATGCGTCAGTTGGCTGTTCGATTTCAGTTTCGGGCGAATGTAAATCAATAATGGTTTTTTCAGTAGTTACAATAGTCGACGGTTCTATTTGGTCTAGTTGTTTACGAAGTCGTTCCATCAATTGAAAACATGATGGACGCTTTTGAGGATTCTGATGCCATGCATCTTGTATTTCACTTTTATACAATTCAGGTACATCTGATGGAATAGTTGGTCGTTCACCTGTTTTCAGTTGAACTAATACAATTGTTGCATCTTCATATTCATCCCATGGTATTCTTGCTGTAGCTAGTTCCCAAAAGACAACACCAAGACTGTAGATATCACTTTGTTTTGTATATCGACTACGTGGAGTGAATAATTCTGGTGCTTTCCAATAGAACGAACCGACTAGTTGCGAGTTCGGAAATGCTGCCGATTGCAATAAGGTTTCACGTCGAATTTCCGCTAAACCAAAATCACAAACTTTAACGAGATATTTTTGATTCGAAGGTCCATTATATTTCAATAGAAAGTTCATTGATTTTATATCGCGATGAAGAATCATCGGATTAAGATTATGTAAATAATTAATTGATTTTGTCATTTGCCATGCAATAGAATATCGGTCAAGCCAATCCAATGAGATCTGTTCACGCTTTTTATGCAAGACATCGTACAACGAACCTAACGGCATATATTCAACAACAATCGCATACAAGTTCGGTTCAACACATGCACCAAAAACGCTTAGAATATTTTCATATCGGATTCGATACATGGTGGAAATTTCTCTATAGAAGTCATTTTCAATATTGGATAAAGTATTAATTCGTATCATTTTCACAGCGACTTGATCATGATGTGTTAACCATTGAGCTTTATAAACGTCAGCAAATCCACCGCTACCAACAAGTTTCTCTTCGATATACAAATCTTTATATGGTATATGTAGAAAATATTGATATTTTTCTTGAAGTTCTTGTGATTGATTTAAATCTTGTTGCATGAGTAAATTTTGTGCTAAATAAAAACGAAATGATTGAAAACGTCTATCGATCATTTTATCGATCAATTTATATTGTTCACATTGTTTTTCTAACATTTTTTGTGAGATTTCGTCTAGTTTTTTATTTAAATCTTTTAAATCTTTTTGTCGATCTTCTTCATCTTGTTTTCGATCGAATAATTCTTGAATATTTAATCCTAGACTTAAATCTTGACCAATCTGTGATAAACGTTTATTTAGTTCTTTGAAGGTTTCATCACTCCGTTTATATTCATAAACTTCTTCGTACCATTCTTCGGGCGATTTTAACTTTCCAATATACTGATTGCAATCATCAACACATTGCAGTAGACTATCAAGAATCGGACGGGTTTCTTCGCGTACTATTGATGACGTTGCATGTTCTAAACGCTCGATAGACTCGATTAATTGATCAATTCGCTGACAAAGACGTTCACATTGCACTTTATTAGCGTGAACTTGTGGTAGATTTTTATGGATTTCACTTCGTAAATCAAAAATTCGATTTGTAGGCAATGAAGTCATCTGACTAACAATTGATACAATGGAAAAAAATACACGTGTAAAAGGGAAAGAGAATTGAAGATGTTTTTGTTTCTACGCGAAGGAAAAGATGAAATTTATGGCCAAAACAAAAGTAAATATTGACAAAAATTGCATAAAAATACGGTGGACATCGTAATATGAGAATTTTTTCTCGTCCTATGAAAACGAGTAAAAACAAAAAAAAAACACTTTGCATCAATCTGATGTTGAAATCATTTATTTTAATGATAAAATACTTTCAATGTAGAAGATTGATTCATCGTCTAGATGAGAGCTGCAATGCGCATGAATGACCACAATCAAGATAAATAGTTATCAAGTATTACCATTGACATCAACGCACATTTTTATATGGTCGTTTTGCTTATAGTCTGTATTTTATAGGTAAAATAAAAGTATTTTTTAGTTTTTTTTTCTTCTTCAGAACTCATAAGATATTTTCCAGCGAAATATTATGATTGCTAGTGGATTCATGTCTGAACAAAATTATGAGGCATATTATCATTGTATTCGTCAGCAACGTCGTGATGCGACTCGAAGAAATTTACATAGTAATTTTATTGTCATTGAATGTTGAACTGGTTCATATACATCCACTTTGATAATCAACTTTAGATTTCCAATTCTTACACGTGATGATGATTTATATGAAGAACTCATCGTATTGATATCAGAAATAGTTTCCAGCGAGAGCTATTCAAAGAATTTATTCTACGCTTAAAATGTTTATCAATTATTTTTAAACAACTACTTCAAATCATTTCGAAAAGTCTATTTTGCGCAAGTGAACACTTTATTATCCACTACTTGAGATCAGTAGAATCAAGAGTCGATCGTAATAATAATTTGCTAAACATCCAAAATGAAAAATATGTTGAAAGAACAATGCAGTGCGACTACGAAGCAATATCAACTTGGGTTGTTCCATGAAGCATTACGAAAAACAAAATCGACAAAGTTTTTGATATTTGTATTTTATGTATAATGAATATTATTTAAATGTTCAATAAAACGAGTCACTTGCGTAAATCTGAGGTACTTCTTGTGTTTTATTGTACATCGATTTAAATACGATTGCTTGAACTACATTGGGATTTATTCGCAATCTTTGACTGTTGTGATTTTTTTCACCTCTGAAAAACAAAAGTATTCTTCACTTGTCAAAGTTTAGATAACATATATGCAGCTAAGCGTGCGTGAGCAGAGTGAAGAGTTTCATCATACTCATACCCACACGCTGCATGAATCAACAATATTTTATATTCGTTTTTTATCTCGCCGCAAGCAACTGCGCATACAAACTATACAGATAACACTATTCTAAACATTAATTTCACTCTTCGTAAACATGATTCGCTTGTCAGGCTTATTTTATGTTGTGTTGGCTGTTGCATTGTTCTATAGTATTTCTGCAAATGTTGTGATATATACTGTCACTTTTGATCGATGTATTCACAATTCAACTTGTCCTCAAGGAAATCCAACAAAATTTAATTCTACTTTCACTTTGAATGGTACCCTCAGTCCAATAGTGACTTTGAACGTTGGGGATAAATTACAATTTAATTTAGCTACAACTGTTGTAATTCATCCGTTAACAATCTGCAAAAATAGCCCCGTACCAAAATTCTGCCAAGGGGTTCGTGGTAAGGACGAACTTAATAAACCGATTACTAAAGCAGGCGAGACAACTTCTGTTACTTTCACTACTATTGGTTCTTACTATTATGGGTGCCTTTTTCATCCTGGAATGGGTGCCTTAATTAATGTCACCAGTTCAACTGCTGTCAGGCCATCGCCTTCCAATGTGGACACTGGTACTGGGCATAAATGATCAGTACTCTTCTAGATCATTGCTTTACTTACAATTTTTTTTCATGTAAAATCGGTGCTTTTCTTATTGACTTCGATTATCTTTGATTAATATTCTATGGTTCTCGCTTTCCGTTTTTGCAATAAAATTCATGCTTAGTATATTTTTTGTGCCTGCTCATAGTTAGGACACCAAGAATTGATTGCGAGAAAAGGAATTCCAATGAAGTCAACTATAACTTAATTCATGAAATACGGATCGCGCCACTGAGAAGTTTGAGAGTAGAAAAAAGATATTCACACCCGCACACTCACGATGAATTCATTCAAGTGAAAACCGCTGAACACGATTATTATCCTTATCGACAACATAGAGATTGTTATGACAATCGAAAGACAAACCATTGGGGTAGATAAATTGATTTGCTTCTGCTCCTGAACCATGTCCACCCACAATTACAGTGCCCTGCTTTGCACCTTGAGGCCAACGTGCTACTCGATGGTTCTGCTCATCTGCCACATAAACTGTACCCAATGTATCGACAAAGAGCCCTACAGGATACACTTGTGTCAGCTCACTCCCGTAGCCTTGACCTCCAGCGACAACAATTCCTTCTTTGGCACCTTTAATCCATTTCATTACACGATGATTATGCCAGTCTGACACGTAGACACTTTGTTGTCGATCGACAAAGAGATGTGTCGGATAGTTGAATTGATTGAGATCATTACCTCGTCCATTCCCACCAGCAATGCGAATTCCATTCTTATCACCCAATTGATATCGTCTTACTTCATGTTTTTCGAAGTCCGAGACATAGAGATATCTCTGATCATCCATTGCTAATCCGTAACAATGGGTGCTATCAATCAGGATTTCTCCTCGTGTTGTTCCATCATGACGAGACCATCGTACAACTCGTCGATTATTTCGATCACAAATAATGAAACTATTCGTCTCTTTGTCGATCAAAATATCAGTTGGACAATGCAATTGATCTAATCGATTTCCGTTGCCATTGCCACCAGCAATAACTTGTCCATTCCTTTTACCAAACTTCCATTGGATGATACGATGATTCCATGTGTCAGCAATGATCCCTATTTGATCATCATCAACAACACAGAGAAAATAAGGGCTACAGAGTTTATTGTTGGTACTGCCTTCCCCATGGCCTCCAGCCACAGTCACTCCATTCTGTGCCCATCGTGCATTATCAGGAATAGTTGGTACGACTATAAGAAATAACAAAAAGACTATGATACCTCTGTATTTGCGAAATAATTACTAACAAACAAATAGAGTAGCCTTCGAGGAAAAGTAATCTTTGCTAAACTGGTCTCCGAAAAGATTTCCCTAGACATTCAGGAGATCCGCACTGCAAAAATTGATTTTCCAAAAATACGAAAAGATATTCAACGAAGATAACCATACATGAGACCATAGAATCTACCATCTTTGATGCCGGATTTTTCATCTGTAGTACCTTAGAAAATCGTAAGGTTTTGAGGAAACACTTCTTTGCAGACGGTGCCCAGAAAGGCTATAAGGGCTGACCAACACCAAGCTATCATCGGTTGAAGCGCTAATAAAACGATCCGCAAGTAAGATTGATGGAAAACTATTGACGGTGAAATTTGTAACAGGATTCCTAGTAGAATATACCTTCACCTAAAGATTTCTGCCATTAAGAGTATTTTTTTCGCTAATATAAAAATTAGAGACAAAGTTTTTTTTGTCCTATTTTATAAACTAGTGAATCACTCTAGTTTAAATGATTTTCTTTTGTACGTTCTGTAAACTCAGAATTATCGTTGAAATATTAAATTAAAATGTGTACTATTACAACTCGAGTTTTCGAAGTGTGACGCAAATATCTACCAACTATTGATGTGTTGTTAGTATCGACACAGTGAAAATATTTGGATTCATTAATAAATATTATATTGCTGCTAAAAACATTCATTCTCATTTATGAGTAAGTATATGAGCATGCAGTTTCAGATAAGAATTTGTCTCATTCTCACTATTATGAAATGCTACATCGGATAACTATACTAGGAAATCAATTAATTAAAGGAAGAAGAATGCGTGGTTTCTTAAAAACGATGAAACTATTTGAAGAAATTGTTTCGTTTCAATAACTAAAAGTTTGTATACACAAAAACATAGATAGACACGCATTCAAACCGTCAATAAGTCTCTGGTAAATTACATGGGTTTTCTGTCTAACATCTAGTATAGTTGTGTGTAAAGAATATCGTCCCCAGCTTCATCAGTCATGGACATTTGAAGGATAAAATTGCATATACACTAGTTATTTGTTTGTTTTAGAAGTTAAAAAATGATTTGTTAGCTGTATCCTTGAAAAAGAAAACATTTCGTACGTAAAAGGAGAACCGCAACAAGTGCCTTCGATTCCTCGGTCTAGTCAAGTTTTCGAAAGCAGAGTAAATTGTATGAAAGTCAGAAAACTCTTTCTTGAGGTATTAAAATTGGCTCAATTGATTTTGGAAAACGAAGTATGAGAAGAGTGCCAATTAAAGTAGCAAACTTCTTCCTCTGCATATATTCTGCAGTTACTATCTAGATGTTCTAGCTCAAGCACTTTTCGAGAAACAAGCATATCCGTATGATACTTCTATTGTCATATAAGTGTCATGATTGAAAGTTGATATCGAGTGACTACCTGCTGCAAATCGACATGTATATACTCTTTTACTATCATTTCTAATTTTTTCAATCACTCGCTCTTTTCGTTATTATTGTTGCATGCTTAACATCGCTGAAAAATCTCATTTTTGATTACTTCGAAAACAAGCTAAAAAGAAAGAAATCAAGTTGCATGTCCAGTTGTGTAGAGTAATGAGGCGCTTATGAAATCATATATTACTCATTATACGATAATACAATATAAGTAAAAATATGAGGTTTGCATTTTTTACTGATTTGTTTTGTCCGGGATATGTCCTATATGAACACTATTTTGCTTTTGAATTTAACTTTTGTAAAACAACAAGGCTACATATCAAATCAAAAGGCTTTGATGAAATCTATAGGTCAATCTACTTAATTTCTCTTTTTTTTGTAATGAAATATGAATGAGAGAAAAAGTTGACGCTATGCAACATAATTGACACATATATGAAAATAAGTGGCAGAAGGGGAAAATAATTTCCTTTTCTAATGACCTTTCTGTTGATTCATTATGGCAAGCTCAAGATAAATAAAATGCCTATGACTAACAACTGAAATGTAATATCGTTATTTGTAGTCCCAGTGTTGTTACCAGTGAAATACACAGAGATGGACTCATTTCAGAGTACGATTTGATCCTTAATTGTTCAGTTCATTTTTGAACAAACCGTTAAGACTACTGGTGCACATTCGCTGGTACTCTCAATTATTGAAATCTATGAGACTACTACTACATTGAAAAAGTATCAGCATTTTATTAGTGAACTTTCATCTTGTGCCACTCACCTCTGTGTGGTTGCTCGCTAGTTTCATTAAGCATCATATTGCTGCGCTCTTGCTCATAGAATTTCAATTGAATCAAACTTCCACTATCATACAACAATTGCAGTTGTGTTTTATCTTCATCTTTTATATAACTATTGTAAAATTCCAAATGTTTCAGTGTATTAAGTTCTTTTGAAGCGTCAACGAGAGCTTTTGCGAATTTATGTTATATAACTGATGCAGATATACAGAGACGTCTCATAAAATGATCACTTTGTAATGATTTAATCAGATGACTTTCTATTTGATCCGATGGTCGTATACCTTGAATATGTAGACTGAGTGATTTGATTGATTTGTGATCTCTCAATATACGCAAAAGATTAATTACAAAAGTTTCGTCTTCAAAGTCAGCGAGATCCATTAGATCAATATCATGTAGAGTTTTATTGTTTTTCAACATTTCACAAAAATGAGATAAAGTTGATGGAATACACAACGAACCAATCAGTTTTAGTTGATTTAGTGTGTTTGTTTTCAAATGAAATATAGAATTGATGATATCGATATTGTTGAGATGCTCTACAGTTAATCCTGTCAGTATTTTGTTCTCTTCTAAACATCGTCGAAAATTACCCTCATACCAGAGATAGTCACTTGCAGAAAAATCTAGTTTCTTATATATTTTGTTTTGTTGCAACAGTTGAGTTAGTATCGGTATATTTGCATCTTGATTAACGTCGGAGAGACGAACTTTTAATAGTTGATTATTGAATTCTATCACCATATATGCAGAGGTATATTTCACCATGCCCAAAAAATTACGAACACCAACATTAGTCATACGTAGGCAACGGATGGAAGAACGGTTAATGATGACATCGAGCAGCGTTTTGAGATCATCTTCAGAAATCGAAGAATCCTGGAGCATCAACTCTACAATGTTAAAACCTTTTGTAAGAGCCTCACACATCATTTTAACGTTCTTGCCAGTAATTTTCACTTGAATTACCACTGCAGCTTTGGTCTTAAGGTCAAACTTACCTCCCATGGCTTCAAAATCACTAATATATTTACGCATTTCATTATTGAAGCTAATTTCATCGTAGTGCTGGAGACAAACCCAACGGACATGACCATCAACTGTGACTGTTCGATATAAGTTTCCTAGGCTACGCTTATTATCAACACGCTCAAGATAACTTTCAAGTTCACGTAGATCTGCACCTTGTAATGGTGCTACAATTGATTTTTGTTGGCCAGTCACAGAAGTATCTGGATGCTTGTGTTGATTGTCGTATCTATTGATTAGGGAGTCGATCATTTTTAATTGATTTTTCATGTCTTCATAATATTGATCATTGTCGAATTTTGATGGTAATACATGCTTGATAGCTGTTGACGCACTTCCGAGCTGTGGAATGACAAGACCACCAAGTGAGAGCAAGAGTTGTGCAATTTTAATTGTTGTTCTCAAATACGGTGCATATCTAACAATGAATTCTTGTGGTGTTTTAATTGAATAGCCCTCATGTGGAGCAACATGCATTTCATGTGGCTCATGTGAACATTCACATAGAAAATAGAGTTTATAATGAGTGTGAAACCAGCTCCGTACACTATTTATTAGCGCCATATCAGAATGTCTTGCAGGTAAGATAAAAAAAGTAGCGTGGTGTAGTATATTCGTGTAACTCATACATCTGCCTCATCACATAACTGATTTGAGATAGTATCTCTTGTGTATTGGCAAAAGTAAGATTACACGTATGTTTCACTATTTTTATATCCTCGTGCATTTGATGGAGATCCACTTGACCAGAATTATCTGGGTGTTCTTCAGGCTCCATAGTTTGAACGACTTGACCAATGCACGCAACAATACGCAGCGGTTTAGACCGTTTTCCTTTTTCATTTCGGATGAACTTTCGCTGCACATTGTTTACACACAAAACCTTCACGCCATGAAATCGACGTTGTACATCTTCAAGAAGAAGACACTCAATATTATCAATAGTAACGGTTTCTATCTCGAAAAATTTATCTCGAAACTGGGCTGTTTGACTTCGTACATTATCAGTATCCTCTCCCATGATAATTTTTGTGAAGAAAGAAGAAGTCCTCCAAACTATAACCAAAGATGATCTAAAATATAAATATTTGAGAACGCTATATGATACTGGTATATACACGTAATAGCATATTCTATGCTCAAATAAAGATGCACTCAATTATAGCTTGTTAATCGATACTAGCAAATAATGGATCCTCTAAAAGTGACATAGATATGTCATTGTGGCGTGAATGAGAAAGACATGTGTTAATGTAAGTACCCGTTATATGATCCAGACAGACAAGCAAGTATCTTGAGACTGTTCTGAATTGTCTAGTGGTGTGGATATCAATCTATGTAAGAATCTATTATCTAAACTTGTGAAGTTTTTCTCAACTATTTACGTATGGTCATCAACTCACGTCTGTGAACCTTCTTGCATGCATGTACCTACACTCTTCAGTATAGCCAGGCAAGATTGTATTTTCTTATAACATATACTTTCATTACATTTAACCAAGCTGTCGTTATGACTTTGGAATATAAATTTAGAAAGCTGAGAATTGTTATCGACTTGTCTTACCTGTCAGCATACTAGTTCAAACAAAACGCTGCTCCGTTCATGATTTTTCGAAAGTTCTCGATAATTTTTATGATTCTAAAAGCTTTTAGATCTGATATTGGCAAATTTTCATTACAAGATACTAATCGACATTTACACCAATACCCTGAAAATTCTATATGGCGTGAAAAGTCCTCTTTTTTCTGTTATCTCTATTGATCATGAGATCGACTAATTGTTTTTACATACGTATGTATGAAGTGGTGAAGGAATTCTACTAGGCTTTTTTTGACGAAATAGAGAGTTAGTCAACGTTATTCATTAACAACGTTGCCTTCTTGAATGTATCTTGATTTGAAAAAATGCTTTGTACAACTTGCACTACTTGCCTGCTTTGTTTTTCAAATAGTTCTTTTCTTTCACTCTCTAGCATACGAACGTTTTTTTTTGTACCATTTTTGTTTACTTAAAATATTTTTTTCTTTATGATGAAAATCGTTATTTTTCAAGCACGTGGATTCTATTGCAACATTTTGTAAATAGCAGTAATAAAATATTTCTTCGCATGCCTTGAGTGATGTTATAATCTCATTACACCCGGTAACGACTTTTTCTCTAGCTAAACATACTTCATAAACATTCGGTGTTGTGCCGATATTGATGGCACGCTTCGATGATTCTCCTTCCTTCTCTTTCTGTTCTCTTTCCATTGTTCTAATGTATCTCTCTCCTGTCTCTCTTCTATCTCTCTCCTATATATACGTGCGTTATGTATGAAGTTGTTACACTCTGGAGATGTCAGATGACACAATACACCATCATGCCAACGGGCATAGGCGACACTCTCTAGTTTTGTCGTTACACTCTGGATAACTTGAAGTAGCCTAATAAACATCTTTGCCGAGAGTGGCACAAGCTACTCTAATCAAGTTGTTCGTTACACCGATCATTTAATTTAACTGGAAGAAGAGACTAAAACCCCAAACAGACCAAAAATTCATAAAATTTAATTTTGTTTTAAGTCAACAGCGGTCCACACTAAAGCATTAAATCACCAATAGTATAAGACAAGCCTCTTTCATGGATGCGAAGTGCATCGTAGAACATATTACTGCATTGACAGGCGCCGCTATCGTATGTGCTCCAGTTAATAACAGATTATCTTAAAAAGATTCGTCACAAACTATGGCTATCTAGATAACATAGTCTGTGTGACGTCTAGCTTGTGTTTGTATCCATAGTGATGTAGACTTCCTTGTTAAAATATTTGAAGTAATTAACAATTATTACGATAGTCACATTCGTCCTTCAAGAATATTCAAAACAGATTCCTCGCAGTTTTTATCATGATTTAATACATAACAGTAGGAATTAATGATGTATCGTTGATTATGAATAATGACATCAGTATTGGTGTATGACTATGAAACTATTTACAGAGTTATACCATTCGTAAGAAAATCAAATAATTTTATTCAATTAAAATGCGATTCTTCATTCATCATTAATTAATTGACGTTTTTGTTTTTAAATAGTTTTGTCTATGACAAGAGTAATATTCACTAGAACCATTGGATACTTCCTATACTATACATGATAGAAGGGAAAATGCAATTATGTTGTTGATCTAGCTTCTAATATGAAATAAAATCTCTTTCTAGTATCTTTTCCTAATTAACGATAGGTTTTCATATATTCAGATAGATTTGAATAATGTATATTTTTTCAGTAAAATTGATCTTCAAGTAGAAGTTAAATTCAAATATCTTTAAAATAGCATTACTAAGTTGAATGATGTTATGAAACCCATATGGCGATAAATAATACATATTATGTAGTTAATTGCACGTCGATTTTTTAGTTGTGTTCCATTGACTCCCTTACGATTATATTTTCTTTTAACAGAAATATTTTTTCTAGAATCAGTTAAAATATGGTTGAAGTTATCACTCACACCTCCGTTAGAAATCTATACAACGTCAATAACGTGACCACGAAGAAGATCATTAAAACTCATTTACTAAGAAAAACATGTCTTATTTTAGAATGTACTTTATACATAGTTATAATAAATAGAATCTAGAATACAAATAAAGAATAAAATAAAATTTAAGAACGTATTGAATAAATTTTTGTCAGATTATCAAGAGATCTATTTTCTTATTATTTCTGTATAGTTTCTACAATATTTATTGTGAATAAAAGAATATTTAATTTTTTTTCTTATTTATATACAACAACTGTTACGCTTAAATTCAAGATGTTTTTATTTAAAAAAAAATTCTTTTACTGTTAGGAATAGATTCCAGTACATAGTAAAGATCATTTTAAACAGTATTAATGGACCTTTTCCCTCGCATAGCATGAAATGCGGCAGCTCGACGATGTGGATACATTTTCAGCATACCGCTAATAACATGCTGGATTTCTCTGTCATAATCATTTTTAAATTTTTCTTCTTCTAATGTATCATATAGATGATTTTTTATTGTTGCTGTTGCTCGCATTCTATTGTCAAGTAATGTTTTCTTCATTTGATCACTTGTACAATTGACAATAGAGAGAAATATGAGAAAGATAACGATATGAGCCAATGTAAATAAACGACGATGATAATTTGTATTCATGTTGTATTGAACTTAAATAAAAATATAAAGTAATAAATAATAAGTAGTTAATATACAAACGAGTTTGCTCTAAAACGCCAAACTATAGAATGTGACTATTTTGAGTTACTGCTGGAAATACTTTTTATATCAAAAGGTGAAAACTACTTCTGTAGTTATTGATAATGAAATTGAGAACGTCCAATAATTATGAATATATGCTTTATAAATTCCGTTAGAACGCTGTCGACCGATGTTGCCTTGCAAACTATCCTGTATATTAATATTTTTTCTAGCTTAACAGACTCACACTAATGATCAACGACATCGTTTTATCACTCTCTCTTTCTCTTGTAATGCTAGCTTTTGTAATTACGATGTTAAGAAGATTACAGCGACAGTAGGACCTAGACTAAAACGGAAGACATACTTCCTTTGAAATTTGTTTCTTGTTCTGCTCTTATGTGCTGTGAGCGCGAAGGTCGATACATATGGATGTTTACCAAAAAAAAAATAATGAAACAGACAGGAGACCAACTTGATCCTTCTTGATTTAATTATTTGTTTCAATGGGGAATATCAGTTTAGACTAAGAAGATATAAATCTCTAAATAATAAATTTATATTTTCTATGCTATATTTTGTATAAAGTGAACATACAATAGTCACAATATTTATTCAGAATACAAATATGTTGATTAGTTTAAAATAGATTTATTTTACTACTCGAAGAACACTTTAAAGCGATGTATAAACATCTGATTCATAGGTTAAGGTATAATTTAAGAAACAAAAAGAAATTTTAAAATATGAACATTGATTTTCTTTCACAACAATTTATATGTAATATATCGATGATTTAAAGATTTTTCGTAATACTTAGTGACTATGTTATTTATGGTAAAGCTAGATAATCATTATATTTTGGTATACGAAAAGAATCAATGAAATTGTATGTGAAATCTAATACAGTATAGAACTTCATAACTTCAATTCTTAATTATGGATATGTATAGAACTTTACAAATGTATTAGCTAGTTTTTTTTTCTATAGTAATCTTTCTTTTTACTTTACTCATACTATTGTTTATTGGTAAAATTTATTAGAAAAAAGAATTATTTGGTAGGCATCCCAAATAAACAGAATGTTAAAATTCTTCATGTAATGCCAACGAATTGTTTGTATGAGTTATATCTGACAATATAATTCAAGGTCAGTATACGTATCGACATGTATTTTGTGTAAAGAAAAAGAGAAAGAATGAATTTTGTATAGAGCAAGATTCTTAAGGCCCCCCCCCCTCAGAAAAGCCGATTTTTCAAAAAAAAACGAAATCGAGTTTTTATCATAGAAAGATTCCCCGTGATCTCCTCTTTCAGAATATATATANTGATAAAAACTCGATTTCGTTTTTTTTTGAAAAATCGGCTTTTCTGAGGGGGGGGGGGCCTTAAAATGGAATACACTTTAAAATGTTTTCAAGTGTTTACATATACTTAGTTTTTCAAATAACATTTTCGCATAACATCTATTTATGTATTTTCATTTTGATTAAATTTGAGTAATAGAATTAGTTTAGAGTAACATATAATCAAAATTATATCTTTAAAATATTGTTTTCAAATTTTTAACATAGAACTAAAAACTAAATATATATATCAATCAATTACTACTTACATTTTTTTTGCTGAAAATGTTTCTAGTAAAAATAGAATATCACACACTAAGTATGCCTTTTTTCTTTCTTTTTGATTCACAGGAAACATTCATTTCATTCAAAGAATTTTAACTCAACAGTCAAAAGTAATACATTTATTCAGTGATTCTTGACGGAGAGAGATGCTGAATACTGGGGACAATTATGTAGTATTGATAAATACGGCAGTTTTCAAGGATCAATACACTCACTCCTCTTAGCTAATGGCTGGTAATGGTTATGACAGGAATTGAAACAATTTCAAATAACATTAATAAAATAATATTCATGCATGATTTATTGAAAAATGCATTAAAGAAAATGAAGTGCAACTGTATCTAATAGGTAGAAATTTTCAGTTTTTGTTTTTCTTTGATAGAAGTTGATGAACCATCGGGCTTCCGATTTTTATGAAACTCGTATTTCTCAGAGATGCACATATTCTTCAATTAATATCTCAGGAGAGGCAAGCGAGGTTGCATTTATGTGGAAATAGTGAATACTACAGTTGAATCTAGTGTCTATTTTGAAGATCAACACAGAAGACTTCTATTCAAATTATAAAATGCATAATGCAGTTGTTTTCCTAAATTCGATGTGATTAGCATATCGTTAAAATTGTGTTTTTATTGATTTATTAAAATATTGAAATTGTTCAATATTCACATTATACAACTTTTTGATTATTCTCCAATGTTATTTATTAAGTTTTTATATTTTATAATAATTGCCAAAGTTTAGTTTTTGCTTTAACTATCTATACTACGAGTTGCATGGACAGTGGATATGTTGACTTTACGCAAATCTTTATTGAATAGCAGCATTAGTGTTCGTATTGTTGATTTTCTCAGCAATGTTCTTACCAGCTCAATCGAATCGGTTTTTAATTCATCGTATTGACTTCAGAAATAAATTGTTCAATTAAGTAGTCTGATGTGATATAATATATATATACATATAATAAAACATTGTGGTGGTGCTGTCTCAGGTGACAAACTCTTCCTTTCCTTGTGATTGGTTCTATCTAGCTAGCTTATAAATTTGTTCAAACATTCATTAAATAATGTTCTGAATACTTCATTTAAGACAGTATAGGATAAATCATAATTAGTGCTCATAGAGACTATGCATCTGTAATTACCCAATTATCATTATTATGAATGGATGGGCTAGTAGAATGATTTATGATTTAGTTATGTTCTTATCTGAATCAATGAATATAGCTGATTATATATATATATATATATCTTCAGCTGACCATTGAGACGGCGATGAAAACAGTTAGATCATCAAAAACACAATCAAGCGGTTAGCCAATTTCTAAGAAAGAAATAAGCAAAATTAAACAATATTTCATCAACCAACAAAATATTTGATGTTAAATCATCACACTAAAAAAATCTACTCATTCTATTTGAGACATGCAATGATTATTCATACACAATAACAAAATACAGTGTAATTCATCTATATTTGAAATCAATATTGAAGTATAGTCAATAATTGCGAATTAACACACCATATGGAGAGAACTATGATGTTGTTCATGTTGTGCTTGTTTTTTCATAAATGTAAATCAATAATAAGTCAATTTCCGTAATAATTAAAATCAAGATTGAAATTGATTATCTTTGTATTCTAATATGGTTTACTTCAAATTTAAAAATAGTATTCACATTGTACACTAGTTATTCTCAAATCTTGAACCAATTCAGGAAATACATCTTATGAAAAACTTGTCTGTTGAATTTCACGAACTGCTGATTTTTATAGTCAATCGTTTAATGTACTACATTTTCTAACAATTCAAATTCAATCATAGTTCCACTGATATGTTTGTCGATAATTCAAAGTTATTGATAACGAAAAAAAATGAGCACATTGGAGATGTCACTATGAAGCTCAAATTGAAAACCCCATCTATCGCACACTCTTTGATTGGTGAAAATTGTTAATCAGTCTATCATGCATACTTTTCTGTGAGATTATTTTTTCATGCAAATCATCAATAGTAGTTTTCGCTCCTTTCTGTTGGACTTGTGAATAGAAATGTGTCTCAAAATAATTCCTATCGCTATGTTTTATAACGATTGATCTATTTTACCTTAGATGAGTTCTGTTTCCCGTCGATCAGCATTACTTATCGATAGTTTTAAACGTGTGCATAATTATTTGCGTATATCATTGACAGAACGGTGTAATTTAAGGTTATTTGAATATTTTCATAATATCAAAGTACAACATATTAAGCATGATTCACTTGAATAGATGTCAATATTGTATGCCAGAAAAGGGAGTTGAACTGTCTCCTTCAAATCACATATTGAATACAAATGAAATATTACGTCTTGTTCGTATTTTTACTGAACATGGTGGAATTAATAAAATTCGTTTAACTGGAGGAGGTACGTCGTTATTAACGTTAAGTAGCTTATTATTAACGTAAGAAAATTTATTTATATCATTCGAAATTTTATAAATTCCTTTTAGAACCAACTATTCGTAAAGATCTTGTTGACATTGTACATGGTATACGTTCGTATCCATCAATGAAAACAATTGGAATAACAACAAATGGTGTTCTTTTACATCGTTTACTTAAACCACTTGCACAAGCTGGCCTTAATTCATTAAATATATCACTTGACTCATTAGTTGCAGAAAAATTTGAATTTCTAACACGACGTGCAGCATTCGCCCGTGTTTTAACCAATATACGTTTAGCATTGGATATTCCAAATTTATATCCACTTGTGAAAATAAATTGTGTTGTAATGCAAGGAGTAAATACTGATGAATTGATTGATTTTGTTGAACTAACTCGTGATCAACCCAATTTAGCTGTACGTTTTATTGAATATATGCCATTTAGCGATAATAAATGGAGTAACAAAAAGTATTTTCCATATGAAGAAATGCTAAAAATAATAAAACAAAAATATGATTTAGAAAAACTTATTCAAGAAGATAAAAATGATACAACCAAATGGTATCAAGTGAAAGATAATGCTTATTCGGGAAAAGTCGGTTTTATTACGTCTATGAGTGAGCATTTTTGTTCGACTTGCAATAGAGTCAGAGTTACGGCTGATGGACAATTGAAAGTTAGTTTATTTATTAAGTAAAGAATTTTGTCTTTGAAAAAAAAAAGTTTTTAGGTTTGTTTATTTGATAATAAGGAAGTATCATTGCGTGATGCTCTTCGATCAGGTTTAAGTGATGAAGAAATATATTCATTAATACAACGAACATTATATAAAAAAGAAAAAGAACATTTGTCAGTGGATATTTTATCAACACAAGAGAATCGTCCAATGATTCTAATCGGTGGATAAGAAAAGCAAATCGAGATCATCAATATAATCAAGCAAATATGTGGCAATATGATTCGTTTTTATTTTATAAAGTTTTTCATTGTTTTTATTTGTTATTTTTTAATTTACTGTGATTTTTAATTGCATTTTCATGCAAATAAATGATATACACGTGCTTTCTTTTTAGATAATGTTGAAGTCAAAAGAACTTGTTGTCCTGATTATCAATCTACTTTGTATAGCAACAGCAGTCAAAGGAGACCAATGTGTAAATAAAACTTGTATATAATTCTATCTTTAGTAGCATTTGTTGTGTATATCGTAATAAATACATCACTTCTAATTACAGTTACTAATTTATGTAGAAACGATCGATCAAGAATGATTACTAACTTTCCATCTACTATTTTAAACCAAAAAAAGCGAATGAGAGAAATGTAATATTTTAAAAATAGACGAGACTACATTGTTGTGTTTGTCATCTATATTATTTTTAATATGATTTACTTTTATAATTAATCGCTTGTAGTTTTTTTTGCTTCGTTTGATTTTTCATATCAATTTTTTATATAATCTAAAGGAGAAAAAACACTTTGTAGTTGGTAGATTTGATTTAGATGTTCGTTTGTTTTCTGAATTTATAATTCCTCATAAATTTTCTTTTTATTAAGTCCAAAACAAAATACACTGTATCAAAATGTTATAATAATCAAGAGTATCAGTGGTTAATTGAACTACCGAAAAATAAAACATCGTGTAAAGGTAAATCAGTGGCTCCACCCAAAGCTGTTGTGTGCAGTAAGTGAATTTTCAAGAAAAACATCTTTTAGGAATAATAATCTCATTTATTTCTACTCAGATTTTGCTTGTCCAAAAGGGAAAACATTTGATGCAAATACACTTGATTGTCAAAGTTGTCCAGCAGGAACATTTTCCCTTGGTGGTGGTCAACAACATACATTTAATGGAGCCAATGATCTTGAATCATTACCACTGGATCTCTCAGTTGAAACAACATCATTGGTATCACAATATAATCTTGAGTGTAAAAAGAACCGGTACTTGCTTAGTAATTGATCATCTCTTCGATATTGAAAACAAATAAATATTTTAGACCTTGGCACATCACAGGAAATATGCTTCAAATTGATGTGCAACCCAATTGTGTTACTAAACTTTCATTTCGAGTTAAACTTGAACGAGCTGGATCAATTACCATAACATATAATTTAGCTACTTCGTTCGTTTATGGAACTGTAAATAATCAATTGATATCATTTGTTTTATTAAAATTAGATCTTATTTTGTTTAGATCTCATCACGATGTGACTTTACTATGAAACAAAATGGCGATAATAATAACGACGATGATAATATAGATGAAAGTGATTCAAAAGGACGTATTATTTTTACTTTATATCCAACCGGTTATGGTGCTTGGTTGAACAAAAAAGTAAAAACTAATATTTTGATTGCTATCATATGTTAATTATTTTACAATGATTCATTATAATAGATGATGATTCCAGAAGAAGGAGAGTATACAATTACATTGTACACTGCTAGTTTTAATACATTCCATTTTCCATTTGCAATTCGATCAATCATTGTCGATGGTTAGCAACTAATAGAAAAAGATTATTTTATTTCAATTGTATTTTGTTGTTGTAGGAACTTCATTGATTCAAGAGTGCATTCCATGTCCAACAGGTAAATTGCGTATTGATTCAGATCTTTATTATACACGTGCTTTTTATGTCAAATTATGTATCTTTTTTAAGGTACATATGCTTCAAACGATGGTTCAGATTCTTGTAAACCATGCGCAATAAATACCTATGCTGACAGTGAAAGTTCTACTGAATGTCTTCCCTGTGAAGATGCGACACAATATTCAGGTAAAAAATATTACTGAATTTTTGATTTCATCGATCAAATGACAAAATTAGATGAGGGATCATCAAAATGTTTACCAAGACCTATCTGTGAAGCGAAACACTATCGAAAAGTATTCATCGGATGTGATAAATCCAATATGGTATAATGTCATGTTTCTCATATTAAAAAAATATTTCAATATTTCAATTCCTTAGGCAACAGTTAAATATGAACCTATTCAACCAAAAATTTGTATGAAAGGTGATCCTCCTATAGAAACGAAACAGTCGTCTTGTGGAACATGCAATCCGTTCGTATCTGTTTTGTTTATTTTTGCTCATATCAACTCATATTTATCTTTTAGTGGTATGTATAAAAAAACAGATGGTGATCATTGTGATTTTTGTCCACTGCAAACTTATTCAAATGGAACTTTAAACGCATGCCTACCATGTGAAAATAAGCTTTCTCTTTTACCTGGTTTGTACTATAAAATTTGGAATGAACTACCACCTTATCTCAATAGAAGTTATATGTCGTTCGATGAAACTAAAGATTGTATGTAGTATATAGTGTTTACATTATTTGAAAAATATTTATTTGATTTATTTTGAAGTAAATCGATTGGATCCTCGTCAAAGTTGGGTTAGTCGCAATTTATATATATATCTTTGTTGTAACTCTGTAGTTTTATTGAATAGATTCCAAGTATAGATTATATATCATCGCAAGCACTTCCTGATATGATATCTGTATTGAGTTTAACTATTTCTAAAGGTTTTCGTCAAACAACAACAACGAAATCGGTTAAAGACTTCGGAATATTATTTTTTAAATTTTCAATACAGTGTCAATCTTCATGTACATTTTTCTTAGTTTCTCAGGTAATTGGAATGAATAAAAATTATATTGAGTCAGCATTTTTGTCGACTAGGATCTAGATGATGATGATTTTGGTTGGGAAATTATTGAAAAATGGAATATAAAAAAAAAATCTGAACATAAAGATATGGTGAACTATACGTATGTTTTTATTTTCATTTATGAATTAAAAACTTATTCAGTTTTTCATTATCCTTAGATATTCAATTCAAAATCCTAGTGAAATTATGTTTAATTGGCTGTTTACATCCGATGATGTACGTGACGAAATTGATGAAGTTCGTATTTATGAAATTAGTGTTACGAATACAGAAGTTGGTGGATCTGATCAATGTGTTAGTTGTTTAACAACTAATAATCAAGTAACGGAGTAAGAAGAAGAATTACTATTTTGTTATTGCTCTTTATACTTACTTTAAACAGATGCCAATCATGTACGTCTGGACATATTTTGTCAAATAATACATGCATTCACTGTCCAAAATTAACAATAGCTAGTCGCGTCCGATCCAATGACCCAATTCCAACAATATGTGAACCATGTGCAAAGAATACAGTAACAGATGATGGTGTTTCATGCTATGTACCATGTAAACAAACATTTGATGGAAATGTCGAATATGATTTAAATCCAATATCGACGTATGCATATAGAAATGAAGATTTTATTTTTTTTCAGTCCATATTATTGATTGCACGTTTTATTTTTGTTTAGTATTGCATTTCATGGTTCAAAATTATTTACACAGAAAGGTAGTGGCTATTTTCATGTATTCAATACAAGTATTTGTGGTCAAACTAGTGTTACTTGTGTCAAAACAGCAGTGCGTAAAAAAGTTCTATGGAAGAGGAAAAAACATTTTTTTATTTTATTTTGTTAGTCATCAGATGAATCAAAACGTTCAAAATTTCAAATGAAAATCGACTCGAAATTATGCCGCATTGGTACTGTCCCAGATCAAAATGATAATAAAACATCTGTAGCTTATATTGATGAGTAAATATAGCTTTTATTATCATTTGTATGTTTTCTTTTATTTTATACGATTTTCTTTTTCTTTTCAGTTTTGGTGAAGAATTATTAAATGTATCATTATCGACATCAAAATTTTTTCCAGCACTTCGTTCTGATTATAATTTATCTGATATAATACTTGTTTATCGAGCTAATTCATCAAGTTCTCAATCGAGTTGTTCTGAACGTATTACATATTTATCATTACGTTGTGATCATCTATTTGATGATGATAATCTTAATTCAACAATAAAATATGAATTACAAACGCCAAATGAATGTGTAACAGGTACATGTGATGGATGTACATTTCATTTTCTTTTACGCACACCATCTGCTTGTCCAACATGTGACGAAAATAAAAATGGATATCGTGCATTTCTTGGCCCATGTAAATTTGGTCGACAAGAAGTACGAAAAATACCATACCCGTATGTTGCCTTAAAATAATGTTTGTGCCTTTTCGGACAAAATGAAATTTTCATTTTTCTAACATAGATATTGTTCACATAGTTTAACTGAAAAAGTTGAAACTCATCCATGCTCTATCTTATCACTTGAAATTAAAATAATTATAGGTTTATTTATTATAATAGCAAGTGCACTTACAGCAATCGTTATTATGTGTTGGCGAAAAAATCGAAAGTAAGTTTAAGAAATCTGCTTCAATTGAAGGTATATGTTTATTTTCTTTCATTATTCTTAGACTAGAATATCGTTACATGCAATTAATTGAAAATACGAATCCTGATGACGATGCACCAATTGATAATGTTTGCGCGCAAATTAGTGATGAAGAAGACTCAAGTGAGGAAGTGCAATTTAAAACACAATCACGAGCCAAGAAGATTATGAATGTTGTTCGAAAAGCTATCAGAAAAGTAAATATAAAAAGAAATTAGTTTTTGATTAATATTTTCAATTTTTATCTGTTTAGAATCCAGGGAATGGACAATCTGAACCATTTGGTGATGATGGATTTTTATTGGCAAGTACATCAACAAATGAGGCATGAATCTCGACATACCTTTGATTAATATTGTTTTCTTACTCGATCTGCTTATTAAAATTTTAACAGTGACATTTTTCTGTTTTTCAATTGTATTCTTACTAATAATTTTTTTGTTTTGTTTCCTTATCTGTTCTCACAGTTTATTTTACCGTCCGCTGACGTCTTACGAAAAAAATTTACTCAAACATGATATCAAAAGTATTTTATTCTGAATCTCTGTTTTTTTTCTTCTTTTTGTTGTACGCTTTCAAGTATTCATGATTTTGTTTTGCATCTCAATATTATATTCAAGTATTTGTTGTATTTTTGTCTTAAAAAAAATAAGTTGGTAATATAAACGAAAAGTATAATTAATTCAACTGATTTCCTTCTCTTTGTCAAAACTAAAGATCGATCAGAATCAAACGAAAAAACTTTGATCTGAACAAAAACAATATACATGAATAGTTTTCATTCAGCTTGGGAATTTCAAAGTGTTAGAAATATTCAAATCTTCTCGGGGTGTTCAAATTGATGGATATAATTTTAGAGTATTATTTTTAGAATTTGCGGATCTGAGTTTCCAAAGACATGCTTATTGCAAGAAAAACAAAAATACGTTTGTATCTTGTTGTCAGTAAAAATAATGTGAAATTAATATTTCTTAATGATAAAATTTATGAGTAAAATGCCCCTCTTACACATTGAATCTGAAATTGAACATTTGGAAATATTTGACCCAAGGATATATTTTCAAAAAAAAAACTACATAGTAATAGTTAAATCAATTGGAAATTATACTATGATTTCGAGTAGTTATGCACATCAATATAAATGCACATAATAAACCAAAAAAACACAATAGTGTTGAAAGGTCTTTTCTAGCTCACGTTTGAATAATAATGATAATATGATAGATGACTGTCTTCAATCATTTGATAGCTGTTCGAATAATAGTTACATATAAATTTCGTTCTTTGCTTTTTTTCTTACTTATAATACCAGCTGTTTGACGTTGCATGAATTATCGTATTTCATTGGCTATTTTATTCTCCAATGATCAAACTTCATTATTCGATTCTTTTAAAATACGAATGCATTTCGAATATCATTTATAATGTAGAAACTCATGATCTAACATTTTTATTTTCAATATTTATCTTGTTTTTATTTTCACATTCTATGATATCTTTAAGAAAACCCTTTCTAACTGTTAATTTAATTGGTAAGGAACAAAAAAAAAATCGGCGTGGTGGCCAAGTTGATCTTAAAAAGGCTGCCTAAAACATAAACGTCGACGTCAGTCATCATCGTTATAGTTTTACTTTTACCTGTTTATTTTGTTCGAGTTAATATTTGTACTTTGATTTGCTTTTTATATCATATCTTGTAGATCAACAACAGATCTCAGTCTTTCTCTTTTCTCATTATTTTTTCATCATTTTCTGGTTATCAGATACAAAAAATTGAAAACAATAATACTACAAGATGAATCCTGAATAGTGAGTCATCAAGATTTGTGTTTTGTTCGAAACAGAAATGAATGATTGTTTGTTTGCTTGATTTTTATTTAGCGATTATCTTTTCAAATTGTTGCTTATTGGTGATTCTGGTGTAGGCAAATCATGTCTACTATTACGTTTTGCTGTAAGTTAAATCTGAAATAAGATCTTGATCAAAAATATTGATATTAAATCTTTCTTGTTAGGATGATACATATACTGAAAGTTATATCAGTACAATTGGTGTTGATTTCGTAAGTTTATTTTTGCATTATTTTAAAGATTTGTTTGGACCAAAAGAAATTTCTCGTAGAAAATTCGAACAATTGATCTTGATGGCAAAACAATCAAATTACAAATTGTAAGTGAATTATTTTTTCTATCGAATAATTTCTTGTAATTCGTGTCTATTTTTCTTTTTGTTAGTGGGATACAGCTGGTCAAGAACGATTTCGTACCATTACAAGTAGTTACTATCGAGGTGCACATGGTATTATTGTTGTTTATGATGTCACCGACCAAGTACTAATTGTTCTCATCATACATATGACATATTCTAGCTGTTTATTTTTTTCATAGGAATCATTTAATAATGTAAAACAATGGCTTCAAGAAATCGATCGTTATGCTAGTGAAAATGTGAACAAATTATTAGTTGGAAATAAATGTGATTTAACGGCAAAAAAAGCTGTTGAATATACTAAAGCAAAAGTATGAACATTACTTGCAATTCAAAAAATAACTTGCTCTTTTTTCATTGCATAGGAATATGCAGATTCATTAAATATTCCATTTTTGGAAACATCGGCGAAAAATTCGACGAATGTTGAACAGGCATTTATGACGATGGCAACAGAAATCAAGTCTCGTATGGCATCCGTTCAATCAGGACCGTCGGGTAAACCATCAACCAATGTTAATATAAATACCGAAAGAAAGCCAGTACAACAATCGGGCGGTTGTTGTTAGAAAACAAAAGATGAATTTTTATGAAAAAAAAGAACCACGCCGGCTGATATTTATACACATATAACTAATCTATAATCTACATTTTTGCGATTCTTAAAGCTTTCTGTTTTTTGATTTTTTGTTTTTTCAATGTCGCTCTTTCTTTTCGCACAATAAACCAAACAAGACCAATAAAAAATTTATATATGGAAAGTCTAAGCGAAAAGAAAACGTGGAATTTGCTTCCTTCCTTTGAGTCAAATCGTATAACTTTACGACATAGAAAAACATTACCTATTAATTCCATGTCTTTTTCTTCTCGATTTTTTCGTCTATGTTTCGACTTGTTTTTAAAGTTGTTCTATTTTTAATCAGAAAAGCAAACAAAAGACGCGTGGCACTAGCTAAATATGTTTTCTTTTTCTTTTTCTTTTTCTTTTTCTCTGTCTTGTTTTATTTTATGTTCGTTTTGTCTCTTTAACAATATGTTGGTGAATATGAAAATATATTTGTGGATTTCGTCGTTTTATCTATTACTGCTCGTTCTTCTATCATCTTTCTCTTTTGCATATATCATCCATATTGTTTGTTTGTCTCTCATTCACTTTTTCTTGGCCGGCAATAAAAGAATAAATAGAAAAAGATGATATCCTCTCAATACTTTGCCTTTTGTTTTTCTAGAAGCTTTTATCAATTGACCATGCCTGTTCGAGAAATTTCGAACGATACTCTTAATGCTGAATTAACATCAGCCGGCGATAAACTTGTCATGGTCGATTTTTTCGCCACTTGGTATGATTTATCTTAGTCTTTTTTTTAAAAATTTTCATTCAATGTTTAGGTGTGGTCCATGCAAAAATATTGCTCCACATATTGATCAATTAAGCAATCAATATCCAAATGCTGTTTTTCTTAAAGCAGATGTTGAAAAATGCACCGTAAATATCCAATAAAATTCTATATATTTCTTTTTTTAAAATTCATCCTGAGCGTTGCTTTATTTTTATTTGAATAGAACGAAGCATTAAAATATTCAATAAAAGCCATGCCAACATTTGTCTTTTTTCAACATGGTAAAGAAGTTGCTCGTTTACAAGGTGCTAGTAAAGATCCTATCGAACAAACCATTAAAAAATTTTACAAAGACACACCAACAAAAGATATTGGCTATGTAAGAGCTCGAATTTCATTTACTCTTTTTAATGATTCACTATTATTATTATTATTATTATTATCTTTTTCCATGACATTTACAGATTGATCTAAAACCATTTATTGAAGAGAAAAGTTGTACGGCCTTAAATGAAATTGATAAATGGCAAAATGCACTACTCGATAATCAACCAGGAATGTTCAGATCAGATGAAGATGATCCTGAAGTAAAAATTCAACTAATAGAAACCGTTCATATAATTAATATGTTATCTAGCTGATTCTTCATATTGCATTCAATCAAGTAGTAAAAATTCATTCAATTGCTATCGAAGCCCCAGAAGGTAACTCGTATGGCAATTTTCGTTTTTTTCAAAATGACTTAATTAATTTTTATATTCAGAGAATGGTCCAAAGACTGTGAAATTATTTATAAATCGGCACGCAATCGATTTTAATGATGCAAAAAGTAGTGAAGCTGTACAAACGCTTCAGTAAAATCAAAACTTGTCTTTTGTTTCTATTTGAACTCGATTTATTTATTTATTAGATTCGAAGCAAAACATCTTAAAGATGGATTACCAGTTGAATTAAGATTTGTTAAATTTCAAAGTGTTCAATCGATTGCAGTAAAAATTTTCATTTATTCTCGTAAATGTACAAAATTTTTAATTTTAATTTTTAAATTAAGCTCTTCTTTGCAAACAATCAATCTGATTCAGATCAGACAGCTATTAAATCTGTTACTTTCTATGGAACACCAATTGTCACAACAAATATGAAAGATTTCAAGAAAGTCAGTCTAAAATATTTGTTAATTTAATTTAATTATCATTTAATATTTCTATAAATATAGGCGGAAGGTATGCCAGTCGCTAATGCGTGATAAAAATCAACAGATATCAATACAAATATTTTTCGTTTTCGATCTACACTTCATGTTTTATGTTCTGTCTTTTTCTGTTATGGATAAGTTTAAAACAAGACAAAAAGTTGATCCAATATCGTTATTAAAAAATACATAATCTTAATCTTTAAAATATATTCTATTCACGATAATATCGAAGTCTATGACGGTTACGATAACATAGTAGAGTAATATTTCAGTAAATATAGAACAGAAATCTACTGACTCATTTCTTTTGTTTTGAAACAAAATAATATTTCGGTATCTAGACATTTGTACTGGCCATTGACAATTGTAAAATTGTTAGGATACAACTTACATCAAACGTTCTACTTCTATAAATTCGATCTGGTTTTACATTTCAATACTACAATAGATCTACATCTTGAAGAATAAATAATCGAAAACAAATAAATGTCTGTAGACATTCTATTAAGAATCTACAATGTTTCGATGTATTTCAACCTGAACAGAAACGAGCTGTTAACTTACTTTATGAATGTTTGTATAATTTATGAAAATTTTGCGTCATTAATCCAATATTTGACACTTTCCAAAGGGTTTGAATCATTTCCGAACCTAGAATTGATTATCATCAAATTTGAACTCGACATTTTCATTTTTAACGCCGATCCAAAATTTAGAATTAGAAAGCACCAGACTGAGTAGATGACTGCATGATAAGCATACATACTTCATCGAATAACAACTACAATGATGTATAGTTAAAAAGATAATCTTAACAATTTCAACACAAAAAGAAAAGCATAGTTTATGTATTCTAAAGAAAATGTCAGTCTTTTTCCGAAAGATAATAGATAAAGATTTAAATCTAGTTGGTATGTTTTCTGTGATTCCTAGCATAAACGACAGCTGTTTTTAAATGAACATTATGTTTTTATAATTCAACTATGTTTAGATTTACAATAATTGATTGTTTTAAATAAAATATACTTCACTAGCCGATGAGAAACATGGGAAATGTTTGCTCTTTGAATTGAAAAATACAAAAATAGTTTGATGCTTTCTTCAACTGATAATGATGAATAGAATGAGAATTCTTTTGTATTCATTTTCTTCTCTTACGAAATTTAACATTCTAAATATTAGATCGCGATTGAAAAATATGGATCTCTGTAGATTGTGTCAAAAAGATACTTTAATAATTCATTTGTAAATATTATTCATAATGACTAGAGAATAATTTGAATCAATTCAAGAATCATAGATGAAACATATTTTGTTGTAAAGACATATGCAAACTCTTTCACTTTTTTCTTTTCATCATGATTAGAATGTCGAAGAAATAATTATTTTAAGTAAATTGTAATCTTTTGTTTTTAATTCTAACTTTGATCCAAAAACTTTATGTCAAATCATTAGTAACAGATAATCATAGATGACGATATTCATTTAAATCTATTTTTATTTGATACAAATCATATAATAAACAAAGAAAACCAATATCGTACACATTAAAGAAAGGACCAATGACGTGCTATATTTTTATTTATCTTGATTATATTTATATTTATATAAATGAAAACACTCACACACACGCACACACACGCACACACACACACAATATGCAAAGAAGAAAGAAAGGAAAAAGAAAAAATTGTTTATTCCAAAAAGAAAGAGAATACACCATTAAATGTTAATGTGTCGATGATGATGACGATGATGATGATGATGATGATGGTGTAACAAGTTTACATGTACAAAATGGTAATAGACATCGATGATGAGATTGATGTCTTGGTAAAGCTCCAAGTGGTGATGTTCGTGATAACATACTCATAGATGCTGATGATGGGATTGATGGTGGAGTTGTATGATGAAAATAAAGTGGATGAGGTGGAGGATACGGTGCAGCAAAAAGACGACTTTGATGATGATGATGATGATTCAAATAATTTGATGCCATAATTGGACTAAATGCTGACTTAGTTGCTTCGGAGTAGACACTTGCAATAACACGTTTAACAGCTTCGGACATTTCATGTTCATTGGATGGAAGAGGGAAAAGTTGGTGTACTGGTTGATTTGTAACTGCTTCTTTCATTCTTGGCGATGATGAAGGTGAAATAGGCGATATTGGATGATCAGAAACTATTTCATCTGTTGATCGAACAGCAGGAGGTGAAGTGGATGCCAACTTTTTTGAACGATTATCAGGTGGTGTTGATGATATATGAGGACTTTTGCTATTTGTATCTTCATCATCGGCATCTTTATCATTCATTTCATTATAAATTGGAGTTTTTTCAACAGTAACAACTTAAAATAAAGAAACTATTTTAATTGAATTATCCGGGTTTTTTTTTGTTATTATTTACCATCATTTGAATTTTCTTCATCATTACTTGTATCACCTTCTTCACCATCCAATACAGTTGATGTTGTTGCTAAACCTTCAGCAGTTGCATTAAGTGTTCGTCTTAATGCTAAAATTGTTTCTGGTGGTGTACCGTAAATAGCACTTAATTCTCGCGCATCATTTTCTTCTTGGGCTTGTTGCCGTCGCAAAGCAACCTATAGAGAATAATAATAACAATAATTATAATAATAAATTATTATTTGATTCACTTACCTGTGCAGCCATAACACGTTGTCGTTCTGCAATAAGTGTACATTTAGCACAAACGCAATCCTTCCAATTGCAATAACGTTTATGACCTTTTAATGCTGACACAACACCATGATTTCTACATCGTGCACATTTTGGTGTACGTTGATAACGTTCAGTAGCACGTAATAGAAGAGCATGCGGTAAATAACGTGGAAAAGCAGAAGAGGCAATTGATGATGACGATGATGACGATGATGATTGTTGATGTTTATTATTGGTATTCATGTTTGCAGCTTTATTCATTTTTTTTGTATTATTACGAGATGATGGGCTTGTACTCATAGTCAGTTGATGTGTCTTATACGTACGTAGTGTCGATATATCACTGATCAAAATTGTGATTAATATATCATTGTAGACACAATCGATGAGAGAAAAGGAGAAAATGAGAAAGAGAAGAAAAGAAGAGAAGAGAAGAAATTAACGAATCAAAATAAAGCTATCGAGCAATCGGACAGATCGTTGATTGGTGCCAAACGATCGTTTCTCTTTTTTTTTCTGTATTCTCTTATAATGATATCAACATTACTTGCCAATAAAAAAACACAATGACGGTCTCCCCAACAACTACGTGTATGTATAATAACAACAATACCCATACATACAAAGATCGATTACGTACAGATTGATGAAATACCATCAACAAACTTACTAAGAAATAAGAGAATACAGACTATGCACACACTCTAATATACGAACCACTAATACTACTGCTTTTTTTTCTTGCAGTTTAGGCAACGTATCAATTTTCGCTCTATACAACAACGTTTCACCTTTTTTCTTTTTGTTGATATACATACATACATATATATATATATATATATATATGTATGCTCGATTATATAGGCGTGAAAAATGATTGACTTTGAAACTAACAAAAAAAAAAAGTTATGCGAATAATATTTGATACGATATCAAATAAATGCGATATGATTTATGAAATCATTTTATATATTAAATCTGCCCGGCAGACATCCGGAAATAATTTGGGGTCGATGATTTTCTTCTTTTTTATTATTATGACAAGTGGATTAAGATAAGATCACTTTTTTTCGATATGCTTTTCTTTTCTTCAAAGATAAATATAAATTAATTTGTCTTTCTTCGTATTAACAAAAAGAAAAAAAAATCATCAATGAGAAGATTACTGCACTCATAAAGTTGACAACATGTCGGAAAAAGCTTGTTGTAGTCAAACTAATATAGATATGTAAGGAGGCGTACACACCGGAAATCATTACTAATGCAAGAACATCCAACCATTAATGGACACAAGAAAATAATATACAAAGACCAACAAATGGTTGCTATTTTCTATCATGCACAGTGGTTGGTATTTATATAGATTTATTAGAGAATAATGGAATAAACAAGCAGAGAAAAAAAATGTTCCTGTGAGCTAATCATATTGATTGTTATGTTTGTCGAAAATCATTATTTGTTGTTGTAGACTAATGTATGAAAGTGCATAGCTACAAGTGTCCATCACAAATGAAAATATCAAAATCCAACTGAGAAAAAAAATAAGAACAAAGTCAAAATTAAAGAAAGAAGAATTTTGATCCTTGGATCAATGAAATGTAAATAATGTAACAAAAGAAAGGTGTATCTAATTGGCTTGAATGGCAGATGGTTTGTTTCTGTGCGCTCTTTCGTTTGATTTCGTCAGATAAAACAAAATACATAGTTCTTTAGTTGCCTTCTTAATGACGACATTTCTTCTTTTCACATATATACTCATTCTTTGTATATAAGATCAATATGATATGGTGACCAAGAGGAATTTTAAGCCATCATGTATAATATAGTAGTCGTAGTTTTAGTCGGCGACAACGTTTGAAAGTAATTTGAGATTGGTCAAACTCTCTTCAGGAATTAACTTTGATAAGTCACAAAGAATAAAACGACAACAATACAACGAATTGAACTGCAAAGTGAACGAATGGATATATTGATCTTTAATTTTTTGTGTACATGTCACACAAATCATACACCTACACAAATAGAATCAGAGAGCAACACGAGAGGTCATAGAGATGCCGCTGTGTTCTTTGTACACTTGACGTTTTTCTGTTGTGTTTCTTATTCATACTAATTAATTATTTGATGTAATACATTGCAAAAAAGAGCATCCTAAGTGGATAATGATGTAAGCACGCGGCATGACTAAATCATACTTGAGTATATACATATATGTATGTTATAGAATAGATTTAAGTTGACTATTCAAATAGAGTAATCGTCATTTTAGAAATTTTCTTTGTACAAAGTTATGTTTTTTTCGTTCGTAATTTTTACGATTGTATGAAATCTATCTTTTTGTGTTGAAACTATGTTAAATATTTGTTGAAATGAATTTACCTGTATGAGAGAGAGCACATCCTATTCTATTCCGTGATTTTGTTTTATTTGAATAGTATCATATATAGTAAGGGGCACTGTTTCTTTATATTTATATTTACACGATAGCATACTAATTTTCTTCATGAACGTCACTCAATTTACTCTTCGATGATTTTATGTTTCATTCGATACATGACTTGATGAAATCAAGAATTCTAAATCTGTAGCCTTTTTTCTTCTTCTGTTGATTGGTATTGAAGAGATTTATTTTCATCCATGATCGATTTAAATAGTAATCAAATCAAATAAATGAATTTCTATCCAATCGAATTCTAAAAACTATAGTAGCGATATTTTTTCACGAATTTCATCATAATATTGATATTTTAATGTATTTAATGCTGTCAGACGTTGATTAGGCGAATATTGTAGTAGGCGTAAACGAAATTGAACATAATCAATATCAGATTTAGTTCTACACGTTAAATGTTCAATCATTTTTGCTGATTGATCTATGAGAGATATTTTATGTTGAATTTGTTGATAGATAATTTGATCAGACTTTGATTTTATATTACGTACTTCATCTATATTTGGTTCAACCAAGAGAAGAATAAGTCGAAAAAGTTGATCATTTGAATCGGTACCTACAATGTATCAATCAAAAATAGACAAACAAGAAAATTCATACTATATAGTTCATTCAGTCGAGAATTTTGAATCATAAACTTAATTCTAGTATAAAATATCCAAGCAATCACATTCGTGCATAAATTATTTCATAAATAACAACAGTTAAGAATAAAAGAATCAAACGCAAGTACAAAATAAGCAAATCAAAATAAAACTGCTAATATAGATACTTTTTATTCTAATTCTTATGAGAATATTCAACTACCTTTAAATAACGATATACCAGAACAAAACTCTGTAAGAACACATGTAGTTGCCCATGTATCAATACTAGTTGTATATAATATACAACCAACAATTCATTCGGGTGCTCGATAATAACGTGAACAAATATATGCAATACTAATGGCATTATAAACAATAGACATTTAGCTGTATCAAAATCACATAGTTTAACTACACCTTTTTGATAATTTACTAAAAGATTACTTGGTTTTATATCTCAGTGTGCAACATCACGAGCATGTAAATAAACAAGAGCACGAGATATCTGAAATGTAAATAATTTGATTTGATAAAAATCAATTAATGATTGTTTTAGTCTATTATGCCACCGTTGAATTAACGAATGAACAGTCTCAGGATATAATTTCATGATTAAAAATAATTTATTATAATTTATTTCTTATTTAAAAAAAATAATAGCTACTTTAATTTAACTATATTTGTATGATTTAATTCACGTACAATTTCGAGTTCATGTTTTTGACGTGTACGATCAACAATTACATCTTTAATTGTCACCGTTTCTTTTGTATTTTCTATAAATGATTTGTAGACTATAGCAAATGTACCTTTATCAATGCGCGCATATACGTATGTATCGGTTATTATTTTTAAAATAAAAATTCAGTTGAGTAGTTTAGTTATAATTGAAAAATGTTAGAGGGCGCCAGTAAACATTTGATAGTTTATCGTTTATTTAACATTCTGGAGGTTGAAACCAACGAGAACCTAAGCAACCTATTAAATTATGTCTGTTAGGAACTATTATCCATTAATATTTATTGATTGTTCTTTCATTCTCTTAATTTAAATCCTAAGATGTCTAGTACTTCTTTAGTTGATTACTATAATTCTCGTGTTAATTTTGATAAGCTCAATCCTTTAATACGTTCGGCATATAATACAACATCAGATTTCGAAGAATATAAACAGAAACTGCTTGCCAAAGTTGAATATAATAAGCAAGATGGTAATTTATCATTTCTTGATTCAATTGAAGACGTTCGCCGTGAACAACATGCTCGATTAGAACAAGTTGAATATGATTATTATAATGAAAGTAAAAAAGCAACTTCCTTTGATGTACCTTACTATGCTGAAGTAACACAAAATACACAAGAAATAATGGTTACGTCAAAGCCACCTATACCAACTGCATCAAGACGATCACCATCGCCAGTATTTGTAACAGAAGAACAAATTCAACATCATATGTATGATCGTCCAGTAACAGCTAATATAGTACGACGACATAATGATGATACAACATTTTGTCCACATCGCACTTGTACTATTGATACAAATGTTCTCGATGATACAACAACTAGTGATGTTCAAAATCATATACAAAGCATGTGGGATGAATTCGAAATAGATGATTATATAGAAAAAAGAAAGTAAGATAAAACAAAAAAAAGATTGAAATAAAAGAGCATTTTATGATTTACTTTTGTTTTATGCATAGAACTCGTCGCGTTCCAAGTGCACCAGCAACAACGAGTTGGGCAGGGCGTGTGACAGTACCAGAACCATTCTCTTTAACAAATAGTGTAACCATGGATAATGTACATAGAAGAAAATGTAAACATGAAATAGAAGCAGCAAAAATACAAAAAGAAGTGGAAGATGAACTTATGCTGAATCGATCTTTCAAAGGTAAATACTATGATTCTTTGCTTTAAAATAAGACAATTATCAAAAGATTGAAGTAGTTCTTAATTTTTAATTCAATTGCTATTTTGTAATACAGATGTATACACGCTGTATATTGACAACAGAATTCGTCTTTTCAATGATTAAATTGCAAATCTTTTTTGAATCTATCATACTCAAACGCTAAAGTTTCGAATTATTCATCGAATTCTATCAACAGTTAGCCTGTGATATTATTTTATATTCATTATGATTGAATACTATATTAGAAGAAAACAAAAAACTGTGTTATTTAAAATTTGAAATAAAAATAGATATACGTCTTAGTCAAGGTAAAAGTTGATGAAATACATAGATAATATGCAAATCATTATTTTAATAGACTCTGTTCGTTTTTAATCAACATACAAAGAAATAATTGATAGGAAAACAGAAATTTGGTCATTGATTTTTTCTTTGAATAGTGATGTTTCATTTTTTCATCTTAAATTTGTCTAAACGACATGATTACATATAATATCTTATTCACATTCTGCATTATGTTATCCGAGATTAAACAGATTAAAATATGATAAAAACCTTCTCATGTATAATAATGCTAATAGTTCCATGAAGTACTTCCGTCTATAAAAACACTCTATATCGATTTAAATATATACTGTATTGGTACCTTGATTAATATTGTCTTCTCCCAAAATATACATTACTTGTGACTGAGATCACAAAATATTTGACTCATTGAGTAAATAGATAGTGAGAAAGACGTAGAGTGATGATGCTAGTGAATTTTATTATAGATTGGACATAATAATAACATTCTTCTAAGGAATAATTGTGTAAAAAAATTACTAAAAGAATTTTATGATTAAAACTGCGTTGATTTGGGTAATAAAAATAAGCGCATTGATATTCATCATATGTCAACAGAAATATGTGTAACTAATAATAAGATTAATATGTCTAAATCATTAAAAGTAAAAAAGGAGATATTCTTTGATAAAGTTTCTATTGTTGACATGAAACAGTCTCTACGGGAGAGAGAGAGAGAGAGAGTAGCTGCATCTTATTGTTTTCATATTGTCTTAAGAGTTTGAACATGACGTAAAATTATTGAATTCAAAACTTATTGTCTTTAGCGAATCCTGTTCCTGCTCATGTGCGTATGCCACTATATGAACAATTACAAGAAGAACAACGTGTTCGTCGTGAACAAGTTCATCAAATGACAAAAGACTATTTAAATTCCATTTCAAAACCATTCGGATTTAATTCACGTGAAACAGCTAAAACAATAGTACGAAGACATTCATATTCTGATGTAGATACTGCTCGGCATGAACCCCTATTCAAAGCAAAGCCATTACCCGATTTTTATTATCGAACAAGGAAAGATATTGAAAAGTATTATTTGAGTGAAATTTTCAACTAAATTTCGCTTCTATTTTGTTTTTAGTATGAAAGAAAAATCTCTTTATCGTTCAATAAAAAAAGAAATGCGAGCCAAAGAATTACTTCGTCAATCACGACTTCCATCAAATATGCAAGAACGTGAACAACAAGCAAGACGCGCACAACGTTCAATGAGTGCAAATGATTTAGCACGTATGGGTCTTGAGGAATATACATTTAAACCAAAAACCAATGGTTATTATATACCAAATTATGATAAACTTCATTCACAATTTTTACGTCAATCAGAAGAAGCAAAACGTACAAGACCAACAACAAAATGTAAACCATTTTTATTATACACAAATTTAATTCAAACAAGGAAAGATAAGGTTCTTGATGATATTCGAAGTGGTGAACAAATGCGTCATTTACAAACATTTCAAATAAAAGGAAAACAGCTTCCAACAAAATCAGCTTCTGGCATGAGTTTATCAGCCAGTCTTCAAAAGCCTGAAGCAATACCAACAAAAAAAACTGAAGTACAACGTGAACGTGAAGCTATGGGAAAGAAAAAAAGACATGAACACGAAGTAAAAAATAAGTTTGAAAAAAATTTTCAAAGGTCACGATCAGCCAAAGAAAGAAGATTAAGAGAAAATATTCGTGAACAAGCAAAATTACAAGATAAATCAACAATATACAAAGCAAAAAAGGAAGAAAATGTAAATATAAAATTGGCATTTTAAAACCTCCACCAGATTCTATGTTTTTGTTTTGTTTTTCAAAGAATCGAAAAGTTCGTCAATCTATGCGTCAGATTGAAGATGAATACGCCAGAACACTAGATGTAATCAATGGTCGTGTTGAACGACGTCCATTATTACTTGAACAAGATCAACGTGATAAAGCTGTACGAGATTTAGAAAGAAACATTCAACATGCAATGAGTATAGCAAAAATAAGTGAAAAAGATTTAATGAGACAAAAATTTAATCCGCCTAACGTTAAAGTAACAGCAACACGTACTAATTATTCATCATAAACATATAATAAACTTGTGTTTTTTTTCTTTTAATTACTTGTGAATTTTTGCACGAAATAAGTGAAAATGAAAATGAAATATGGATAAAACTTTTAGTTTAGTTTATTATGTGTTCATAGTTAATTATAATTATTTATATTATTATTTTCAAAAGAAACGAAAATATCACGTAGTGTTGATAGATAATCAAACTGAGCATACGAATCTAATATTACGGCTAAAGAATAATTTTATTCAATCGTTTACATCCAAAATGAAATGAATAAAACAAAAGAAAATCCATATTAATATTGTCGTAGTGCCACCAGAAGGATACGATATGTTTCTATGCTCTTGAACTGTAGTTTATATCGTTGAATATTCTCAATTGTATGTATGACAGGCTTTGAACTCTCAAAAAGAATTATATTATGAAGATTAGTAGTACTAATAAATATATTATCAATAGATAATATTCAATAGAATCTTAGATTTCTCACGCTTCCATATGTATAGCAAACTAATACAATAATTACATAGGTGTACAGAAAAATTTTAAAAATAGCGAATCATAACAAATATGATAGAAAACGCAGTAAACTTATGTAGCATGAGTTAAATTGAAAGTTAATTGGGATAACTTTTAGACTGATTGTCGAAAGTATTTAGTGAAATTTATGATGTCTCTAAGTTACAGATATCATATTATAATTTGATAAGTAATTTTAATTTTAACATTTAGTGTCATAAGAATATATATATTATTATTGTTCATCTATCAGTTTTCTCTTTACTTTTGAATAAGATTTTATCATCGAATTAGTATATTGATTTGTAACAATTGTAAAATTTACAATATAGTGTTTGTATTGGCAATACTTATGAGCTGTACGATGATCAGATTCTTCGTATTCCGTCCGCTCTTTTCTAAATGAAGTGAACAGCCATTTACTGTAGTCGTTGTTTTTCTTTTTCTCTCCAGAAAGGGCAGATCGTTGAACTTAGCTCGTTCTGTTCTATCTACATGCTTCAAGAGTGCAGGCAGCTACTTTTTTCTTTTTTCCTCCTATTCTAACCAAAAAAAAAAAAGAAAACTTAGATTATTGCTGATGCTAGCATTAGTTTCTTTATGTCTGACTGTACTCTTTTAACCAATGATAGAAATGAGTAACCATCGTCATCATCATTCAGAATACTTTCATACATGACGGATAATTTGTTAAATATAAAACAACGAACTAAAATTAGTTTAAATTCAATGTTATTTTGTGTGATGATAGTTTTTCAAACAATTGCATATGGTTCTTATTCAATATTAGTTCATTTATGTGAAAAAGATGGCATGATTACGTTTTCTTCAGCAACAATGAATTTTTTCATTGAATTTATAAAATTATTATTTTCTTGTAATGCTTTTATTTGTTCGAAACGACTTCATTTAAATAGAATTCAAATTTTTTCATGGTTCAAACAATCAATGTTATATTCAATACCAGCTTTTCTTTATTTTTTAAATAATAATTTAGCTGTGCATATACAAATTCATATGGATCCAACATCATATCAAATTTTATCAAATTTTAAAATATTTACAACCGCTATTCTCTATCGTTTAATTATGAAAAAACACTTAACAAAACAACAATGGTTTGCATTAATATTACTTTTTTTTGGTGGTCTCACTTATAGTTTAGGGACATTTAAGAATTCTCCCTTGATTCCAATGACTATTACAAATTCAACTGTAGAAATACAAGAAATGTATATACGTCCATTAGGTATTTCAATGATAGCTATCTATTGCACATTAAGTGGTTTTGCTGGTGTTTATAATGAATGGATTTTAAAGAGAAATTATAGTGAATCACTTCATCTACAAAATATTTTTCTTTATTCTTATGGTACTTTTTTAAATTTAATACCAGCTATTAGTATCGTAATAGCAAATTCAAAAACTGTTAAAGATGTAAATCTATTTCAAGGTTTTACAGTTTATACATGGTTACTTGTACTTACACAAGTATTAAATGGTTTAATTATGTCTATAATAATGAAATATTTTTCAAACATAATTCGATTATTTATTATATCATTTTCTTTAGTAATAGCTGCTTTTCTGTCTTCTTTTATATTTCATATTCATTTTAATACTTACTTTTTCATTTCTATGGTCACAATGGTCTGTGCATTGTCACTTTATTATACGAATTGAATAATTCCTATTGTTTTAAAGAAAAATTTGGAGTTTTTATTATGTGAACGAATTCATTTCTACTTTGTAATTCCATAAGAAAAAGTTCATTGATCTTAGATCATTTCATGCAATTCATTTATATTTAAAAAATTCGTTCTTTTAGAGAAATATTCATGTGTAAAATATATGAAAGCTAGAAAAACAAAAAACTTCAAATTTTCTTCCACTGATCATTCAGTTGAATCTATGGAATTAACTTGAATGGCATCGCATATATCTTTCTATCGAATTAAAAGATTTGCATTTTTTTCAGAAAAACATTTTATAAGTGCTTGAGTTCTACTTTAGAACTAGATGTGATCATTATTTTTCTAATATATATATCATTGCCATATATGAAATCTATACGGCATTGGAAATAAATCTTTGTTAGTCTTCTTCGAAGTTTGTTAATTGTTAACTGAACATGAAAAATTTCATTTTCGTATTCTGCTTGAAATGAAGTCTTTGTTGGTGCATCATTGAATAATTAAAAAAACACTGATGACATGCAATATATATAAACCGATAAAAGCTTTAAATTGGACTACCTTAGAAGGTAAAAATAAACATGTTTCACCTAGTTTATGTAAAACTCATGTATACAAAATGTGCTACATTGCTGCTTTACATAAGTTTTTCTTAAAGGAAATTAGTCGAATTTGCATTGCAGTATTACAGAAGATAAATAAAATGATTCACTATAAAGTTAACCGTACGGAGGTGTGTTATCAATAATATAGCTGCCATTTTCTTTTGTATTTGATTTCTTCATTCTTAAATTACATAATAACTAGATAGCGTTTATTTATTCAAGACAACTATGTAGATAACGAAGAAGGTTATTCTACCTATTTCATAAAAACAAAAATCCTAGCATTATTAGTTTGGTGCATATATTTGTTTGAACAGAGTCGAAGTTTGATTTTAGAGAAACATTTTAGAGATTTAAGTTCATTTAAATCAAAAATATTATATTATCGATTGAAAAGATAAATTTCATTTGAATTTATATAACTTGAATATCATCAGTTGATGATACACTGCATTTATGGGTTATTAGAAATACTCTGAATATTGATAATTTATTTGAAAATAGTTGAGGTTAAAATTGTTCTAATTCAAAGTATAATACTTGGTTTTACCTCTCAATCATCAATCATGCCTGTTTTTCGCTATTTTATTATATTGTAAAGTTTCAAGTACAATATTCAACTGATAGATTTAGCTATGACAAAAAGAATGTATTCTTTTTTATTTTTCTATGGTGACATGTCTTCTATACTAGAAATAATTCACAGTATAAAAATACAAGAAGAGTTGAATAGTTACTTTTGTCACCATTAAGTGAAAAATTTTCTTTAGCTGTTATAGATTAAAAGGATCTAAAACAACTGCTATAAATAAATGAAAGTTATTCTTTAGAATATTCATTTAGTTTAAACAGCAAGAAATTCAAATGTTGTACCATCAATTTCTTGAGAATCTATCATATGTGTTTGAGTAATTTGCAATGAACTAAGATATTTCTATGTTAGATTCAATTAAAAATTAAAATAATTAATTTAATTTCGATACTTTCTTTACTAATAGGAAAAATAAAATATATACCATATCTAATTGTTAGATAACACTGTGTAGATTTCTTGTTCAATGTCAAAATTTTTGTTTATCTTGATGAAGCCAAGCTTCTCTTAAATAAAATTTCTATCAAATAGCATATTATTTTTTGACGAAGCTCTATCAGAGATTTCCAAGATGGCGCAGAGATTTGCACTGTACGATAGATATTTCTGAGCCCTATATATACGGCACGAGTCAATTTTATTGACTAAATATCTTTCATAGATAAATATAGAATAAATAAAATAGGATAAAGCTGAATAAAAGCATAAAATAAAGTTTCTCTTAGGATTGCCAATATTCAAAACTTCAAATTTCCTCATCGTCTGCTGTCGCCAATGGAGCTTTGTTCGTCTCATTCATAGAATTCACCGGCATCCTTTCTTTTTCTTTTTCTTTTTCATTTTTAGATTTCTTCTGATTGTTGAGTCCAACAATTTTTCTAAATGCTGACCACATAAAATCCATCATTTCATTTCGATATTTTTTTGCAATTAATTCTCGTTTAACACGTGCAAATGAGTCATTTAAACTAGAAACAGAAATAAAACCCTACCAGACGATAGTTTAATCATTGTAATATACATACATTGTTATGAAAATGCTGAGTAAAGCAATAAATACAAGAATAACGAATGATAAATAAAAAAATGCGCCTAGAAAAAATAAACTCAGATTTTCTTCTTCTATTATTATCATTAGTTAAGATATGAATTTACCATAGACTCGACTAACAGCAATCATGGCTGGTGCATTGATTTCACCCAACAACATTCGAAAGCAAGTTGTTAATGAATTAAATAAGTTTCTAAAACTACGAAGTGAACGACCAAATATTGCAAAACCCATTTGTGCATATGCTAACATAAATATAAGAAAAACAAATCCAAAGGAAATTAAATCTTTTTGAGCATAAGAAAATGATTTTGATAACATTCCGACACGTCTATTAAATCGAAGTAATTTTAAAAACTTAAGCATTGTAAAAAATGTAATTAGTGCTACAATATATGAATAAACTTCATCGAAACTTCCAATTGCATTAAAATTAACAAATTCACCTATTCAAACACAAAAACGAAAAAAAAGGAAAACTACTTAGATAGATTGTATTAGATTTTTTTAAATTTTATTTCACGTTACCCATTTCAGTTTTTTTCAATGATCGAATTGCTAATCGTGTTAATGCTTTTTTTGTTCCATACATTATTATTATTATTATACTAAATATAGCTGTTAAAAATGAAGTCACATTCCAAAATTTTCTGAAATATCCTCTTTTATGTTTAATTATTAACGAAGTTTCATGCACAATAGAGTAGATGGTAAAAATAATAAAAAATAGCTCAAATATATATACAATTAAACCATAGCTACCAATATGATCATATAAACGAAATACTTTAATGCGATGATCTTGTATAACTGAGCCCATTGATGTCATTTCAAATGAAAGTGTTACAGCAACAAATAAATTAACATTTGCATTATAAAGTGAAAAATCAATAATAACTGCACGAGTCAATTGATCAAGCCAATTTTGTGAATGAAGTTCATCAAGTACTGATAGAGCTTTTTCATATGTACGACCTAATGAAACAACATAGCCACCACCTTTATATGTTTTGTAAATTGCCGAAAGAGGATCACTTTTTGTATAAATACTACTCTAAAAATAAAGAAAAAGTTATTTGTTGTTTTATTTTAACATAAAATTGGTATTATTGAACGTTTTCTATTGATTTCGATAATGTTAAATATATAGTATATGCCAATTTTGAACTTTATTGAGATATCAACTGTTAATTTTCATGCTCATCTTCTGCTATTTTTTAAATACACTGATTTGCATTTTAGAAATGGTAATCGGCAAGATGCTCCTCAGACAGATACTCCCCGGATAGTTGCTTCCCGGATAGTTGCTCCACCGACACTTGCTCCTCAGCAACATTGACTCCAGGAACGGTGATTTCACAACAGTATATGATTCATACAAAAATGTGGGTGTGGATGACTGAAGAGGATAACCATTTGTCGATACTTGCACTGACACACTCACATCGATACACCCATACACTCGATTAAATAGATTTATATCTTAATCTCGTACTGATTAACATTTTTGTTAAATACAGTTAGGGAGCAAGTGCCCGGGGAGCATCTTGTCGGGGCTCTTTAAAAACATTTCTGTTGTCAAAGTAAGACTCTTTTCTCGTTCATGTGCATTTAAAAAAAAATCACTCAAACTAACTTGATAACACCATGGTGTTTTACACCGCTTTTCTTGATTATTTGTTTCATTATTTAAGTTCGGTGTATTTTTATCCAAGACTGTTTCCCATCGTGATGTATAATGTTTTGTATCATCATCAAACCAATTATAATCATTTCGACAATGCGATATTATATGTTTAAAACGACGATGAATTCGACAACTATTGTCTTTGACACGCAATTGACGAATTCTAGGTGCACCAACACGCATCGATACACGAGTTGCAGTTGTCAATTTTTCTCTCCATGTTAAATTTTTATTATTATACCATGGTTGTGCATAAAGTCCTTTTAGTAAAATATTATTACAATAATCCCACCATGCATCGATTGAAGTGACATCATTAAAATTTTCCGTAATAAATAAATGTTTTGTATCACGATATAACCCATGCGAATTTGTATCTCGTGATTGATACGATAGAAATAATAAAACTACCGTAAAAAATACATAGATAATAATTTCACGTATGATTTGTCCCATTTTTATTTCACGTAAACGTTGTTCTCTTGCACGTCCCATTTCCTTTGAATCAATCGGACGTAGATCAAATAAATGTACACGACGTTGAATGGCAATTTCTAAATAAAAGAAACAAAAATAATGAAAGAAAAACAACTTTATCTTTCTTTTCATTGAAATAAAGATATTTTGAAAAATATACTTTTAAAATTTTTCTCATTACAAATCTCATCATTATAATCAACATGAGTTAAATTATTATGTGCAAGTAATGCGCCAGTAAATGGATCATCAAAGTCTAATGTTTCATCATTATATGGTCGGCGAATAAGACAACTTAGAATAGCCGTAATCAGAAATACTTTCAATGGATCAATGATTAGTATGGATTGACCGAATGAAAGCATCATTGTAATTAACCATTCATTTGCGCGCTGTGCACCCCATTCCAATGAATAGAGAATAACAAAAAATGAAGATGTTAAAATACTTAATATCACCACTAGAAACAGATAAATATTTCAAAAATAAAACGGCAACAAATTTGATTTGATTTTACTTACATATCCACGCAACATAAACAAGCCAATGTGGAAGTGTTCGTGTTTTGTCTTCGATTGATGGTATTGCATTGATGCGTTCAATTTCTTCTTGATCAAGTTTCGAATTATTACAACAAGATTTCGTTTTTGAAAAAAAACTAAAAGAATTTTCTTTTTTAAATTTAATTAAAATCAAACAATAACAAACCTAATTGTCTTTTTATGTTGTTCATTGCTTTCATATGATTTATTTTGATATTTCGCTTTCTTCAATTGGTATGTTACTAATGTTTTTTGGCTATATTTTGCTTTACGAAATAATGTTATAATGATTATATTTATCGGTAAGACAACTAATGTACCAAAAAAACTAATTAAAACTTGTGTTAATGTAAACTCAAGAGGGCCAATTTTCAATAAAACACCAGATTTATTTGTCATTGTCTGTGTATCTTGTCGATAAAACATTGCATTTGATATCATGGTGCAAAAAAGTAATGATATGCAACATGATATACGTTGAAGACGTGTAAAATTACTTCGTACTGGCCGTGAAAATACCGAAAACCATAAATGCGCATCACTAAGTTTCTTTTTAACGGATTCCGTAAACAAATGTGAAAAGTTTTTTAATTCTTTTGAGGATGCAAGTGGTATAATACGATCAACTAATCCATCACCTTTTTCTACTGCAAGCCAATCATTACAAATAAAATAACTCCTGAACGAAAAAAGAAACAAAACCACACCCTCAAGAAACTATTTATTTATTTATTTATTTAGAATGCATTACTTTTCGCCTGTTTGTAAATCCAGAACATTGATCATATTTAAAAACCAAGAAGCTCTTTCTTTTACACCAGAATTATCATGCCAAACACGAAGATAGAGTAAAGGACCAAGTGGTGATTCAACACTCATGACATAATTTCGAATACTACCAGCGGAAAATTCCTTTATGAAAGAAAAGAATTTGAAAAATAATTCATTTTTTTAATCTTTTTCAAACATATTGATTCAATATTTTCTCGAGACTATCTTGCAAACTATCACTCGTTTTCTGCCTTCTATCGGTCATATAGATGCGATGTTAGTTGACTTTACTTTAGATGTCTTGTAGAATGAAACCAATGTGCTCTCACAAATATCTCAAGTTGAAGAAGTTCAACTGAGAATTGACATTTCAAATCTTGAAAAATTCTCTCTACAATCTATTATCTCTATTATATTTCGTTGCTTTTCGATCACTAAATTTCACGAAGAAACACCTGAACTATTAATTTTAAGTCAAATTTAGCAACAAAATTTCTGTTAGCCGATTTCAAGCGATCGCCTAAACCCATTATGCTAATGAATTCATAAAATTTTATTTATATTCTATGATACAAACTAGCAATATATAGTCATAATCAGTTCCTGCTTTCAATCATGCTTTTACCATTATTTGTTTTTTGAAAAATAATTTATTTCTTAAACAACTATACTTCAACATACTTTGATTCATATTTATCTATGAATTACAATAAACATTCTATTGTTTTACGTATAGCATCAAAGTTAAACAGGATTATAAAATATTTATCTGGATCTTATTCAGTAATTTGATGTAACAAATATTCATAGGGGAAGTGGTAAGAGATAAAAAAGCATATCTATTAATAGTTTAATGTTATTTTCTAACTTATTATCTGTTATTACCTGAAAACTACTCGAGATGATACTATTTTCTTTTAAATTTAATTCTATTAATATGTAACTCAAAATAAGACTGATAGAATAATTTGATATGATCCAAATTTTAATTGTATTTTTATTCAACTACTTATAAATATAATGTTTTATAATAGTTGAGCAATGTGGACAAAAACACGTGAGATGATATTCCGCAATTATTAGGCAATTAAATCAACAAATAATTAATACGAGAGAAATTGTTTCATATGAATGATGTTAATGAGCATACATGTTTATTTAACTAGCGACCTGTATTTTTTTTATACACGAACAAAATCTTAGTGTTCACTGATATTTTAGTTATGCCATTCTATGAAACAATGATTAATACATAATAATATGAAACGTTTTTTATGTAATAGTCTTGAACATATTAGATTGATTCAATGCATCAACCATGGAAAATAAGGCCTACAGAGACTTTTCATAGGCAAACTTATTAATAACATACAATAGTTTCGGTAATTCTCAATAGAAACTCAAATCTGTGTAGAGTTTTAACTAAGTATAACGCCGTCTCGTATGTATTAACAAACAAAAAATACGCTGAAATCAGAATGAAGCATCCGAAAAGATTTTCTTATCAATCACTATCAATATTCATGGTTAGCCTTCATAGAGAATCAATATTAAATCAAAACTTACTTTTATTTTTCCGTCAGTTAATTTTCGCATACCACTATCAGATGATTCACCTGATATAACAAAACTTATATTCGATGTTGTACCAGATTCTTTACCAAAACCAGTATGAACTGTTAGTAAATAATGATAAGTATCGATTGGAAGATTATCAATCAACGGCGTTGCGGTCCACTAGATAAAACAAGAAGTCAAATATTACTGTTTTATACATGCATAAATACTGATCTCTTCGAGAGATATGACTACAAATATGTAGACAAGAAAATAAACATGAGATGCCTAGTTCGAATTCGAATATAAATGGACATCCAACTGCATGGTATCAATTCAAAAATAAGTGATAGAAATAGATTTAGTTTAAGATGGAGTGGGTTTGGTTGAGGGGGCTAAAGGGTAACTGTAGGTGGGAGTGCGAGTGAGTGGTAGGTAGGAGGGTTACCCTGGAGGGATACGGGGATACCTGGGGTACTTCAAATGTGAGTGTGGGTACTGGATACCATGGAGGAGTGCTCAAATGTGGGTGCGGGTGAAGGGTATGTATGTATGTATTCATATGTCGCATATATCGGAAAGTTAAACTAAAAGTAAATCTATTCCTAGATTTAGTTTTAGTTTAACTGTTTCTTTCTCCATTTACATTCGAACTCGATTTAGACAGCTACTCTATTAGATAGATTCATATTCAGTAGCATTTATTTTAATAATTTACCTTAATTAAATCAAGCTTATCTTTTCTTCTTGCCCAAATAGCAGCAAGAATATATAAACTAAAAATACCAATAACTGTACTGAACACAGCAGCATTTTCATGTAAAGTTTTAAATTTTTTAAAAACAGTTGTAAAATCAATTTTATTTGGCGGGATAAAAAAATCACTTCCAAATGTTGTTAAATGTGTACAAAGACATTCAGTTGATTTTAATGTTGTCAGCGATCCAACCTATTTATATATACGTATTTAAAGTATAAATAATCTATATTAAATACAAAATAATTTACTTCACATCCATCTGAACTCCATATGAAACGTTTTTCATCCCAGTATTGACATTTTGATACATACATATTTATTGTGTAACCAGAATTATGTTCGGTTAAATTCTTGGTCATATTTGTATCTAAATTTTATTAGATCATTACTCAATCATCTATCTTTTTTTTTAAATCTTACCAAGCAATTTAACACCAAATATATAAGTTCCATTTCCAAGATGAACACTTGGTGGCATAAAAATAGTATGCCTTAATTCGTGTTCATCTTCTGAATAAATATCTATTGTTGATTCTAAAACAGTTTGATTTGGAATAATAAAAAGAAGATCAAATTTTGATTCAGTGGGCGGTTCTAATGCAGTTTCATTGACACCAAATGAAACAAAAACAGCATAAGTATCCATTGACGACGAATTAGGAGATAAATAAACTGATAATGTCATTTGTTTTTCAGGTAAATTAACTTTATGATATTGAAATGATTTGCCTTGTAAATCATATTGTTGATATTGTGGTTGTTTATCGATTGGTCGTGTTAAACGAATAGAAATTGGTTTGGTTGTATTTTTTACAGACATTTCTGATCCATCTGGTCCTGATAAGATAATTGTAACAACACTACCTTGTACACTTGTATTTCCATGTGTACTTGCGAATGGATTATTTTTAGATTCAAGTATTTTTGTAAAAACTTCAGATGAATCTGAACCAAAATTTAAATCCGATAAATCAGGTAAACGAATATTTGTATCACCAACTGATAAACTTGATTTACCTTTTTTGATAAAAAAGAAAACAAGATTTACTTATGAACCATTGAAAATATTCTACTTATACCATCTGGACTTGCTTTTGTAAATGTCATTGTCATTGTTTTACTTTCAATAGTTTTTGTTTCATTTATTGATGAACGATTTACTAAAGTATCGCCAACAGTAAATAAACCGTCAGAACTTCGTTTAGCAATATTGGAAGCCTGAAACAAACAGAAATAAATATTTAATAAAACAAAAAATAAAAAAAAACAAACTCTTTCTCGTCCTTCAATAATTGTTTTCTTTTCTTCTGCTAATTTATGTCGAAATTCTTCCCATCGATCTTCAGGTAATGTCTCACATTCATCACATGCATCATAAAATTGTGTTGGAGCATAAAGAACTTTTGTGTCTGTTTCTTCATTTTCTGTTACTTTCATATCTGATTCAAGATTCTACATGTATACATTAATGAAATCAAATATATTATACAATATTTTTATTAACTTCAATGACAGCATCTGGGTTATTTTCTTTATCTTTTGAAACAGTTCTTGATGCAGCTTGAAGAACATTACCCCCAACATTCAATAATGCTAGAAATACAAGAATGTTTTCAAATAAAAGACTGTCAAAAAAAAATATATATGATATAAACATGTAGCAAGATTAGTAACAGTTTCGTCATCGGTTGAATTCATATCTTTTACTTTGGTGCCAACTTTTTCAATAATATCAGCTCCTTTTTCCTATGCATATATATGTATATAGATTATATAAATAAAAATAATAAATAAATAAAGAATTAGTTCAAACTTGATTATTTAATGGCATTTGGTCACTATTAGCTGTTACTGTTGCACTAGCTTTTAGGGCTTTATCAACAGTATTTGGATCATCTACAGAATTGAAAACTGTATTCATCGATGTTAACATTTTTGATCGCATCTAAATTAAATTTTTCATCATTATTGTACTTGATATAAATAAATAGATAATTAATTTATCAGGTATTCAGGAGAACATAGACTCGTACATATCTTAATGGTAGTTCGTTTTTAGAATATTCGATTGTTTTATTTTTCAAGCAATTCACCTTTCAATTCTTCTACAGGATAGTAATTATACCGATATTTTTTCATATGAGTAATATTAACTATTTTTTTAGATGCACTTCAAAAGAACAGTTCAAGAAGACCCATGTTCTAATAGAATTGTATAACAATCTTTTTTGAATTGTATGTTTCCATACTTTCGTAGATACTTATTCTCATATTCTTTATCTAATCAAGATAATATACGAAGGGGTGTGAATGTTATTTAAATTTAAATAAACATATCAATATGTAGGCAATTAAAAGGTGAAATGATTGAATATTAAAAGATAAATCATTAAGAAGCTACGAGACTAGGGTTTCCTAACAAGCAAAAAAATATAGAAAAAAAACATACTGAAGCCATTCGATCATTCATTGTTTTTGTTTCGGCTTCGTTTGTGTTTTCTGAAGTCTATTAGGAAAAAACATTTAAATCAAAATATACATACTATTACGTACATTATTATCACTCATTTGATTAAGTCTGTCAGCTACACCAGTGATTAATTCTACTGCTTGTTTTGGATTAGACGAAGCTAAATCTTCTAAATTATTCATAATATCTTCTAATGCGCTTAAATCCGTTGTATCAAAAATAAAATTCAATTGTTTATCAACTTCTAAACTTGCGATCAATTGTCTACCATCATTTAAATGTCGAACAATAAGTAAAAAATGTAATATGCCATTATCAAACATTAAATTTTTTTCATTAATAGTTAATGTTTTTCTATCAGAATTGAATTGTATTGATTTTCGATTTTTATCATTCTTCACATTTGATGAAAAACATTGATTTTCATAGAATTGTAAATTTAATTCAGATCGATGTAATATTAAGTTTAAGTGCGACCATTGTATAGACCATTCATTTATATTTTGTGCATTGGCTTCTGTTGGTCTTGATGAACCCAATCGAATTATGTTTGGTTGAAAAATTAATGATTGAAACTGTTCAGGATAACAAATAAGTGTAAAATTAAGTTTACGTCTTTCTAATTCATTATCTGGATCCATTGTTCTTAAATAAAAATCCAAATGAATTTCCTCATTATTATTCTTAATTGTTTCATTTCCACCAAATTTTGTAATTAAGTCTGAACGTGTAATTTCAATGGGTTGAATATATTGTCGAAAATCAACCATACTTGAATCTCTACCAATGGTAAATACATATAGGTAATAACCGTGTGAAAGAGATTTTGGTTCAAGAGCTAATATTGATTTCGATCCAAATTCTGAACAATAATTATCGATAAATTTTTCTTCAAAAGGTTGATTTATATGATATGAATACCGTTGAACACGTGAATGTTTCCATAGCGATGGATCAATAAAAAGAAGATAAAATGAATATATAAAATCATGATTAGAACAATTTGTTAATATTGTTGGTTCAAGTTTATGTTGGAGACTATGTGGTAATAGGAGAACAGATGACGATGAATTAATTTGATTCAATGAATTTAATGATGAAAGATAAAATTTGTGTTCTTGAAAACATGTTTCTTCTTCTTGACTTCGAACATCAACTATTGTGACTGTAGAACATTTTAATCCGATTCGCATAAGTTCTAATGTTGGTTGAATAAATGTTACATCGATTTTGTACGTACCGGATTTTGGATATCTTAAAGACAGGTCGATCTTAATTTCGTTTTTTTCTTTACGTCAAAAAGAGAAAATTACTGAAACTCTGACAGAAAATATTCATAATTACAAGAAAAAATTTTCTCTCTATAAGAGCAAAGTGTTAGTCTTCTTTAGAACGAAATTTAAATTATCTTTTTTTTAACCAAAACTAATTCATTCTTTTTTATTATTCGACAATACTCTGTTTTGTTTTGAAGAATAGTCAATGTTTCTATCTACAAATAGATATGAATCTGTTTAGGTCTTCTTTTCATCTTCAACATGTGAACAATTTTTAGTCAGAATTTACTATATAGAAAGCAAATATTTATTAAATTCCTCGGAAATATATCAGTTTATATCAATAATTCATTAAATTTAGAATCAAATACAATCTAAACATCTTTAACTCAAATATAACGCAGAAGTTCGGTAAATAGTTTAATATTATACTCTGTTTTAATCAGCGTTGAAATTCATTTTTTATGTATTCACATAAAGTCTATGATTCAAAAATAGAATTGGAATAATGTTTTCACTGTTAGTATTATTTTTTGTTTTGATGGGATCCTAGTACAACTAGAAATCGAATTTGAAGTTTCATAGGTATAAAAAAAATGAAACGAAAACAATAGAGAAGAATTCAATAAATCTCAAATATCTTTTTTGTGTACTCAAAAAATGTGAGTACACTCTAGATTCGGTCAGTGTGTCCGTCCGGCCGTTAACACGATAACCTTTGAAAGCCTCATCCAATTGTCATGAAATTTTGTACACATAACGATCTCATTAATATCTCAGTTGAGTTCAAAGATGAGAAGGATCCGTCAAGAAGTGGCCCCCCCCCCCCCCCCCCCCCCCCCCCCCCCCAGTACAGGGATTTTAAAAAAAAAATATTTTTTTCTTAGAATTATTCTCAACATATATAAATCGACTCAGTTTTTGCAGTACACATAACAATCGGATGCGAATCCAATGTTTCCTCATTTTATATGATTAAGATCAGATCTAAAGATTGAACAACGTGTGTTACAAAATATCATATATTATCTTTTCCATTTGTATATCATTTGATATTACAATTGCAATAGATATTTCTCATTTATAGATCTAACTACGATGAAGACAAAGAAAACGTTATATCTCTTTTTTTTTCAAGTAAACTGCTCAAAATTCTTAGAGTAAATAATATGCTTTTATTATTTTTTTCTTGATGTAACTTTTCTCACCGATATCCAATTTGTAAACGTTGTTTTGCAGTTATTTTCCATTGTAGATGATGTATTCCATCAATTTTTTTCATTATACGATTAACTGCATTAGATATAAATTGTCCATAATGAAGAACCACTTTTTTCTCGTTTCCATAGTCGATTTCTATGTCAAAACCGACTCCGTTAATCCATTGTATATCAACCCAAATGAAATCTTTATTAGCCAAGCCTAGTTGATTTATTATATATACTTGTGGTTTCTTTGTAATTTTTGTTCCAACTGTAAATCTAGCTTGTGCTTCGCGTATAGTTGGAAAATCTTCTCCACGTACATGTAATATTTGTTGTCCATATGTTGTTATATTGACATCTAATTGTTCTGTAAAATTATTTGATTCTAATAATTGCACAGGTCTTCTCATTGTTTGATTTCTTTCATTTATATTATTAATAATAGTTAGTGTAAACACTCCTTCATATGATGTTTTTTCTAATGCACGTATTGTAACTGTTAATTCGTTTATATCTAAAAGATCTTCAATATCAACTTCAAATTGTGATAATGGTGGATCAACATTGATATGTACCGATTGGTTTACTGAATTTATATGATTCATTGCACTTATCAATGGATAATATTGGCCAGGTGTTGAATAAGTACAACTACCAATTAGAATAGGTGCTAAATCAGTTGTCTGCTCGATATGTATGATTTCTAATGGTATTTTACTTGCACCACAGTCAAGTATAGCTGTTAAATCTAATGTTGGTTGAAGTGTTATGGAAAACTCAACTGTTTGACCGCTTTTAATTGTTGATTTCGATGGTTCAACATCTAATGAACGAATAGCTGGTTGTATATTAAGAGAATATGGTTGTAATGATGCTGAGCCACATGCAAGTTGATAAAGGTGTTTCCCAGCTGGTAAAGACTAAATAAAACAAAATTTTCGTTTATTAACAGTGCTTACATCTTTTGAGAGAGAGAGAGACAAAAAATTAAACATGTATGTGTAAGTACTATGACCATCAAAGTGGCTTACAGATTTTATATTTATTTGTTCAATTAGCACAGTAGAAGAACTTTATTGAAACTACTTTCATTCATTGATTCATTTAAAATGGTCTGTCTGGATGTATTATTTTACATTGGCCTAAACTAATATTTCGATGCGAATTGATTTTTCAATAGTTTCATGTATTGAATCTTTATCCTTAATATATCATTTAATATGTTAGGAATGAATTTCAGTATTTGATGAAAATTAAAATGTAAAAAGTGCTTCATTCAAAAATGAGATATTGAGGATAACTTTGTTTCCTTATGAAAGATGATCCATCAGTACTGCATCTAGAGTGTTAGACTTTCGAGTAATACTTCGATCGATTTGTTGCTTAACTATTATGTCTTTACATCGAATTTTGTCGAGGTCAAAATCAGTTTTGGAATTCCATCAGTAAAATCATCAAGCATTTTCAAATTGGTATACTGATAATTTAATTCTTCTGAAAATAGTTAACAAAAATATATCACTACTTTCTAGATTCATAAGCTCAAAAACAAAAAGAAATCATCAAACATATATTCCTATGAGCAACTAGCATATATGACAGTAAAAAATATCCGTGCGTCCTAAAGTTCAAAAATTTTACAGCACAAAGCTCTATTAGTGGGCAAGCCGGTTGTTTCCTTTTTCGAAAGCGAATCTAACGTGAGTTTTAAACTATATGGATGAGAGTTCGAAATCATCCTATTTTAGATCGTGATAGATATTACTCATACATTATCCGAGACTATATGTTAATAATAAATCTCTTTCTAGTCTTGGATTTCTGGAAATGAAATATAAAAAAAAAATATCGAAGAACTATGTCACAATATATATTGACTGAAAGAATGACGTTACACTCAGTAGTAGTTGCTGTTTTATCATGGTTCAGCTTTTATATTCGCAAGGATAAGGCTAAAAACTTTTTAATAAAGAAATTTATGTTAATTTTCGATAAAAATTTGAATCAATTCTATGCTATTTCAAAACAACGTTTTATCCAGCAGTCTAACATGACTATAATGATTTTCATTTTAAACTAGATCATATTAAGGAGCAAAAGTCTTTAGTATCTTTTTTTGCTTTACTTCATCTGGTATAACTTCAAGCATTTTTTTTCTCTGAATTAACTTCATCGTTTCATTTGTAATTGCATTTCTTAAACGTAAATGACTAGTATGTTGGCATGCATAATCGTCGCGTGATGTTAAATAAAATCTTGTTGCTTCTGATGTTTCTGCTAAATTTTTATGAATAATCATTTTTTTATTCATATTTTCTCGTCGAACAGTTCGTATTATTCTTGCTGTATTAACACTAAGTTCATTATAACATTGAGTTGATATATTATATTGTCCATAACGTGTGTAGTTTTTTGAAAAATAAGCTGTATAATATTGATGACGATTTGTTACGTTTGTTTTCCGATCTCCATCACCAAAATCAATTGTACAATTTATTGGAATACTTCCTTAAAATTGAGAAAAAAAATGCAACACAAAAGTTTATCAAAAAGAAAATCAGATCAATATGAATCGATTTTCTTACCATAAGTTTGTACGGTAAAGTTTTGATAGGGATGACCATCACGATTATCGGATGAAAGATGAACGCATTTCAATGGTAAATCAGTTTTAACATAAACAACATCAACATAAACTGTACGATATTCAGACATTTCATCATTTACCATTCGACGATAATCAGCACGAAAGTTAACTTTTTTTGAGCCTTCATTTTTCCAAGATAGACTAACCTTAAAATAAAAGAAATATTAATTCATTCGATTAGGCTGGAGAGAAAAAATCACAAGAAATGATATTTACAACTCCAGGTGTTATATACATTTCAGATGAATTTGTTTCCATATGAGTAAATTCTTGACCTTCGATATCGCCATAAACCGTTAATGCTGCAAGATTTCTTTCATTTTTAACTGAAACAATCATCTCAACACCTTCGTTACGTTGAACTCGTGTTCGTCCTTGATTTAAAAAGGTCGCGTCAGCTATACGAATATCGAGACCTAAAATTATAGATATGTTTTTTATACAATTATTTTACTTATTATCTTCTTTGTATCTTGGCAAGCGTTAACATACCAACTTCAGTATCAACTAAATCGATGATACGTGATACTACAAGTACATGCCATTCTTCACTATTGGAACATAATTCATTCAATGAACAGTTGCACTCCTTATCATAATTAAATGATGTATCTAATTCAAGAGAACTTTGTACGCATCCACATTGACCAGTTGTCGAAGAATACAATGCAATCTATCAAAGATAATTCAATTATAATATTCTTTAAATATTTTCAAGATTTCGAACCTTCATTTTTCGATTAGAACATTTATCACGGCATAGTTTCCAATCGTCAAATACTTCAGCAATTATATACTGATGAACACGATCATTGCTTTTTAAACATCCTAATGCAATTATATCCAGAGAAACTAAAATAATAATGCATTAAAGTAAAAAGAAATGGCATTATAAAAATATTCGAACCATTAGCGATATCTTCATCACTTAAAATTCTTTCATAATATATAATATTATCAATCATTGCTAATCCTGAATTATTTCCATAAATTACAGTTGCTTTAGGATGTATTTGTTTATATCTAAATATTGATATTTCTTTGTAATTTTCGATTTCTGTTTCTTTGTATAAATATCCATCAAAAAAAATTTTCATTTGAAAATGTTGACCAGACGATGTTGTATGTTTTTCAACAGTAATTATAATTTCAACCCATTTATTTATTTCTAAATCAGCTTCAATTTGCCAATAGAATGCAAATTGATCATCAACAAATTCTTTTAAACCAAACTCAAGATATGCTACATCTTTTAATTGATATAAATAAATCAACATTCCATCGCCATGAGATTCATGAGCACCTGTACTAAACAATAAATATTTATGTTCACGACTACGTGATTGAAATTCATTAAGACGTAATTGCAATTTTAACGACCATCCATGTGATGAACATATTGCCAATTGTCGAACACATTTGAATTCATAATTTGATACATGATAATAATCATTCGAATCCAGTGATAGTATGGATCGATTCAAGAGGTTTTTTCCGTCTAATTTGAAATAATTTTTATGATGAATGATCAAAAACTCAGTAGACAAAATGTTCATTAGCTTTCTAATTTGTTAAAGAAAACTGTAGAAATATGAAAACGTTGATTTTGGATCGAAATAGTATGTTCTTGTAAAATATAATTAGATCACCACATATTTTTCTAAGACTTCTAGTTAACGAGTTATGAAACTATATAAAACGATTTTTCAATACAGAGATCAATTCGATATTATTTTTTTAAACACGAAATTACCAATCAATTGTTCTAGAAAAAATTACTTAGCGATCATCGTATTCACTTTTCAATTCTATTTTTTATACAAATGAAGAATACTGCCTTAGTCAACTTATTCACTATAGTAGTGAATAATAGTCAGATTTCGTTTGAATAATTTTTGATTCGTTGAAGTTAAATGTGAACTTAATCTAAATGCTTCTGAAAATGTAGCTAAATAATTGTCTCTGAACCAGAAATGAAATAGAAATTTCGTATAACTTGATTGGGTTTCGACTTGTATTATGAACGACAAATTGTACAAAAGGTTTGATAAAACATACGAAAAAAAGTCTAAGTCGTGATTATTGAATCATGCTTTCAATTTTATACAGACTCTTTTCAAAATCTTCATGCTGAATGAACGTTTTGGTCTTTCATCATCTATTCAGTTGATAGTAACTTACCTTGAATTTGAGAAATGACAACATTATTGGTAATAAAAGCTATTACAATAAAAAGAATTGTAATTTCCATGATTCCAACACTAGAATTTTTCACTGTTAGCTTCGATCAATTCTTGTTTATCTCTCAAATATCACCTTTGATAGTTATTGATTGCAAACGAGAAAGATTCTCTCAATATATTTTTTTCTTTTATCAAAAACACCCTTGAGAATCATTTTAATTCCTTTTAATCATATTATGATCAATTTTTAAAAACTGAACTCCACGGAGAAATATCAATCTCTCGTCATATATTATTCTTGTGAGCGATATATGGCGTTGGCGTAAAAAAAAAGAATATTTTTCATTTTATGCTTTCGATTGAAAAGAATATTCATGAATGGGGAATTTTCTGTCAAAAAAAGAAATTAATTAACTATATCCTTTATGAGAAACTAGATCAGCGAATAATTTTGATCATAACATCAATTATATATATTGGAACGTAAAAGCAACTCTCATATTTATAGATAGAAATTCTCATTTGCGCAGCCGAAAAAAACTTCAACCTGCTGCAAATATTAATCTGAGTACAGGTTGATGCTATGTACTTTTTAGAACTGTTCGTATAATATATACTAAAGTATTTGTAGAGCCTTTCTTATTTAAGATCCAACGGTTAGATTAATATTATCGATGAAGAAAGAATATGTGATAATACCAAATGTCACACGTTTGATAGTACATCAATAGACTTCGTCTTGAATTTCATACGATAAATTAATTAAATAAAAAAATCAGATAATAAAGAAATATTAAAAATTTTATTTATCACAATGAATCTATTGTCAACTTACTATTTTAATTACCAGTTTATCTTGTTTTTTTTTTAAACAAAAGAGCACTACAACAATTATCACATATATAACCGTGTGTCATCTTTTTTTTTCTAATATTGTTACTAGTGGCGGAACCAGGATTTCAGTCTAGGGGGAGCTCAGCTCCATCTTAATTATTCGAAGTCTACTTACGATAGTAAAAGTTTTTTGTTTGAAAACTGTCATGTTTGAGTCAGTTTTCTGAGTTCTAATATCTTATTCAATCAGTTCTTGCTCATATATTTATAAGCATATACATTTATATCAACATATGGATGGGATTCTATATTTAAATATATATTTCATATCACTTAATCACATCAACAAAATTCTACTATTTTTATGTTGTATGGCAAATACATCAATAACATTTTCAAAATCTATGTCAAATTCTCTTTTAATAGCCAACCCAGGTCGAACATTACTGTGACCTGATACGATCGTAAACGGCCGTATACGGCAACGTTTACTACCGTTTTATAACGTTTCCGACCGTAAATCGCCGTAATTCGACGTTTTGGCATGCACCATATTACGGCCGTATTTCGCCGTGTCGTAAACGGTTACTAACGGCCATAATGTGGTCGGATATTGCAGTATTCGACTGCTTACGATCGTATATGGCACGATGCCAAACGACCGTAATACGGTGTATACCAAACGGCCGTAAATTGTGGCCAAACGGCCGTGTACGACACAAGTTGATCGGCCTGGGAATACACGAAGATCACTAAGTCTTTCATCACCCATCGCATTTCGAGCATAATTTTTAACCAATTTCATCCTGGAAAACGACCTTTTACATACGACGGACGACACAGGAAATGTGACAGCACCTTGGATCACAGTGATTTATAATTGGTATCGATAGAATTACTTGAAAAAATTGCTCATAAAACATGAAGAGAAAAAAGGTATTAAATTCTTCTTAGTCGATTAAAAATAGGCAAATGGCTATGCTAACTTCTAGTATTTGCATTGAAATTATTTAGTAAAGAAAGTTTGACAGCCTAAATAGCGACAAAATTTTCTAGAGGGACCTCAGCTCCCCCAAGCTCCCTCTCTGGCTCTACCACTAGCAATAGCACCTGTAAAAATGAACGAGCCAACACATCCAAAACCTAAATTTGAATCAAATTTTTTGAGAAATTATATTTCATATGAAAATCAAGCAACAACATTTAGTACATATTCTGTGCAATAGGTATCATCTGTGATATAAGAACAATTTTTTTTATTCGATTTTTAACTCATTTCAGTTATATTTATTTTACTGTGATTTACATTGAACTGCGCATAGGTTTGGTGTATAGATTCTTTTATTGCAATATACTTATATATACGTAATATATAGTATCTCATAGTTCCATTACAGGAAATCATGAATCTAAAAGTTCTGGTTGTGTTATGACATAGTAAGTTTAATTTCTTAATAATGAGACAACAATATTCATAAGAAAAATATTTAAAAAATGAATGCTGCATTGGATGTGATGATTCATGAGTCTTCTTTTCTGAATCAACCACATTCTTCGATTTATTGAACGAAAACATTTGTCATAAAATTTAATAATCAAGCTGTATAACATGTTTTCTATTTTTGGTTTCTTTGTTTCGATTGTAAATTAAACGAAATATAGAGAGTATTCAATTACTCAGGCAAATCAGTCTGCCAATCGAATCCAATTAGATTTCCGACAGTACTTCGATTGAATTTCATGTGAGTTTCTATAAAAACCGACAAATTTTTGTAGGGATCCGAGTTTCGGACCGATATTCAAATCTCTCTTATTGTGTTCGATCATATCCTATTGTCATATTTGACGGAACCCATCTCAAAACTCTAACTGGCCTCTAGTGTCGGTACCGGATACTAATTATTGCCCGCATAATAAAGTATGAAATTTCCTTCGAAGCCCTTAGTATAGTTCTTCAACTCGAAAACTCATCGAATTTTGTTGGCGCGTCAGATTGAACATCGAATTGTTTTATCCCGGACAAAGAAAAAAATTATACACACTAACTAAATCAAAATTTTACATTTCTCAAGAAAAATTCTCCTATTTCTTTTATTTTCTACATTACGATAAAATATTATTTTCTTCTATTTTTAAATAAGAGATTTTAGCTATGATTCGAGATTGTTCACGAAAATTCGTGCTAAAATATTTTGTTACCATCTATTTGCATATATCATCGAACTTCTTTATCAAGTGTAGTCAAATCTTATAAATTAATGTTGCGATCATCGAAAAGGAAAGAAATCTCTTGTAACTGGATCATATAAGAAGAGAGAAAAAAAATAGCAATAGAAAATTCTTACCTAAGAGATGAAATAAATATATGAAATGAAAAGGAAGACCTTGCATAACTAAGAGGTACAATTCACATCTTGAGGAGGACATTAATCACAAATAGACTTCATTGGAGACTATAGTAATCGATGGCATCAGTTCTTGCGCAATCTTTCAAAGTTTACAGACTAATTCAAATAGAAATAATTACCCACACCATTCATTTGTTTTTCTTTTATTCTACAGATTAGTATTACTGTTTAAAATTAAAAAAGAAATGGAAAACTAAAATTTTAATCTTGAAATTTTTAATAGCTATAAATTTACACAAAGTATGTCGGAATAAATTATCGACCCATGAAATTTTAAAACAATTGTTCTTCATTCATTTAGTACCAGAAGGAAAGATTGCATATCCAGAGAGGAGGGTTGTAACCTGTACTAATTAATTAATAATGAACAAAGACATATAACCAAAGATCAACAACAATTATTCTGGTCGCATGCAAACAATGTACATCCACATTTATTCGAAGCATGATTTAAACAATATTCAGAAAAATAATTTGTAATAGATGAAGAGAACGTTAGTATTTCTCATCATTCTTAGATCTGACTAGATGAGATAGAAATTTATAATTATCTCAAGTACAGTTTATTGGAAAACCTATATATCGATGATTAGTGACCTGCGTGACCATGAGTTTTGGCCACGGTCACGTAACGCTCACAGAAATTTTTCGAAAGCAGTTACGCCGATTACTTCTATCGAGCAATTATGGGTTCATGAAAACTGTTGATCGACAACGGGGTGCGGTTAGTGCGCAGCGGTTCAACCAGAGGATGGTGAATGGGGAATAGCTCATTTCATTTGAAGATTTTCTCTTTCTAAATTTTGTTAGTAAGTTTTTTGCCCATTGAAGCGTTACTTTTTCAGAAGACTATATTTTTGAATTAATTAGTAACTGTATTTTTTTTCTTTCTTCCGAATCACACATGCGCTCTGAATTTGTTCTTTTTGTGACGAATTCATGGGAGAAAACAGGGTATCAACATGGCAGTGCATTTGTTTCTTTCATATTTTGTTATGATACTGGGTTATTCGTGCTTTTTGGGTTAAAAAAGTTTTGATCTATCAATGAAAACCTTGCCCATTTTGCCCATCATTTTCGGCACAAGAGAAGTATACCCATCGGCCTAAAAATCATAGTTAGGACGCTGGTAGTGCGAGAAACGTCCCTCTGCTCTTTCTCAGAGCTTTCACCAAATCTCGCTCCCCGCTTGGTGACCATGCTTTTTTTCATGTCACGTTCACACGTGACCATGACCATTTTGCAGGTCTCTAGCGATGATATATGTCTAAAATTTGATTTGTATCTTTTTCCCCCAATAATGCATACTCAAATTAGGAAATTTGCAGCGGAAAGGACAAGTTTTATTGCAATAATTAAGTTGGACGCTCGCGTTGATTTTCATCATATTGATTTAGATTTTTCTGCATTCAATAGAAATTCAAACAATATTCTATATCATACTAGCAATTTATTTATTAATATAGATGAACGAATTGGTCATATGTTCGTAAAATTGAAACACTAGATAATTAATATGAATGGTTTAACTGGCCTACATAATGAACAGCTGCAACAAATAAAATGTGTTCAGTGGGTTTCAATGAAGTATGCGTATTAGTTACAAATACAACAAACTGATTCATTTTAACATGATTTTATCAGCCAATCTATATCTCCAATATGTTCAGTATCAGTAGACATAATACAAGTGTTAGTAAATCATGATACAAAATGAATGATAAAACATTATTATGTATGTTCTTAACAGTAGTATGGGAAAAGTTTGTAATTGACTTACCAGTATAGGAGTAAATTGATTTGTTCCAAATGAAAATATGAAAGTTAGACTTAAAAATGAATTTATAATGTGAAAAATCAACTGATTCCTGTTTCCTTCAACAACAATGTTCAGCCTCATCCACTAAATTAATAATTCATACAACAAATGATTTACGAACTCTCTCCCTCTACTTGCCCCTATCTTCACACCCGATGCTACGGTAAAAAACAAAAAGCATTGATATTGATTAATACGTTTCTCTTGTCTCAGTGTTGCCATCTAAATTCGAATTTAGTTTCCTATTTGCAATTGTAAAACGAATGATTCTTCTTTCCTACCCTTTTTCGTATTGTAAATTTTTCAAACAGTTGTGTTCTTGTTCTTTCTTTCTTTCTTTCTTTACTCAAATAAATATGCTTGTCTTCAATGTAGCAGGCTTAGATGACAGGCGTGGGTGTATATGATTTAGAATAGAAGATTCGTACATACTCATGCTCAGCACTCTCATCCTCTAAATTTACTCATAGAATTTCATGAAATTGGATACTGAAATATGAATGATGCAATCGTTCAAAAAGAAAAATGCATCAAATTACAAAATTTGTTTCTATTCATACAGCGGAATGATTCTCCTGGATACATCTATCTTCATTCTGCCCAAAAGTATTTCTTCATAAATTGTTGAAAACGAGTGAGAAAAAGCTTTTACTAATATTAAATTGTTGTTTTAGTTAATATTAAAACATGTCTTTAGATCTTTTCATATATTTGCCTTGCTGATATGAGTCAAACAATACCTGACGTCATTGAGCACGTCAACTGATAACGTATAAATTGTTGCTTGACGTATATTACTTTTTCAATATTTAAAAAAATAGCAAGTCACCAACAAAGCATCAACTCGTATTAAACAGCTTCATATATTGTACTCGATGGCTCAACATAAAATAAAAGATCCCAAGGCCATAGCCTGTATCACCATTGCTTTGCTTGGATTAAGCGCTGCTATTGTTTTCTTTACAATAGGTGGCGTCTTTTTTGCCAAAGAAAATCCCAAGTTGTTGAATTATGCCAACGATATGTGTACAGTTCAATCAAGTTCAGTGAGAAGCTATCAATGCAGAACACGTTATAGTCATTACACTTGTTATGGTGCCATATGGAATGTGTATCATGGAGAAAATAATACTATAAATGCTATAGTAGAGGAAGACCAGCGATCGAGATCTTATTCAACTGCGCTGAAAAGAACACAAGGCTATAGGGTAAAAAATTGAAAATAGAATTTCTTTAAAAATCGACTATGAATAAGACCATCATTACAGATATTTTCACACAAGTGCCACAGCTTTTTATCTAAAATTTAGTGCATAGTATCAAAATAAATACTTGATAGAGATTTCATATTTTGAAAAATCCTATTTTTAAACATTTCCATCAACTATTTCCAGTGAAAACTCTTAAAAAATAGTAGCTTCTGTAAAGTATTTCAGAATTTTAACACGACTCATTCGAGAAACAAAATACTTTCAATGCATTGTCGTATTGTAGAATATGGTGACAACTAGTCTTGTTTTTAAAATTCAACAGTTGAAGATTTAGAATATAAAAATTCTGAAACTCCTCTGAAACGCCACTGTCGCCACTGTATGAAAAGTGTTAAAGTAAAAGGGATGCTAATACCAAAATTGGAAGCGTAATGCTGCTAAACAATTGGGTTCTACTCGTGTCTCTGAAAATCAGATTATATTAAAAATTTATTTTCTCCATTGAATCTCAATGCGAGAACTGATTCTAACTTATAGGATATTTAGTAGACAATGATGCAATATCTAAAAATAGAAAACAGATATGAATATTAGAACTGAAAATTAGAAAAGGGTGTCCGTTGTAAAAACATATACGTATGTATGAATGTTTATCAGCTAAAGTTATTTTTATTGTCTATACTTTTATAAAAAACCTATTCCAATATTAAAAACATCTTTCAGAATATATCGAATATAAGATTGCTATAGAAGTAACAAAAATCAAATGAAAAAATCTTCTACGATCTAATTTTTTTTAAATGAGCAGCGTAATATAAAACTGTCTCATTCGCATACACGAAGTACAGAAATTGGTATATGATGGTGTCTCTAAAGCAAAGGAAAGTAGCAAAGATTTTTTTCTGATACTGTATATACGTATGTGACCAAGTTGCATCAGTAGATTTATTGGGTATATGTTTCCAAATACATGAACTAATCACCATGAATGTTCTTAGTCAAATATGTTCAAAAAACTCTTGGTACATAACACGATATGGCATGCAGAAAAAAAGAAAGAAACACTGAAATTCTGGTATAAAAGGATTAAAACAAATGTCACAGCGGCAGTTATCTTGTTAAAATATACCCTTAAATAGGGTTGCCCACTAGACGTCACTGTCGGTGACAAAAGTGACACTTTTCCCGATGTTGTCACTGACGTCGCTAGGGGTGGTATTTTAACTTTACAATACTTTAAGAAAGTATTAAAATTTAAAGTAAAGCTAAAGTACCACCCCGATCCGTAAACAATCATATTCATTGATAAAGATTAGATATAAAATGTAATCAAACGTTGTTTTCTACTCAAAAAGAATGTGTTGCTATTCAAAAACAATAAACTAAACATGCTGTGTCTGCGTTAATTTGATCAGAATTATAAGAATAGATGGCATTTATTGTTTTATAGAATTGATAATTCTTTTTTTTAGATTGGTACATCATATTCATGTTGGTATGATACTAGAAGACCATCGGTTGCTCAATGGAACAAGCCAAGTACAGTTGCAGCTATTATTCTCCTTTGTTGTGGCGGAGTATCAGTTTTACTTACTGGCCTCTTTACATTTCTTTCCGTGAAACTTGTTAAACAGGAAATATTGCAACAAGCACATGATAACATGGATTCATATTCTAGTTCAAACATTTTTATTAAACAATAAAGCCAAATAAAACTAAGTTACTCGATCGAATCTTCTTGTAAACTATATTGCTAATCAGACATATCAGCAATGTGCCTGAAATAATATATTTTTCAAACTGTTGTAATAAAGTAACATTGTTTTTTTTAAATTGTTTTTCAAATTTAAATACACACATAGAATCATTTCAAAAAGATCTACGAATAATCTTATCTATGCTTATTAAATCGTCATGTTGATCGATGGAAATATCTATTATATTGAGTCATACTCTAGTTATTACAATATATTTTAGTTGTGAATAATGAGAACCTCAGTAATTATAGAAACAGAAAACATCGTTTTCTCGAGAATCATGTCATATAGATATTTGGGGATAGTGGAAAATGTTAGGCAATCGAACGTGCTGATGGATATTGATTTCTACGAATACAAAAGATTGTGTGATAATCAAGAGTAGCTGCCTAATTTGAGATAGAATATAAACGGATATCTGAAAAATAAACACTACTAGCTTAATCTAGGAATAGAACCAGTGTTAGATTAATTTTCGTATAAATGAACTACCCCACAGTTAGACACATACTCCTATCCTCCCTATGAGAGAGAACTGCTCCCCATCAATTCATTCTCGCTCTTTCTCTTCATCGTATACATGAATTAGATTCCTAGAGTTCACCAGTTATATTTGAATTATAGCTAGACACCTCATACTATTGATGATAGAAACAGCTTGCGTTTTTTTTCAATGCCTTTCCAATAAATAAGATCTAGGAAAAGCTCAGCTTGTTTTCTAAATAAATGAATATTTTGAAACAAAAATGATTAGTTGGACATTTGCTACTAGTGTTAGATCAAATCTTGACAATATAAACTTTGAAAACGACATAGAAAATAAAGACTTGAATCGAATACAGTACCATGAATTTAATCCTTTTCTTTATCCTAATTTCTCGTATATTTCTGCTTTTGATACAATATATTTGTCCGCTTAAGAACAACTTCTATTATAGCAGTAATAATTATAAGCGATATTAAATATAGAACCCTTTTTGCGTATACAAAATAAAAACGACCGAAGAGCGCCAAAAAGTAAATAGGTATTTAATGCGGTGCGAAGCACAGCATTCATGTAGTGCGTCGCGAGTTTTTTTAATGCGATGCGAAGCAGAAGCATTTATGTAGTCCGTCGCGAGTTTTTTTTTTTTTTTTAATGCGATGCGAAGCATAGAATTNCAATCGAAATCGATCCTTAAGAATGTATCGCTAAGTAAGAATAGAGTTTTCTGAGTGATGAATTTCATCATGTCGACATAAAAAGTATTCAAGATTTCTCTGAATTGCAGATTTTTCCTGGATAGAGATTCCTGCTTCGCATCGCATTTCGTATTCGAGTGAAACTTGAATACCATCTAGTTTTTTTTGTTTCTTTCTAACTTGAGTACGCATAAAAGTTCTAATAAAGTAGCGCGATGATCTAGAGAACCGTAAGTGCTAGAAAATCCATTCAAACTAGAAATAAAACTATGGAGGTCGAACTTGTTACATCTTTTTTCCAATTTTCAATACTAAGTTTCGTTCGCCTAAAAATACGATTCGAAAATGCAGGTTTTGAAAGGTTTTATTGTTTGATAGTTTCACGCTAATTAAAATGACGTCATCAATAGTTGTTAACCAATAGTCTATTGCTTTACATCTGATTCAAGATAATGATTCATGAAAATAATAATCAATTTTTCAATGAAAATAATCGTTAGAAAACTGATTGTTACATTTTCAGAGAGATTTCCTAGTGACGAATTTCAAAATGGTCGATTTAAGAATAGTGAATGCGAAATTTTTATTCAAAATTCGTATACGGAAATTTAAAAAAAATAATCGATTCTAATGAATCTTAAAGTGGATCAAGTATTTTTAAAAATCTTATTCTCACTACTTTCGAATATTCGGCTCGTGTGCTTCGCACCGCATTTCGTAGTCGAGTGAAACTCGAATACCATCTAGTATTTTCTAAGTATATCAGTATCTCTTTCTCTGGCAATTCAACTTCATTTACATGGGTGAAGTGAGTATGATACGATAACAAAAGTTATAAAATAACTTGTGGTTTTCATTTATTTTATTCTTTAATTAGACAATATTTCATTCATATAGAAATCAAGTTTATGCAGATTCAGCTCGGCAACATAATATCAATAATATTTTTAATGATTTAGAATTTCCAAACAATAAATCTTTATTATATTATTCACCTGGTTTTAATTGAGCACTCAGTAATGTAGTATGGAAATGACCTTATGTTAGTATATATATATGTACATATCTTCTTAAGCTTAACATCTGCTATTTAATGATTAGGAACTTTGTTCAAGCCCTCAATTTATTGTTAAAGAAGCCAACAGACCTGTATTTTTGTTGAATTTTGGCACACTTTATCAGTTGCGGTTGTGTTTGAGCAAAAGAAAGAAATCTTCACATGTCATAGTACTATTTAAATCTGATTTTCAATTCAGCAGCTATCGTTTCACTCACCGTCAAATTGCGACTGGCTGTCCATGCGCTTTTTCTTTGACTAAAAACGCCTTCACCAAATACATTCGAGCAAGGAATTGAGTACGCATAAGAAATAATTTTGTACATTTCAATACACATTGGTTTCGACTTTACAAGAAGAAAAGCCCAAAATTGATCAGGCGGAAATTCCACTTCTCTTTCATGATTTTCGGTCGTCGATTTTTGAATGAGATTTTCTTCATCATGAAACTAGTTGCATATGTCATTGTAGAATTTTTCATAAGCATGACCATTAGCAGCCAACCAATATAACTGATGCTTCACATCTTTATCAATAGTAAATGTCGGATAAAGCGACAAAAATTTTCTTAGTTTCAACTAAAATATGGACGATAGTAGTCGTAACATTGAAAAATGCAGATGAGGTACAAAATGCGTACCTCAGCGGTACCAGTTTTTTTAGGTACAAAAGACTCAAATGGGGTACGGCTGGCAACCCTGACCAAAATCAAAATGACCACTGTATATTTTTACATCAAATTTCAATATTTGGAAGAAAAGTGATAGCCTAATAACGAATTGCCACTGGCGGATCTACCATTACAACTAACCGGTGATGGCCACAACCTTCATGAAATTTTTTCGACTTTTTCCAGCAAGAATGACACAGAAAAGAGCGGTATTGCCTCAAATTGGCTTCAAAAACAGTTTTTGACCGGGTGGACCACCCTCCTTACCGATTTTCTGGATCCGCCACTGTGAATTGGGTCGTTTTCCAGTTTGTATGGCTTAACATTAGTCTTTTAAAACAGGACAAAAGAGAACAACAAAACTATAAGTGTAAGTGCGCAATTTTATATAACCATATTTGTTCTTTTTCTTTTTTCTTTAGACTTTTCTTATAATATAGTAGCGCGAAACAAGAGACAAGACGGTAAACTGGACGAGATAGATTATAGTTCAATCGTTTTCTCTCGTGTCAGCATTTTGAGAGAAGATAGAAGAAAAGAGCAAGTATACATATAGATACGTATGTACAATTGTGCATTATTCATTTTTTTTGTTCTGTTTTCTTATATTAATTCTTCATAAGAACCAGTAAAAGGTACATATGCGATTCAAACGAAAGAAAAAAGACAGTAGCTAGTTTATTCAAACGTAAATAATTGTGAAAAAGTAAAATTTGAATGGGCAAAAATTAAATAATGAAAATTACAATGGACAAGGCTCAAAATGAAATGGGCAATTATCCATTTCCATTTGCCTCCCCCTGGTTACGCCGCTGATATAGAACGAAGCTATGCGTGTATTTTGGTGTGCTCACAGTTGGATACAATTTGAATATTTCGATCGAATACATCAATCGAATACTTCAATCGAATGCTTTAATAGTTTAATATTCAGCGCTATGACTACGAGAAAAGATTGCAAAAAGTGAAATGAAATACGATAAACAAAACATATGAGAGAAAGAAACAACGAAATCATTAAAAAGAAACCTAATTCAAGCATTCATTTTCATCTCAGCGGTTTATAAGACAATCGATCAAGCCGTCCCTAATCCACTCTCCCCCGACGACTCCCTGGTGATTTCTCTGGGGAGAATTGGTGAAATTTTTTAAAATAAGAAAAAATTTAATTTTTTTAAATTTTAAAAAAATTAGAAGAATTTATTAGTAATTAGATATTTCATCAATTGTGGCCAGAAAACTCCCCGTGGAGTCCCCAGGGGGTCCCCGAAAAAGAACGAAATCCATAGGAACTCCCTGTCGTGAGTCTCCGGGGATTCTTCTAGGGAGAGTTGACTAGGGGTTGAAAAGTGTTCTCTACTCTTTAATAACATGAATGATATACGTATATATATATAATGTAGAAGGGAATAAAAAGCATCAAATTATGATGGAGTAAGAAAAAGCGTCAGATCATACAATGGAATAAAGTTCTATTGAAAACTATAAAATCATCTCATCGGTAAGGAGTAGAAAACAGCAGTGGCAAAATTCTCACCTAGCAGAATTCAAGAAGTCTGCTGTCCAATACAAGCAAAGTTCTAGCAGAATTCTGTATTCCTTATGATTAGTTGACAAGCAAAGTTCTAGTAAAATTCTGCGTTGAATACAGAATTCTTACATTTTGGCTGTGAGAATTCTGTCACCGCTCGTAGAAAAAGGTCGATGGCATCCTTTTAAGGTACGTGCAAGATACTCATTTGATTAGAATTGTAAGTACATAAATAATGTATCGATTAGAAAAGTAAACAGGTAACATGACTCAGGTTTCAATATGTAAATAAGTCTGATGATGTTTTTTAAAATGACATTTAAAGATTACCTTTCCCACTAATCAAAATAAACGATTTTTCTTATGAAGAATTTTAAGTTGCGGTATTAGAATAATATTTATTGGTATTAATAATTCTATCATGTGTTATTAGAAGAAGTTCAAAGACATAATACCATATGATTCATCTGTTGACTAATTCAGGTACGTATATCGAATACTCTCTGGGTTGTATGCTCGGACATTCATTCAAATTCTAACAGCCACTTTTCATTGTTTTTCTTTTTTCAAATATCTACAGAATAATCTTTTTTTACGATTGTGCATTTAGTATTTGCATAGTAACCTTGAATTTAAATGAATTTTGAGAAAGACTGTTCGCTAGATACCATAAAAGCTAGCACAGTGAAAGATCAGAGGTTGACTAATATGATTGCAATATTTGTTTAAATACTTTAGAGGAGAATGTATTAGGTAAGTTACAATCGTATGTCTGCGGTAGCTGATTATAAGTGAAAGTTATCGTAATTAACATATGTAGGAATTTTCTTTAACCTATTGTACTTTTTCATTCTAGTTACTTTTATACATCTCAATGTTTCATAATGTGTTATTTATCTTAATAAGAATTTATCGAAATATGATATAAAGATTCTTATACAACAGATGTATAGCAGAATTTATGAACAATATTGAAACTTCGACGTATCAATATAGATATCTAGTGATTTCAGTACATCTAAAAAGAATTCTCATCAGCTAGAAGCACTGATTTCGAGTATTTTCTAATATTTTTCTCTTGAAATAAATTTTATTATATGTGATAATCTGTTGAGGAATAGTGATGTTAACTCATGGCTACCTGGCATAATATACGTCATGTTTCTTTTATAGTTATATCCTCTATATGGCATACCTTTCAGTCTGCCTCGTTCTTAATGTGTTTCCTTGTTTTAACTATCTTTTGCTTCATTGAAAACTGATGTTGAATATTCTTGATATCTCCCTTTTTTCAATATCATGCTTGATATACTTTAGAACACTATCGGAAAAGAAATAAGAATAAATTGAACTTTCTCAACATCAGATATAAGTATCTTTGATTTTAGAAATTAAAATTATCATTATCAGTGATTTATCATCAATTCACAATTAGAACTGATAATGTAGCTGACAGTCAATCATTTTCAAGATCTCCAATATGATAATCAATACTATGCCTAAATTAATCGGTAAGAGTATTTCTTATGAAGTCGTGATATTAAATACAGATCAAGAGTTTTTTTAAAGTAATTAGACAATAAAATGTATACCAATGAGTTTATAAGTAGCAATAGTGGCAATTATTTATCATTTTACACAAGAAAAAATATAACTATTTGTGTTGAAAAGAAAACAGATTACGCTTCCTATATAATATATAAAAACTAATTAGTTAAGAAGTCTACGAAAAAATAAATAATAAAATAGATAGTGTTCAAGCTGGATGAAGTAAAATTTTACATTTGATCAAATATCATTTGAAATTAGCCTGAAACTTTTAAGAACAACACACTATTATTCTCAAAAACAAAAAGCATCTATGAAAAAACTGAAATAGAAAACACAAAATTCTACGTATTAATAGGCATTCTAAATTTACTCATTGAGCTTTTGTTTTGCCATTCATTTGTTTCGCATGACAAGTGCTACTCTTAAAGACCATATCATGAAACAAACAGTATTGTTGATAAAGTCTAGAAAGCGTATTGCGCTGCAATTATTCCTAATTATTTTTATTTTCTTAAGAAATCTTTTGAATTAGAAAATACTTAAATATGTGTTAAAACTAGAATCTGACATATTATTTATTTTTTAGACAAATGTCGAATGTACTTATCAATGCAACATTGCACACGTCATCGTACATTATACTTTCGTCTATTGATATCTCTATTTTTATCAACAAATGCTTATCTTTTCTTATTTCCTATAACAAATGAATATCGACCTTTTCATTTATCCTTCAAAAAGACAAACAGTGTAGCTGATCGAATAGTTTTGCTTGTTCGTACATCGCACAATTGTGAATCACGGTTAAATTACCTTCTTCAAAGTTGGATATCAACAGATGTATTAGAACAGTCAAATTTATATTTAATTACAGACCGTTTATCAAATTCTGCAAATCTAACACTATTTTCGTCTTTTCAAAATGTAATTCAAACAGGTTGCCCTGAAACACATGATCGTAATGATCTATGTTGTAAAACAGCACACGAATTTAACTTATTCTACAATTTAATTCTCACAAAACCAAATTTAGAATGGCTATGCCGTTTTGATGATGATCATTATGTTAATATTAAGAATTTATATAAATATTTGTCTCAAATAAATGCGTCAAAATCATATTATATGGGCCGGACAAGTATCAGCGGTCGTTTAAGAGCCAGTAACAGTAATCGATCATATTCATTTGCAACTTATGGTGCTGGTGTTTGCTTTTCTCATGCGCTACTTAAACAGCTGCGTCCTCATGTTCATATTAAAAATTTACCTGTTGATTGTTTAAAACATAGGCTATCTGATGACGCTTATATCGGTTATTTAATTGAATGTATTCTGAATGTATCACTAACGGCAAGAAATGACTTATTTCATTCACATCTGGAAAAACTTGAAACTTCATTTCGATACTTCAATTTAAATCATTTATCCGATTCAATTACATTTGGTTTTGCATGGGATCGATATAAATTAGATTGGTTACCAATAATTCATGAATTGATTCAGTTAACTAATCGCGGTCAAATAAAAACAGCAAGCCGTTTATGGTTATTTTTAAGGAATTATGAAAAAGAACATCCCGAAAATTTAAAAGATAAATATGATGAATCATGTATATCACATCAACGATTACGGAATCAATCCATTGAAGTGCATACAAGTAAGACTAGAAAATCTATTGAAACTCTAAAACAACACAATGAAACAGGCTAAAGTAATTTTTTATTTTGATGTAAAATCATTGTATCTATGGTTTTGTTTCAGTAATTTAATTTTTGAATAAATAATAAACAACGACAGTAAGCATGAAATCACTTGAATTCAATTCTTATGCAACAAAAAAGAGTACTGCGTACATATCGAGATTTTTTTGTACGAGTAACCGATCAAAATCGATCTCTTAGGCAATAATTGCTTTTAGGTTGAAAAGTTCATATTTATAGGATAGAAGTTAGTAAGAAAAAAAAATTATGATCGGAAGTTCACACTTTATTAAATGACTTTTATACTTAGGTAAGACGTTACTGTGTATGTTTTTGTTGGTTGCTAACTATTGTAAAATAGTTCTTTGTCTTTCTTATTTTTGTTTTGAACGACAAATGAAAGATTCAATATGTAAAATTAATTGAATATATTATATGACAAACTCATCAATCAACGACTATTTGTTATCGACAATCCTGTGAACGATTTTTGATCTTAATACCAATTAGGTTTCCAGATTTATAAAGAATATTGTAGATGATAAGCTCTAGTTTTATTGAATGATCAAAGTAACATTTTTCTTCAGTAAGATAATTGAAAAATAGGCTAGATATAATTTTGCAAATGTAGAAGTTTTTTTTTATCAACATTCATGAATGCTGCAAATGTCGTTTATTCTATTATTTGTTATGTTCAATGTAAGAAAATCTTAATACTATTTTGTGCATGATTTTTGTTTTTGCTAACATTTGATTTTCCATACTACGATACGAATATGTAACACCAGTTCTCAATTACGCCTTTTTTTCTATAAATGAGAAGAAAAGGTTGAAAACAAATTATTTACATTGTGTTCATTTTGCCTTATTCATTATATCTATTGTATTATATTTCTTAAACTACTTTGGCCTCTTTTGAATAAAAGTTTACGACTATTGAATGATAATGGATTAATAAACAAGTAATAGCTGATCTTCTTATGTTGATACTGTTACAAAAAAAATAATTGTAAAAGAAATAGCATATGATGTTATTTTCTTCTGATTGCATTAGTAAGTTAGTTTTTATATTAACTTTCTAGTTGGCATGTTGTGTATCGTATCAATCAGTACAGATCAGTTATTTTGCATAAATAGTTTTTTTTATTCCGCTCCATTTATATTTAAAGAAGACAAATCTGCTATTTGATCTTTACCACAAAAGATCGACAAAGAATGTATATAAGTTATTATTTCCAATATTTATCATTGTTCTGTTTCTTGAAAAACCAGCAAAAAAAGACATGTTGGAAGTGATTAAAATACTATTTACATCAATTTATGACTTTTTAAGGAAATCAAGGAGAATGTAAAAGATAAATCAATGAATTTCCTAGAATCAACTCGACAACCAACATGTTATATCTGAAGGCTTTTCCTTTCTACTTCAGAGAAGAATTAGAAAAAATATCGATCTACTTTTCTTATCTTATGTGCATGCGTACGACCTTTTGATAATCGTGACGTATTCATGATTATTCGCCTAAGGAAGTGCCAACACTTTCGAAAAACATAAAAATATGCATATATTACTTCGGTAAGCTACGTAGAGTTTTTTTCTTCACTTAAGTATACATATCGTTTTAGTTAATATTCTATTTTATCAAATTATTTCTGAAAGTGCCGAATATTGATATGCCAATTAATTTCTGATTATAGATATTCAAGTATAAAACTAGAAAAACAAACTAAATCAATGCCTATCTAGATGAGCGTCAATACACGTTTGAAACATATACATCATCGTCTGGTCTTCGTTTTAGTTTTTATGAAAAATATATGAGATAGAAGAGAAAGCAGAGAAAGCAACTCTACACATGTCGCAGTTATGTGTTTTTATAAACACATCTTTTTTAATTTCAGCGAAGAATATCATTATATTTCAGTATTATTTCTGTCATTATTACTTTCAGGTTTTGAAAAGGCAAACAAGTTCTTGTCATGTGCTTATGCTATACAATCAGCATGTATCGCGTCTCAAAACGCATTTCTTCATAGCTTATCTTGTTCCATCAGATCACACTGTTTTGTCACTCCCATATAATGTTTGTATTGATAATTTGTAGCGTCTTTTTAGGACAAAGAAAGAGAACATTGAATACCATAGAACAATACACACACACATTGGAGATGTTCAATTTGTCAGCAGGCGATATTTAAGTGCTAGCTTGGCACGATTCATTCTCATGGGATTTTTCTTCACTGCTATTCCAACCGTTGTTAATAATTGTTTTATCTCATCCTTTTTCTTTTGATTTTCTAATCAGACGCAGAAGACAGTCTGTAGTGACGTCGAAGCAAACCTCTTTTTTTTTATTGCTGAGCACTTTTATCATTTATTTGTGTTCGATGTCACCAATTTGATGAGATTAAAACGTAACGGTGTGAGAGAGAGAGAGATAAAGAGCAAAAGAAGAGTAAAAATAATGTTGCTTCCGAGAACATGACAGGTGGGATTGACAACCAGGCTGTGTTTCCTTTTTTTCTGGATTATCACTTGAACAACCGCAAGCAATGAAGAATGGCATGTCTACTTCTGACATCGTTCATTGATGCACATACATCTTGAATATCACCCGACGACAATCAATTGAATGAGAGAGTGTGATAAAGAAAGATGAGAAGGATTCATTTTTCTTTTGTCTTTGTTTTATTTCAATATAGTTCTATTCGATGCAAAAGGAAGATACGAAGCGGAATTATGTGATTCTTGAAATGAAATTACGAGTTGGTTAAGAGATACTTCTGCTTCGTTTCTATCGTTGACGAATCGTCGAGAAAGGATACATGCTCGCTCGGTCTTATCAACAACAGCGTGAATGAGCAAATCGTGTGACATTCACTCATCTATCTCTATCAATACCCTAGAGTGAAAGAGAAAGAGAGATAAAAAAAAGAGTGAGAGCGTTGATTTTGCAGAGTGAAGATACAGAGTGTCATAAAAAAGCTCTTGCGAAAGTTTCTTCGATAGTAATAGTGAAAACGGATCATGATTACATGTATCTATGTGTGCATGTTCGTTAGTAAGTGAAAAACAAATCGAAAGGAAGATCTATGCGTGACAATGCAATACAGTGCGAGAATCAACTTAAAAGAAAGTCTTGTATGCATAGCAATGATGAAACTTTTATTTTTTGCCGACATTGTACTTCAATGAAACGAAAATAGAATACTAATGAGCAATGAATCGTTGTAATTAATCTAACACAAGCAACAGTAACAACAACATGCAAATGTAAAAATTCACTGCTGCATAATCAGATGATAATATCCTTCTGTCATTTGATTGGATCGCATTGCCGACCTTCAGTCTTATGATATCGATCAGTATCGACTTCTGCTACTTCTCTATGTAGTCAAAACATCAAGCATTCTCATGCATAGAGAATAAAAACAGATTTATGTTCTCGAGCAATATTTGAGAGCGGTAGCAGTGGCGATAGCGATGGCGAGTCTAATTCGATTTAGAAAATGCGCCGACGCATGTGTGTATGTGTGTTCTCGTTTGCTCTCGCCTCTAATTCGTCGTGCTGAGAGGGTGAATCTCATCTTTTCGCTTAGAAAACAACGGCGACTCCTAATCTTTTTCTCGAATGATGACGACCGAACGAGAAAGACAAGTAGCTCAGCGAGTGAGAGGAAGAGAGCTGGTGTAATTGTTTAAGTTCATCTACTGAATTAGATTTTTGATAAAAAAAAAAGGAGAAGAAAAAGAAGCCGAAGCACAGAATGGCTACACATACATACTGAGGGTAAGAGAGAAAAACACGCACATAACTTTTTCAGCAGCCAGATGAGAAAAGAGGTCGACTCTCCATTCTTGTTCGTTGTTGTTGGTCTCTACTCGAGCTTTACTACACGCGCTCGACAACAATAAGTCTATACCAATGATCAAGTGAGCGACGTCATCATTATCGTCATTCTGTTTTTCATCCTATTAAACGATTAAATCGCACAATTATCATCATTATCATCATCATTATCATTATTATCATCGTCGTCATCATCATCATCATCATCATCATCATCATCATCATCATCATCATCATCATCATCATCATCAGCATTATCATCATCATTATCAGTTTAGAAAATATACAATTCAATACAGAATATACAATGTGAGTTACAGTTAGCTAGTCAGACACCTCGTCGTTTTTCTGATTTGAAGATTGATGCATTCTGTCTCTTTCTTCGGATAGATCAATCTATTATAGATTCTCTGGAGACATGATCTCCAATAGTGATTCTTAGAATCTCTAAGTGATGTCACATGACTATCGCGCACGTCTTATTTGTTTCTGATCCGTTTGTTTGATTATAAATTTGGCATCAGAACGAAGAATATCAATGATAAAGGCCGGCCATATTTCTCTATAATGATTTGCCTGGCCAAAATAGACAAGAAAGGAACAAGAAAAAAAGATATAAACGCGACATTCGCCCGGAAAATCAATTACTAACTCTGGCAGACTGCACGCAGTGTTGGCTGAAAAAAGGAGAATGGTGATCGTGTCATTTTTTTACTGTTGTTATTGTTGCTGTTTTCATCAATTTGAACAAGAATCGAGATTAGATACTTCAGGAAAGAAAAAGAATAGATTGAACAACAAAAAACAATGAACTTAAGATGCGAAAAAAGATCTTTAAAAGACTTGGAGAACAAATAACAGGAAATTATTACATATCGTATACGATTAAACGGAAAGAGAAGCATATTGAATGATGTACTTTTATGTTGTATGAGCTAAGAAAGAGTCGATAAGAAGAAGGTTTTGACATGTATGAAAGGAAAAATATTTTCAATTTGCTTACAAAAATTACTATCATTTATTTCATAATAAAAATAAAAATCTTTAATCGAAATGCAGATAAATTTGGTTTTACCTTTTCCTTATATCTCCATCTCGGTTACTCTCCGTCTTCTTTTTTGTTGAATACACACATATATATATATATATGTATATATATATATATATCGACTCTTTTTCTCGTCGTCGCGCTCATTTGACTTCGTCGACAAATTGATTGCGATCGTTGCTGCGACTTCTCTCCATTTCGTTCTTTCTCTCTCTCCTCCTAGTTCTCACTTGCCATTACTAGCTGTTGTCAGTCGTTCTGTTCAGTCCCGCGTTATACCACACACTTTGGATAAAATTAAGTTTCGGAGTTACCCCTCCAACTAGACCACTTAGTTTTTCCGTAGTCTATAGCGCGACAACTAATGCTGACTGACACATACATTACTCGTCTACAAAGAAGATTCTTGGCGGCTATGCTACACTACGTGCTGTTCTTTCTTTTTCATTCTAAAGTTGATACATTAGTCTGTATCTTGTTTTTTTTCCTTCTCACTCTCAGTGAAAAATTCAGTTGGACTTCGTCTAGTAAGAAAGTAATCGTATGAATTCATTAGGTATTTGAATATTTATATTTATATGAGGTAAGTGAACAATAAAGAGAAATAAAATATGCTCTAGTTGCTATAAGTTTTGATTCATATGATCCGAAATAAACATTATTGAACAATCAATTAATGTGTGTTATTATGAAAGTATGCATACGAGTACGCGTAGATTATCAAGATTTGTAAAAATCAGTTATTTTCTTTTCTATTATTTTACATTTTTCTTCTTTCCTTTGTTAATTCGATATTCGCTATGACGCACACACTTTTGACAGATCATCAGAGATTTAAGAAGACAGAACATCACAATTAATTTTTCCCTATTTTACGCTTCTTTTTTCCACCTGTAACATTCCAATGAAACGTGAATGTGCAGCAAGTCTCATCATCGAGGCTTCTCTTAAATAATGCTACGACTACCTTCTATAGGTAGACTTGAAATTGAAAAGAAAATGACAAAACAACAAGCTGGTGTAGTAGAACAGAAGCGCTACACATCCAAGGCGTCTTAACTACACAGACGATGCAACGGTGCGCGAACAAATTAGCTAAAAGGAGAAAAGAGCAAAGGGAGAGAGAGAGAGAGAGAGAGAGAGAGCATGAGAAAATGCACAAAAAGCAAGAAAAAATGTAATTTCTCTATACAATATAGAAAGATATATATATTTCTCCTCCTCTTTCATTTTTACGATGTAGAGCGATGACACGAGACTACTGCTTTCTAATTTACACTACAAAGATATGTAAAGCGTGAAGACTAAATATATACCTTTAGAACATCTTGCTTCAATTTTTATAGCATTTATCGTCTGTTTAGAAATATACCAAGACTCCATAATGTGCAAATGCAATCAATAAAAAGAATAAGAAAAAAAAAGAAATCTGATTGAATTGCACATATATGCATAACTACTCATTTTTAATTAGCTTTAGTCAACAGATTAGTGTCGAACACCAAGATTTTCTCTGTCTTTATTATACTTTCTCTTCCCTTCGCTCTCTCTCTCTCTCTCTTTATGTCGTTTTCATTTTTCTTCCTATTCAGCAAAAAACAATTATTCAAAGTTTTCTGTAAATAATCAGGAATGCAACTTCACAGTTTTCAAAAAGGAACTGAAATATTCAAATAAAACCTCTACCTCCGATTTATTATCGATTTATTGTCATTGTCGTCGGTGTATGTTATTCGAGTCTAGAGCAAAAACATCAGTATTATAAGTGAAAGAAATTGCAATTTATAGATTCATTAGATTGAAAATTTTATATTAGAAAAATAGAGAAGAGATCAATAATATGTCCGGAAGTAGTATAGAGCTATGCAAAAAAAAACAATATTAGAAATGTGTTCATTGGAAAATATTATATTTTCCACGATAACTTGACCTGCTTCATCTGTCTGAAGTATTTTTCTGATATAAAGATTAAAAGCCACAGTAGGGGTTTCTTTTTTTCGATCTCCTATCTATTCTCATAAGATTACTTATGTACATTCTCAATTCTTATGTTTTCATTATTTTCCATCATAGTCGACGACAAAATGTCACCGTCGTCATCAACTCATCAAAGACAACAAGGTGACTTAGAATGGTCATGATCTCCGAGTCTGTGTTGATTTTATTACTATCAAAATTCACATGTCGTCCATTGTCAATCTAACCAATACGATTAACATTGATCATCGCGCCGCACCTTTGCATGCGCTGTTGAACAACGCTAGTTCATCAAATTTTATTCGACCTATATCTTCATTATCTTATAATACAAACTGGAGCATATACCATATACCTGGTCCACCATCATCATCATTTCTAACATATTCTTTGTCGTCATCTTCTTCATTAACGACGACACTTGTTGCAACAGAAAATAGATATTATCCATTTTGGTTATTAGTCATTGTAGCTATATTTGGTAGTGTAACATCGGTATTAACAGTTTTGGGAAATATTCTTGTTATGCTCGCCTTTTTTCTCGATCGACAAATTCGACAGCCAACTAATTATTTTATACTTTCATTATCTGTTAGTGACTTTCTTATTGGACTTTTATCTATGCCTCTACTTACAATATATATCTATGCTAAAGACTGGCCATTGAATGCCATTATATGTGACATATGGCTTTCGCTGGATTATACTGTTTGTCTAACATCAATTTATACGGTGCTGTTCATTACAATTGATCGTTTTTGTTCGGTTAAAATGCCAGCAAAATATAGAAAATGGCGTACACGTAGAAAAATTAATATTATGATTGCTGTGACATGGGCAGGTAAGAAAGAAAAACAATATGCATTAATGTCTTTTTTTCTTCTATTTATTGAATTAATTGATTTCATTTTTTTTAGTTCCTACTCTCATCTTTTTTACATCCACAATGGTTTATCCGCGAGTGAGAGGTATTTCAAATATGCAAAATGGTGTTTGTATGTATACAATTTTTTTTAACAATGCTACTATTTAATAAAATTTCTTTTGAAGGCGATGTACAATGGAATAAAAATCATGTTTTTAATTTGTGTCTAACTATTGGATATTTTTGGACTACATTATTTGTCATGATAATACTATATATTTTTATCTATGGTATTTATTTACGATCTTTATTTTGTTTTTATTGTTTTATAAATTAAATTATCGATTTTTTTTTATTTCTTACAGGTGTTGCTAGTAATCTTGAACGAAAATCAAGAGAAAATGCACGGAAAATGTCATCACTCGTCGGTACGGCCAGTAAGAAAATCAGTGAAAGGATCAGTTTTCCAAGATGTGTCTGTGTGCCAATTTCTTTCTCTTCATTGTTTAGGGAATGCAATGACACAAATAGGTGCTGGTATTGGAGTAAATAAATCTCCTACAAAACCTATCATTGATAAACGAAATCTTTCAAATCGTAAAATGGATTCAACAACAGCTGATGATTATGATGATGAAGATCCACAAAATTTACTCGCACATAGTGTAATAAATACTCAAAACAGTAGTAATTCATCAGATCAACGACGTATCGGCGGTGTTGATGATGATAACTCAAATTCATTTGAGTCACATTCTGATTTTGATTTAGCGAATCCTAGTGAAAAAAAATCAGGTACACCAAATAATTCAAATGAAAAATCTTCTCGACAAAAGAATCGTCGAGGTAGAAGCGTTAATTGGGGCAATAGTCAAACATCAACTATCAATGTATCATCGGCAAGAACAACAAATACAGATAGACGTAGCCGTCCAATTGGTGCACCATCAAATCAAAAGCATGCTTCTAATGTGAAATTTTTTGCTACATCTATGGCACATTCACTTTATAGAAATCCAATACGTTTAAGTGGCTTATCATCGACATTAAAAACAAAAGGAAGTAATCCAGCACTAAATAAAAATTCAACACAGTTAAATTCAAATCAACAACAAGTATCTGGTACATTGACACCAATTCCATCCGAACCTGAACTTTTAACATGTCGAGTTCCTCCTCCACCACAACCCCGACCTGAATCGTTAGCAATTATGTCCGAAGAATTATTTCATCAACGACTTAAAGCTCGTCAATCACCATTATTAATTGAAACATCAATGAAATCGTCAATAAAATCGTCATTAAATGTTAATCAACAACTATCAGCAAACTTTCCTTCAACATCATCATTTCTTTTGGATAAACATTGCATTGAGGATGTTACTTATTCAACACCAAATCAAATAATTTCTACTAGTTCTGATCAAACAATAACTAATCAAACAACTCCACCACCATCACCAGAAGAACAACAAAAAAAATTAATTGAGATCAAAGATTATCCCATTGAAATATCAAAAGAAGAAGAACAAAAAGCACAAGAGCAAGAACATGAACAAAAACAAAAGCAACAGCTACAGCAACAACAAGAAAAAGAACAAGAACAAGAACAAGAACAACAAGTATCATCATCAATTAAGACAATTATTAATACTGGTGGTGACTCATCTGATGAAAGTTGGCGTTTACTTAATAGCAATAGTAGTCTTGATGAACATATACCTTATATTGATGAAACTGATTTTGAAGATTTAGGTAAAGAAGATTTTTTCTTTTTTAAGAAAAAATATTTTCTTCATAACACCAGACTTTTATAAAGATTTAGAATTTCTTTGTTTTTTAATAAAATAGAGTATCGACAAAAATAGCACGGAGTTGTCTGAAATAAGAATAATTATGTGTATATAAACTTTTCTTTTTCTTTTTCTTTTTCTTTTTCTTTTCCTATGCTCTGATCAACTATGTTAAGCCATGAATCTTTTCAAGAAAATCTTTTCATCCTTTTCTATCAAAGAAAAAAAAACTTATAGATATATAATTGAATTTGATTTTTTCATTTAGGATACATACTACATCGTCGTCGTGTTCCACCAAAAGATTCTAGTGAACCAATTCATGAAGAAACTATTATATATAAATCACCTTTTTATATTAAAAATAAACATAGGTCAAAATCATCTATTATTTCACTTAATAATACAACAAATGATAATGGTATTAATAGAAAAATTTATGAAATCTATGGAAATCATCAAGATGCACATAAAGCTATATTAGAATCTTCAATATTTGATAATGTTGAATTAATAACATATGCATGTACACAGTCTGATGCATCTCCAATAAGTCATTGTAGTTTACGTAATGTTCCACGTGAAGCTTTACTTAAAACAATGTCTCAGCCATCATCAATACCACCACGTATAAATAATTCCAATGGCAAACACGTTACATCATCAATTATATTTGTATCAAAAGCTAAAACATCAACATCACCAATATCATCAATGAAACAGATACAACAACCAATGATAACTTCCATACAAAATGTTGATGTTGAAAGAGCATTATTTGATTTTTATCAATGTAGTCAAATCAATGATATTGATAATTGTTTACCAAATAATAATGAAAATAGTGAGAGTGAAGATCTTGAATATTCATTATCAAATTATAATGAAATATGTGAAGAAACATCATCCTTACTTCGACTTAATGAACAACATTCATCAGCATTTCTTGACGATGAATCAGGTGTGGATGATTATTCTTTAAAAACAAAACAAACCCAACAATCAAGACGTCCTACATATTCACAAAATAACAATCATTTTATGAAAATGATGATGTTAAATAAAACTCGACGAAATTTAACTATTGATACAACAAGTGATGATCGAACAACAACAAATAGTTTTAGTTTAAATACATATAGTCAAGATTTTTCTATCGATAAAATATATCAATATGATTCTTCGTCATCATATAAACAACAATTTAATATATCATCACCAAATCGCCCGATGTCACAACATAGCTGGTGTAGTTCATCGTCAACAGCAACAGCAACAGCAGCAACAACACCTTCATCATGTCAGGAGAAACAAATGCCACTTTTGTTATTACGTACATCGTCACCTCAACATTTTTTAACAGCTATAGAAAAAAAACGAACTACATCATCTGATTCCGATGGTATTACAACAACCACAACAACACTAACTAATAGTACACAATATGAAGGGTAAATAGGTTTTTATTTTATTTATCAAAGAAAATAAACTTTATTATATTTTAAGTCGTGATATTGATAAAACTAAACAAAAAACTACCAATTCTATTTCTCAAGATGTATTGCGTGCATCTAATAAATTAAATGCAACAACAATAACAGATGAGTCAGAAATTGAAAAAAATCAAACAAAAGAAACTGTTCTAATAATGAATAAAGTCATTGATATCGATACAAAATATCATTCATTATCAGATACATTAATACGTGATAATGATACATCAGGTTATGGTTCACATGATGATCCATCATCAATCAATAATCGCGTATCATCAAAAGTTACATTCGATAGTTTCATGACACACAATTCAGCTCCATCATCTCCAAAAACAAAAGATCAATCAATAATGACACAAACTGATGTCAGAGAACGTTTGAATCAAACAAATAATACTAGTCATGAACCAATACAAGATAGTAGCGAAAATAAAAATGGACGCATGGTCGTTATTAGTGAAGGAACAGTTACAAGTGGATCAACGTCAGCTAAATCAAGTTTTAAAGAACTAGCACAAAATCAAAAAACACCTACTCATAGAAAATCAAAATCACAAAATCGAGCTCGAAAAGCTTTAAGAACTATAACGTTTATTCTTGGTATGTCTCATGGTTCTCTCTAACCTATCAAGATGTTTGGTTTTTTGCCAGAAAATATGCTTTCCTCGAAGAACTTTCATCAAACTTTAAAAAGGAATTTTTGCTAGCAGATAAATTGTGAAATATCTCGTCGAGAAAAATCTTTCTAATGGAAATCATTTTAGTCGACTTTATTCTATTGAACCTTTCAATTTAAGATTTAATGAAATTCCTTTGATACCTTTTTTTTAGGCGCTTTTGTCGTTTGTTGGACTCCATGGTATGTCAATATTTTTTCTTTTCTTTCAATATATTAATATTTTATATCTTCAGGCATATGTATTCTGCTATTCATTCATTATGCGAATCATGTAAAACTAATTGGATATTTTCAAATCCAATGTTTCATTGTTTTTATTTTCTTTGCTATCTTAATTCACCGATCAATCCGTTTTGCTATGCGTTGGCCAATCAACAATTCAAAAAGACATTCACAAGAATTTTAAAATTGGATTTACGCCGTCTATAATAAAATTTAAAATTATCTTTTTTTCTTTCTCTTATTTTTAGCTATATTAACCTTTTGTTTTCTTACGTTATTTTTTTTTTCTGTAAACTATGCCTAACTTCTTTTTTCTTTGATCTTGTTCGTGTGAACCTCTTTGCACAGCGATGTTAACATAAATTTTCTTTTTTTTGAATCGCTCGATTATAGCGAAATATAAAATTGAAATAATGATGAATCGATCAGAAAAAAAGCAAAAGGGTTTAATTATTAATAGTGATACTGAATTTGACGGCTTCTATCAAATAGTTGTGACAGATGGAAGAGAAAATAATTACTTATGATATATGAGAATTTATTGAGAAGAAAATCTACATTCGCCCGATGTCAACAATTTTTGTTTTGACTCATTCAACTGTTTTTTATCTAATAACTTGTTCCCCTAAAGATTATTTCAGTTGATGCATTTTAAAATAGACAACCTGTTCGTCTTTATTTGAAATATTTTATCAATTTGGCAAGCATAATCTTCTAATAAGAGTTGTTAAGACATGAATAACATTGCGCATTCTATGCTTAGTCTTTTTTTTTCAAATACTGAATTAAGTTATACCAATAAGAAAAATGCTTACTATTTTTAATTAAAAGATAATCTTCAACTTGAAATGGTTGAAATTTTTTCTCCTTGTCCCATGAATCTTCGTGGTGTAATTAATTACAGTGTTCTTCGTTTTTGTTTTCGTCAGCTTATTAACATCTTTCATGAATGCAAATAAATAAAATTTGGATAGCTATAGATGAAAATAATTGTCGAGAGTATTGCAAAAAAATAATTCAACGATATGATTTATGAATATATTTATTAAATGTTCTCGTCAGAATAAATAGAATGAAAATGATCAGAACTCATTGGTGAATATGTATAAATATTTTTTTTTATAATGTATTTATTTATTTATTATTATAAATGGAAAAATAATACAAGATACTTGTTTGGATTGTGTCGTTTAATTATCATAATTGAATCAATAGAAAATGACAATTTTTTTTAAAAGCACTTTAAGAAGATTTAATGAGAATGTCTTATTAGATTATATCGGATTTGGTTTTATTAATGTAGTCTATCTATTTAAAATAAAAGCCAAATTAAAAACTTTCATGATTTAAGATTTTTCAATTTCTCGAATTTTCAATAAACAAAATGCAGTCTGTGTGCTTGAATGATGGCTGTTTCAGAAAGAAACGCTAGAATGGCACTTCAATGATTACCATGTAGCATTTGCTTATAATTAATATTCTATATGCCATTTGCAGCATTCAAGAGAAACCTGAAGAATCATCAAAGAAAAATTGCATGAAAAATGACTTTTTCTAGAAGAGTACTAGTTAAATTTCTTGTTTTTTTGGCCAACATATGATAATTTGTTTTAGTCAATACACCGCTCACTTCTAACATTTACGTTAACCAAAAATTTCACCAAGCCAATATTAAATAGAGGTGTCACATTTTAATTTAAAAAAAAATTATTAAATCGAGAAATAAATTTTCAAAAAGTTAAATTTAGAATAAATTAAATTGTTTTTAAATTTAATTAAATTTAAATTAAATTGTTTGAAATTCAACTTAGCTAAATTTTGAAAACTAGTAGATAAACATAGTTTTTGACTTGATTGCTACTATTTAAAGTTAAGTTGGAGTATGTTTCCTGTTTTCTAAAGTTAAAGCTAGCCATTCTTCTACGAATTGTGCTATTAAATATATTTTTATGACTATTTCGATATTTTGAAGAAGAAAGATGACAAATCCTGCATAACCTGTAGAGAAATTTTGACTATTATGAAGAAATATTAATCTAAAATATTAGGTTCTCCTCTCATTTAGTACTTACTACTTTTAAAGTCACGTATTTTCCTCGTAGTAATGACGTGTATCCATCCAAACAGCTTATTAAAATTAAATCATTTTTCAGCCCAAAAATTAAATTAAAATTTTTGTATGAGAAAAATTTAACTTGATAAAATTATATTTAAAATTAAATTAGCTTTTCGCGAAGTTAAATTTAAATTAAAAAAACTATAAATTGACACCCCTAATATTAAGCATGCACTTTTACTAATTAATATTAGTCAAACAGTTACATATTGATAAAGGTAACTCTTTATGAAAATTATATTATTTGATTTAGATCTATTGAAAGTCACGAGATCATTTTAATTTATTTGGAAAAGAAAACTGTCTACATATTTTTCAGAAGATATTAGGATAAATAAATATATTCTTCGAATCGTTTATATGTAACAGTCAAAATATTATGGAGAGTATTTTAAAGTATCCTATATCTTTAATCTATTTGTTTAACATTAGAAGAAAAATACATTAACTTCTCTTGAATACTGTGGAATTATTTGTATACATTATATTTTCTAGTGTACTGAATTGTCCAATGGAATTAATAGCCAAAGATTTTAAACTGGATACTTCACTACTCGAAACAATAAATTGTTTAACAGAGCAATTAAATCCTTTCGAATTATCCATATTTTAGAAGGATCTTGATTAATTTATTTTTATTTATAATATGTAAGCGCATTCATGGGTCTCTGCAACTGTTTTTCAGTCATATATTTAAATTCTTTTTTTTTGAATATTTAAATCAAGAAGGATTTATTTTATTCTGTATATTATTGTTGTAGAAACCCTTTAAAAACAAATATAGTCAACAATGTGTTGCTCACCTAAACTACAATACATAGTTTTGACGCTATAATATCGATAAATGATAGACTTGTTGAATGAGAAGGACGTAATATAATTAAACAAATATACATAAAAATTTTAAGTACAACAAACTAGATTTTTCTATGATCGTCCTCTAATATGCCAGTTGAAAAGTCTTTTTCGATAAAACCTATCCTAATAGTTGCTACGAACCATATCGAACAGATCTTACGATAAAACAATTTATTGCAATTGATTTTTCAATGCATATACTTATTCTTTGGACATCATAAAGATCAGTAAATTAATGAAGAGACAAAAAAACTAAGATAGTAAGATTCAAAGTAACAGAAAAATAATTTACTTCTTAAAAACCATTCAAAAGAAATACTTTGTTTTAACAATAAGTTTTAATTAAGTAAAGATGGGACAGTAAGAATAGAGATTTAGGCAACAAAATGGATGTCTTACCGTAGATTCTAAGAAAAGTAGTGGTCAATAGCTAGTATTCAATATGCTCAAATATTTCAACGTGTGCTCATCGATACTCAAACTCTATTATTTTCAATTATAAACATTGAAAGTAGATCAAATAATCTCTTCAATTTTCTAGTACTAGCCATGTCGCTAATGGACTTTGTAGGAGCACTATATAGTTAGAGATAAGAGAGACCGTTAAATCTAGTCTATCTGCCAGATAATAATCGTGATTGAAAATACTTAAAAATTTGAAAGATAGTATTCAAAAACTAGATCGTATTTTTCGAAAAAATCACACAAAAATTGGTAAGGGTATGAATAACCTTTATTTGACTGAAACCTATCTCAGTAGGCTACGATTAAAAAAGAAAAATATGTCATAAACGATCGTTTATAAAAAAAAATGAATTAAAAGGTAACATAAAACCTAACAAATAAAGATGCCCATCAGTATGATTTTGTATTACATGTTTGAAAAACTAACAGAATTTCATTACTATCGCCTCCAAAAATGTCACTCACTGAATACTGTGATCTTTGATGAACAACAATTTCAACGAAAAACAATCAGAAAACAAGTCATTTTTATAATATAATCATATTTACCAGCACAATAAACACTCAATTCATTCAATGGAAATGTGATTGTTTTGCATGTTGATGTGCTAATCACAATCGAATTTTCAAGCTGAATAAATGAAAGAAATTGATTTTTTCGGCAGATGAAAGATAGATTACAACATATAAGAATATTTCGAGAAAGTATTTATGTGATCCACGCACATAACAAAGCCTGAAAACTACTGCAACCAATCATAGACATAGTAATTTCATCGATTGAGAAGTTATTTAATTTGGCTTGTTTATTTATCAAACATTAGTAGTAAGTGTGATGATGTTTACAATGAGTTTCCTTTTATCATGTACAACATGTTTATAATCGAGTTAAACCTAATGTGACAGAAAAATCTTCTTTTTTTCATCAAATAATTGCTTTAAAAAAAAGAAAATTCAACTCTAAACTGGATGTCGGAAAATATTTGTAAAAGAATATATTTCTAATCTGTGTTATCATCAAGGGGAAACAGCAGACTTTTGGACTTCAAGTTACTTTCAGCTACTTTCAGCTACTTTAAACTACTTTAAGCTACTTCATGTAGTTTACTTATCAATGAGCTTCTTTACCGACAAACACCCACACATCCACATCTTGTATAATGATATATGGATTATATGGATTGTAAAAGTTTATACAGTTGCAACTTTGAAAATTAACTCTTAGATTTAAATAAGCTTGGAGAAACTATTATCTTCTTTAGACTGATTTGGAAGAGAGATGTATTGGTGATACAAGTTTACAAATTTGCATATTAACTTCGATTCAAACTGCAAGATCGAATGTGAATCTTCAGCAGATTCTTAAATGTAACCACGAAATTCAATTTGAAACCTTATCATTCTCTTATTGACCAGGATATTTGTATATCTTCTGAACGGTTCTTCAAAAGTATTTATCTACAATGTGCGACAATGGCGAAAGATAGTGGCTACTTCTAGTAGGATTCAGAAGTAAAAATGTTATGTATGCCTTAAGAATAGAACCAGCTATGAACTGGTTAAGGGAAATCACCTCTTCTCTACCGAACCATAGATATACGGAATTGAAGATAGTTTTAAGCACTGCCAACACACTCACTCTACTAGTTTTTGTTAAGAACTATCAATAGAATCATACCATAGGCATATTAAGACAAAATCGGTGTGTCGGTGTTGTGCTGAACACCGATATCAGTGTAGGCGGTGGTCAGCGAAGGCCTGTCACTCA